AATAGCCAGAGAGTGGCTGTGATTTTCCACCTTGGTTTTCTTGTTTTTTCTTTTCGTAAACTGCTTTGAAGTATTTTACAATCAAGTGGTGGTGTAGAAACCTTATGAAATAAAATAAATAAATAGGACTTCCAAGACCTAGAACAAATGTGAGGTCAGCCTCTTTTCTCCAGAGGAACTAAAACTAAGTCGCAAAGGCAGGGAGAAGTGCTTTAAAGGGCAATTGTAATTTATCTATAATGACTATGCACTCGTGCCACAGTGCCATGTCTACTTTTAAGTACAAACACTGTAGTCTGTGAAAGCTTAAGCTGCAAATACACTTGTCAGACTTTAAGGTGCCACAAAACGCTTCATGTTTTCTCTTTCTCTCTTTTTGCTGCAAGGGATTCCTCCCGATATCCCTCTTCAACAAGCCCACCAGTCCTCCAGTGTTTCAAAAGGGACCTGTTTTTCCCTTACAGTTTTTCAAACCAGACAAAGGGTGGGAGTGGAGGTGAATGGAGAGTGTGTTGCAAAGTTTATTCTGGTCCCAGAGAATTGGTGCCTGCCTTCTGGAACAACGTACGCCTTGTAATATGTGAACAGCAGTGCGAGAGCATTTCTGTGTCAAACATGCTCTGTGAAGCCGCAGCCTGCCAGTGGCACCAGATACAATCGCTACCATGTGCATGTTGTTGGATTAAAAACTGCACTGAAGCTGCTAATCCTGTGCCCCATAATGTGATGCATTTCCCAGGCCATTCTCCAATTAACGTGTAAGAAAAATAAGGTGTGAAATATTTTTGGGGGGGAGCATTCCTTGCAACTTACAAGCTTATACCTCCACCCACATAATATGTCTGGGGGAGAAAATAATTTTACATTTCTCTTATTCTCTCTGGCTGGTACCTCCTTGTTAGTGATGAGCTCAGAGTTGGCATGTGCAGCCTGCGGAATGGCCAATGTTATTTCAGGTGTCCTCCTTCTGCACAGGTGTTTCAGGTAGAAGAAGCTGATAGGTCTTCTACCTAAGAGCATTTGCAAATGTGAAACTAAAAATGCTCCCGAGTCTCATTTTTTGTCATTTATGAATGTTGTTAATGAGCAAGCGAATTCAGAATGCAAATTGAATACCTTTTCCTCTTTCTTGACATATCAGTGTAAGATGGCACATTTAAGGTGGCAATCCTATACCCAGCTGACCTGGATGTAAGCCCTATTTGACCACAAGAGATCTTACTTCTGAACAGACATTATTGGATTGCAGTAAGTTCCTTTATTTCTACTAGAATCAGGTAGAAATTCAAAAATAATATTTTCCATTTTTATTACATCCAACCAAGACATGTTATTTCTCAAGAAGATCATGAAAACACACCACAAATCTCTTGGATGGTGAACTCATCTGCCATGGAGTGTACTCAACATTTAGCAGTGTTAGAACATGATGGCATTCTTCATGCATGAACACTACATAGCAATAGTAAAGGAAGTAACATTATAAAGTTGGAGATGGATGATCATAGGACTAATTTGTGCAATTTTGCCCTTCCCTGGGCACCTGCTCATATTGACCAACTTCAGTGTGTGGTCATGGATTAGCAACTGATTTATTTTTGTGACTGAGCCAAGTAAAGAAAAATAAATGAAGTGATTGCCAGTAGCTGTGGCTGATCATCTGGTTGTGCACATGGCTTGTTAATGAAAATATGTACGATTGCAAGTCCACAACTTGCATGAGTGCAACCATCATAAGAACGTAAGAGCCCTGTTAGATCAGATCAATGTAGTCCAACATTCTGTCCACTGTGTGAGCAGAATAAATCACATAGTGAATCTTCCATGTAGGAGAACAGCATATAAGGCCTTTACAAAGCACTTATAAAAGTTTTTTTATAAACACCAAAAGGACTCCAAGCATTACAAAAAATTAGATTTAACATCTGCTGGATGAACTTGCTGATGGGAATACAATGAAAATCTCCCCTCTCTCAGGTGGGCATGCTAAGTGTTGCTCACAACATGAAGAGACACAGTTCTGATCTTAAAGCACTTACAACCTACAATAGACATTCAAAGCAGGGATGGTTGAATAGGATGAGCAGAATAGGTTCTTATTTTCACCAGTAAGTTAGTTCAATGAGATATATCCTTACTCATTTGGTCTCTCTTATAGCTTAAACTCTGAAGAAGTCATGGCAATGTCCTTTCAAGAGACAGTGTTCAAGGAGAGCACTATGATGTAATGTCTTTCAGTAATGAATATGTTCCTGAGAAACCATCTGACCTATACGAAAATAGATTGAAATAATTATAAGTTCTATGTCTTCTTAGTGAGAGTCTTTCCTCCTCTCTTATTTGACATGACTGGTAGCAAGAGTTCCTCATCAGGATTTGTTTTACTCTGTGCCTGTAAGGCTGGGAACTGCAAGAGCAGAAGGGGTCTCCTGTTCTTTTTTTGGTCCTACGATACTTGCCCAATTCACCATCCAAGATTTCAAGATGTGGAAAAGCCGACACATCACTAAACATGTTCTTTTCTTTGCTGCAAGAATGGCAGCCTTAAATCCTGTTCTGTCCAGGGTGCTACCAGGCATTCTTGTGCTGCCCAGTGGTCCTTTAAAACGAATGGGAGGCTACAGATGCCCAGGTGGACTCTGTTAACCTGGAGAAAGTGGGCTCCAGTTGTGCTTCCATGCTGCCGGCAACTGTACCCTGCAAAGGAATTGAAGCAGAGGGCGATGTGGCAGGCAATGCAATGTTGCTTCTCAGGAATGGTCCAGGAGGGCTGCTGCTTGCATCACTCGCAAGGTTGGCCACATTGAGGGCATTGTTGCTGACTGTCCATAGGCATGGATAGTGACTGAAGCAAAGCAAAGCAAAAACAACAACACTCAACAGTTGAAATTTGCAGTGGTCTCTAGGGATGCTGAGGGATGCGGGTGGCACTGTGGGTTAAACCACAGAGCCTAGGACTTGCCCATCAGAAGGTCGGCAGTTCGAATACCCGCAATGGGGTGAGCTCCCGTTGCTCGGTCCCTGCTCCTGCCAACTTAGCAGTTCGAAAGCACGTCAAAGTGCAAGTAGATAAATAGGTACCGCTCTGGCGGGAAGGTAAAGGGCGTTTCCGTGCGCTGCTCTGGTTCTCCAGAAGCGGCTTAGTCATGCTGGCCACATGACCCGGAAGCTGTATGCTGGCTCCCTCGGCCAATAAAGCGAGATGTGCGCCGCAACCCCAGAGTCGGCCACGACTGGACCTAATGGTCAGGGGTCCCTTTACCTTTACTAGGGATGCTGGGTGTAAAGCACTTCTTGTAAACTAGCCAGCCATTAGCCCTAAGTCCTTTTGAAAAAAATCACAGCCAAACAGAAGCAATGGAAATCTTTCAAAAGGTGCAGTGCTCCTTTTATTAAATAGGGTGCCTTGTGTCCTACTGTACAGAGGTTAGTCTTTCATTTGAAGGGCTGTTTGGTCAGTTTAAATAATAACTAAGCAGACACACAAAACTCCCAGTCAGTTTTCACCCAGTCTGCTCCACTATGGTGGGTTGTATTGTATTTCTATTTAATTTATTTCAAGTATGCTCCATGCATATAAGCTAGGATAGGAAAAGATTGTGCAATTGCATGTCCTCTTTTTTTGACCAGGTGTAAAGGCCACCCACTATTGGCAGAGTTTTTGTCTTAAAGTTATACATTGTTATTTCATTGTTTTACAACAAGATTGGAATCCATAGTCTCTAGTGGGACCTGGGTTCATGCAATTTTTGAATCCGTTCTCATTCTGCCACCTCACATGCCATCCTTCGAACAAATGGAATGCTCCCCTGTCTACAGCTACATCCAAGTGGAAATTAGGATGGAAGGTAAGGCTACGCTAGAGCCTTTCTCCCTACTGTACTGGTGCTTCACTTCCAGGCCATTTTCTCCCATGGAAAAACTGAATCCCTTCCTTGCCATTCCAATTGAAACAATCCACTCTACAATCTCAGTATTCTACCATCTCATTCTGCTGCATGTGTAGACCACACCTTTACCCATTTCCTTCACAATTTTGTGGAGAAGGTTGAGCAAGAAGAGACTTGTTCATCTCCAGGGAGGCCACTGTCATACGTGATGGTTCTCCAAGGGAGCTGTTACACCGAAAGCTGCTAAGGTTGCTCAGTGGCTGCTGCTGATACTATGGGCAATTGCAAATCAATGGGGTGCTTACCTCGGACCCGGGGTGGCCGTACCACTGTTGTGAGGCACTGGGAGCAAGTTGCCATGGTGACTGGAGGGTACTGCAGCCCAGCCTTCGTGGACCGATGGCACTTGAAGTTCATTGTTGCTGCTTTCTATCAAATTCACTTTAGAAAGGGAAGCAGAAGTTGTTAGCAACAGTGACATGTTTCTAAATAAATTATTTTAAGATGACAAATTAGAATGCATTTGTTTATTTGTTGTTGTAGCTGCTTTGAGACTGAATGTCCTGGAAGACTGAAGTGTTCTCCTACTGGCTTCTCTGTCTTGTAATTCCTAATGTCATATTTATGACCATTTATCCTTTGGCAGAGGGTTTGGCTGTTTGTCCAATATAGAGAGCTGCTGGCATTTACTAAACTGAAAACTATGGAGAGACCTGTTCTGAATAGAGATATTGGGTTCTTGTCTCATTACACATGCTAAAGCTATTTTTGGTCATCTGCATACTATCCCATGTTTTTTCCTATAGAACTAATTGCTGTCGTCAACCGTCGTCAACAGGTTTACCATACCCATTGAGTCAATCACCCATCTCCTACTACCCTATTGAGAAAAACCCCACCCCAACCTCCCACTATATATACAGAGGTCTGGTGACTTCTGTTTCAGTGTATCTGAAGGAGTGTGCATGCACATGAAAGCTTATACCCAGAAAATACTTAGTTGGTCTCTAAGGTGCAACTGGACTATTTATTTATTTATTTCGACTCCGTCAGACCAACACGGCTACCTAATTGAATCTAGATTCATGGAAAGCTAATAGCTCAATATATTTGTAATTTGTCTAATCCTTTTTAAAAGGCACCTAACCTAATTGCCATCCCCACATCTCAAGAGTTGAGGGAGAGTATTGCAGAAAAGAGATGCCTGGGATACACTCATGAACTTGGGAAGGGGAATTCTTTGAGATCATAAATATCTTTGCCCTTAATTTAAAAAAGAAATAGGAACCATTTATCCATGTGTGGAATCAATAAGTTCTTCTAGGAAAACTCTCTCAGTTTATATATATTTTTCCATGGGGGGAAAAGGCCTGGAAGTGAAGTTTATATATATATATATATGCACACATATATATATGCACACACTGAGAGAGTTTTCCTAGAAGAACTTATTGATTCCACACATGGATATATATATATATATATATATATATATATATATATATATAATTATCAATGCAAAATTACAACAAAAATTACAAACATTGAATCCAAAATAATACTATACAAACAAGAAAGAAAAACAGAACACAAAAAAGAAAAAAGAAAAAAGCACACATCTACAAATAAAACCATATCTTCATTCTAATCTAGTCATTACATACATATATACATATTGACTTCCTTCCTTTGTTCTAAGACCTCAAAAATTTTACCCTTTCTAAATTGTTGTGTCTAATGTAGATTACTTCTATCTTTATATTATTTTTCTCCATTTTTCTTTTTCTTTTACCCTGTAAAGCACGGGTGTCAAACACAAGGCCCGCGAGCCGAATCTGGCCTGCCAGACCTCGTCATGTGGCCCGTGTAGCTGCCGCCGGCCGCCAGCCTTCACCTTTTATTCTCGCTCTTTTTTTTTTTTTTTGACACAAGAAAGCCGCCTCTTCAGCGCATGCGCGGCAGCCTACAAGCCAGAGAACGTTTGCCCTCTAGCGGCGCTGGCCGTTCTACACAGGAAACCTCCACTTTACATGCATTCAGGAAACCTCCACTTGTTTTTATATTGAGCACATGCCATCCTGTGATGTGACAGATCCAACGGCTGCCTGAACCCTTCTCTCCTGTACTGTAAGTCCTACAGATACAACCGGCCCTTTGAGGGTGACCAAACTGCTGATGCGGCCCCCGATGAATTTGAGTTTGACACCCCTGCTGTAAAGCATCATTCATTGCATACCAATATGCTTACTCCAGAACAATGTTTTTTCATATACTCTTTAGCACATCCCCATTCTTTTAATCATCTCGGGTCCGATTGTCCCCTTATGAATGTTGTGAGTCTTGCCAGATTTATATATTCACAAAATTTAATTTGCCATTCTTTCATTGATGGAATTTTTCTCCCTTTCCAATTTTTTGCTATAAGCATCCTGCCGACAACTCTCTCAGTTTCTTTGCCTGTTGATTTGTACTTGTTAACATTTGCAATGTAAATTGTGTGCTTCCTTGTTGCTGCTTTTTAGGTCGTTGCTCTTTCCCCATAAATAGTTTTTTTAAAATGTCAGGCCAAGAACTTACCTGTTGGAGAGTGATTTCTTTGCATGTATGAAGCAGGGTATGGAACAGCCCTATGTCCTCGAAGGGTCGAATAGTGCTCACAGCCGTGGTGAGAATGGGCAGCAGGCAGAGGAAAAGTCCCACCATACTGATAGCTTGAGCTTCCTGCTGTGCACATCGCATCTGGGTTGGAAATCAACCAGCCACCCACTAGAGAGACATTACGAAAAGAGCATTGATCAAGGAAAATAACAGCAAATGACAATCTCAAAACCCCTTTCTTTGCCTCTGTGTGTGTGCACACACAATCTACCAAAATGTTTCAGGCTCAAAGAGAGGAGGAAATTCTTTTAGTTTAAGATACCCAAACAGCCTTAGTTTCACTGTCAACATACAGCCAAGCCTTATGAGGAACTCTCTCTCTCTTTTAAAGTTTCTCTTTTATTTATTTAAACTTTTCAAGTTTATACATTTCACTTATTTTATACATTCCACTAATTTTACAATCATTTTGACATTTCAAAATTTGACTTCCTTCCCCCTCTTTCTGCGGTTCCTTAAATTTATTTGTAATACCTTCTGCATATCCAAATTAACATAATTTACGCATTTAATCATCTTCTTTAAATATATACTCTTATAAAATTGCAGGTTATTACAATAATCCTGTCAATGTTTTTATCTGTTTATAATTTATCTGTAAATATTCAATACACCATTTCCATTCTTTTGTAAAAGTTTTGTTGTCTTGGTTTCTTATTCTTCCAGTAAGTTTCACCATTTCTGCATATTCCATAGGTTTTTGTATCCATTCTTATGGGGAACTCTTGAGGGGCTTGGGTATGTTTTTAGCCTGCATAAGAGGTGACTGAGAGGAGATATGACAGCCATTTTCAAAAATCCAAAGGGTTGTCACACGGAGGATGGAGCAAGCTTGTTGTCTCCTACTCTGGAAGGTAGGACCCAAACCAATGGATTCAAGTTACAAAAGATTATGACTCAACATCAGGAAGAACTTTCTGACGGTAAGAGCTGTTTCACAGTGCAATGTACACCATTGGAAGGTGATTGATTCGCCTTCACTGGAGGTCTTTAAGCAGAGATTAGATGGCCATCTGTGATGGATGCTTTAGTTGGGATCCCTGAATTGCAGGGAATTGGACTAGATGATGCTCGGGGTCTGTTCTAGGATTCTAAGAAAACCGTAAGAATCTGGTAATGAAGGAAGTGCAACCAGCTTAGCATGCTGGTAATTTAGGAAGTGCAAATGGCTTAGCATGCAAGCAGCACACAACAGAAAGGTTGGGGACAAAATAAATAAATAAATAAGCAGCAAACAAACTGTTGTGGGTAGAAGAAACCTTCTGGTTATATGTCATCCCATCAACAACCAGATAATATCCGGCATACAATACTAATCAAAGGAGGTAGAGCTGGGAGGGGAAGTATAAGTCAAATGGTAGCTGTTGAAAATAGAAGTAATGTTCCTGATGTTAGAAGGTTAGTTATCCCCCCAGAAGCCTTTCTGGTACTAACCACTGACAGATCAAGATGCTCGAGCCAATTGGTCATTGGCATTCCCAAATATGACAAAGAAATCAAAAAGCAAAACTTACAGTGAGAATATGTGATGTGCTGACTTTCAGAGACAATATCTGAAGCATCCTTGGGGTGGTTTCTGAAAGATAGTATTATAAAGGTTATTTCAGTTCTAGCAAAACTACGTCCACACAGATGCCTCCCCATTTAACCATGGAATTAATTGAGTAACCTTGGTCTGATCATTATTTTTCAACCTTACCTGCTTTTTGTGAGGGGGAAACAAGAGGGAAAGTCCAGAATGTTTCTTGTGGGGAGTATGGGGTACAAATGTTGTTATTGTTTTAATGCCCTATCATCACAGTGCACCTTACATGTTTATTCTGCCAACAGAGCAAGTAGCAAGCTTGGGGACGATTATCTGAGGTCACTACAGCACAAAAGGGCAGCAGGTATAATGAGGCTTATTAGGAAATAAATTCACCTTTCTTTTGCATCCAGAAAAGCTTTGGCAAAGGGGTTGTACTTGATCTTGAGAGCTGTTATCTTGAGTTTGGAAAAAGAAAAAGAGTTGCATTAGCAAGAAAAATTGACGTTTGACAATTGATCATCTGAAGCCTGCCATTTTCCAGAGTAAGTTTTGCCAGAGGCAATCACTCTCACGGAAACTTGCATTCTATTCAATCATGTAGTTATAAGTCAGTGGGTTCACTATACTGAAGGACTGCCCTCTTATGAAGCAGTGGCATTTAGTTTGCTGCTGGAAGAAAATGAATTATAGGCCCCGAATTTCTGTTCCATATGCTATTGGGCAGCATCCCAGTGCCAACATCCACAGTGTCCCTGGAGAAGCCAAAAAGATGGTTAAAAGGCCACAACAACATGGATAGAATTTGTTTCTTTCTCCTTTACATAGTATCATTAAAATAAGCAAGAACTAAAGCCCTATTCTGGTGTTTAGGGGAAACACATGTGACTAAAAGTGGGCAGGGTGAGCGGGCATGCACACACAGACAACCTCCTTCCATTCTCCCTATGTACATTAATGCCACTTCTGACCTTCCATGTTCAGCATACAGGTCTTGTGGTTCGGTGAACGTGCTTAGAACGTGCATGACTGGGCACCTGGATAACACAAGGTTTCTGTTTGCAAGGAGGATTCTAAGCACATTCACCCAATCACACTCAAAATCTACTTTCAGACCTTCATATTGGACTTAGGAAGATGTGTAGGGAATATACAGTGGTGCCTCGCAAGACGAAATTAATCCGTTCCGCGAGTGTCTTCGTCTAGCGGTTTTTTCGTCTTGCGAAGCAACCCTATTAGCGGCTTAGCGGATTAGCGCTATTAGTGGTTTAGCGGCTATTAAAGGCTTAGCGGCTTAGAAAAGGGGGGGGAGCAGAAAAAAATCTCAAGACTCGCAAGACATTTTCATCTTGCGAAGCAAGCCCATAGGGAAATTCGTCCTGCGAAGCGCATCGAAAAACGGAAAACCCTTTCGTCTAGCGGGTTTTCCGTCTTGCGAGGCATTCGTCTTGCGGGGCACCACTGTACACAGGAACATTGATCCCGTATATGTTTACTTCAAAGGCCAAAATAGGGCTCAATACTTTTCCCCATAGGCTACCTGCAGTAGAGAGAGAGAGAGAGAGAGAGAGAGAGAGAGAGAACTAGGCACAGAATAGGTCTAACAAATTCTACATTAAAAAGATGAGATCTTAACATAAAATTGACCATCCAGCTATGAAAGTGGACAGAACAATAAATAAGTGGAAGTGTCGCATTTTGATGAAGGCTGACTATTGTTGTTCTATATTAAATTGTTTATCATCATTTATATCCTGCCTTTCTATAGGATATTTCGGGTGGCTAACAATCAAGATTAAAATACAATTTTAACCAAAAAAACCCCACCCTTTTCATCCTAATTTTAGCATTTAAGTAGGGAAGCATATCACTGGTTTTAGCGTACACAGTTATAGGGTTTTCTTAAACAATTCCCAGCTGTTTTGATGTTTTATACCCACCTACCTCTTCATTTTGGTAAGCAGTCACAGCTATGAACTGAGTTTCAGGAAAGGAACAATTCATTACCATCCTGTGTGGGCCTCCAACTCGAACAATATGAACTTGCGGCTCATATTTGTGCAGAGAATTCAACATAATCTGTGGCAAGAAAAAGTGAGGCAGAGATTGACCAGAAATAATGTTCCTGAATCAACAAAAAACTAATTGTGATCACGTTTCATTGAAAGCAATGAAACTGAAATGAGCTGAGACTGGTTAGTTCCTTTGACTTCAGTGGGGCTTAGGCATAGTCTGAATTAGCCCTGGATCAGGTCTAATGTCTTATTCAATTCCATATCATTGGCCTGCATCAATGGTAGCCAACATGGTGCCCTCCAGATGTTATAGACAACATCTACCATCATTTCCCAGTTAGCATGGCCAATATCCAAGGATCCTGGAAGTTGTAGTCCGAAACATCTTGAGGGCACCATGTTGGCCTCCCCCTGGCCTACATGGCTCTATCTTACCTACTCCAGCTTAGGGGAGAGGGAAAGTTATGCGTGAATGCACACATGTGTGAAAAGGAAGCACTTCTGAGGCGAGAGAGAGAGAGAGAGAGAGAGAGAGAGGTTGGAGAGCCAGCTGAAGGAATCATGCAGCACAACGTATCTCTCTTGGAATCACTCAGATATGTGGATTTTTTTTTGATTTTTTTTTTTGAAAATAATAAATATCAGTGGCCCCGATCACCTCAACTGCCTGAAAAACTATGCAAACCAAGAGGGTGATCCTAATGCATAGTCATACTATGGGAGAAAAAGAATGTAAATTAGCTGTGAATCATTCAGTCCTGATATGTGGACATCCACTGGTCTCTCAGGCTTGTATGTGGAGAGGCCACGTGAGGGCTCATTGAAAGTGGGGGCATCACGCACGAGGCACAGTATCCTTGTGATAACATGAATCTCTAAATGCATAAGAGCAGAGTGCTCACAACATCGCACTGGTGGATACTTTCTTTGCTTCTGTACTGTGCTTTGCTATGTACAAACTTATAACTGAAATAATTTTGTGTGGTTATGTTTGTTGTTTGTAATATTTAACGAAAATAATAAAAACAAGTTTTGAAAAAAATAAATGCCCCCCTCCCACCCATTAAGACCACTAAGTTCAAGAAATAAAATTATCTAGCTGCACCACCATCGCAACAAAAACATGGGACTACAGCACTGTATGAGTGTTTAGGCACCACCACAACAGCTAAGACATCTGTATTGCAATTTATATGCAGCTACTATCTATCACTAATTATTTAGAATAGGAGCTACTGAGGATTAATGGCATTCCATGCCCAGTTCTCTTTATTCCTTTCCATGACTGAACAATCTTGTACTTAGGATATAGACTCAGCATTCGGGAAGCCAGGATTCCATTTTCAGGTTTGCTACTACAGTGGTACCTCGGGTTACATACGCTTCAGGTTACAGACTCCGTTAACCCAGAAATATTACTTCAGGTTAAGAACTTTGCTTCAGGATAAGAACAGAAACCGTGCTCCGGTGGCACAGCAGCAGCAGGAGGCCCCATTAGCTAAAGTGGTGCTTCAGGTTAAGAACAGTTTCAGGTTAAGTACGGACCTCCGGAACAAATTAAGTACTTAACCCAAGGTACCACTGTATTCCACTGTGTGACTGAACTGGCAAGCCAGGGGTCCTCTGTGCCTCTGTTTTCTTATCTGATGTGATACTGAGTGCCATTTCCAACTTCATATCTTTCTCAGAAGGCTAGATTCATTAAGATCCTGACTGCCTGTGACCACCAACAAACTAGAGCATACAAGATTGAAAGTTCCCCCATTGCTTGCTAATGGGTTTTCTGACAGTTTTGTTCCAATACAAGAGTTCTGCACAAAACAAGTCAAAGGCAAGGCGTAACATTGTTTTTAATATGCATCTAAAGCTACAAACAGCCCAACAGAGCCAACTTTCCTCTTTGCATTTTTAAGGGTCTCGGAGAGAATGCCACTTATTTTCTGGTACAGGTACATGTTTTCTATTATTATTCCCAAGGCCAAAGATGATTCAATGGAATATTGATAATTATCATGAAGCAAAAGCAAGCACAGTAATTATTTCATTTAGGAGAAGCCTTTTATTCGAGTACCTGACTATTGCCAACATTCCACTTATGCACCAAACGGCATGGGGGAGAAAACAAAACCTTAATACCCACAATCATTTCCCCCTTCTCTGAAGTCCTGTGTAAAAACCTTAACACACAAGAAAAAACTATAGGGGGAAACATCCCTGATGGTTAAACCACAGCGCACTCTGTCTCTCTTAACATCAAGGAGTCCATTAAAATCTGAAAGCCCCAATTAAGACCTGTTTATTCCTGTTTACATTTGGACTCCATGGAATAATTGGCATCTGTGGGTGAAGAGGCCTCTAAGGGCCCTTCTAATTGCGTAAATGCACCCTTGATATTTCTTGATTGGTAGAAGCCTGAAACCAAAGCCAAAAGGCATGGAGGAAACAGGGTGCCATACCTGCCCATTGCCATTCAACTTGTTGGTAAGTTTCACTTTACTGAAAGATACCGCAGCCTTCATCCAGTGCGCCCCAAAGTTGGGAGAGTCTGGGTGGATATAGACACAACTGTGATTCGACGGCTCTGGCTTTCCGGCTGGGACCCATTCTCCATTCACATACTTCCAGCGGTGGCTGTCAGTCGGAGCAAAATCAAGCAGGAAAGAATACATGGCATTGGGATCCAAGCCCGAGACACTGATCTTTAAGACAGGGAACATCCGTCTGTAAGAGAAACATGAGGAACGGGGGGCATTAAAACTCAGAAATCATCTTTCTCATTTACTTGTTCAGTAACTTCCTTATAAATTATGTCTGGATCTGTTTGCGTGTCGAGGTCCCCAGGGCCACCCCAATAACTCACACATCACACAGAATTTTTGTTTAAGGTTTTTGGCATAATTTTGGCCACAACTTTATTAAAATACAAAAATGTGAGTGGTTGCTTAGGCATTGGTTGCGACTATCTGCCCCCACCATGGGGGACAGACTGACATTCCGCATGATGCGAAAGTCAGAAAAGGGGAATACACTTGGGGGTAGCGACGGAGCAGGGAAGCTGCCCTCAGCCCTCCCCAAATGCAACCAGGAGCTCATTGCTATGGCCCAAGCCCCCTTGACAGAGTGGACAAGCAATAGTTAGCCCCTGATTCCTTTAACGGAATCCCTTGCAGCAGCAGCATTAGAGGGGCAGGCACAGCCAATCCATGCCCCTCAACCAACCAAACCATAAACTAATGCCTAACCGCAGCCTTACAAGTTGTGACGATTTGCTACGCAGTAGGCAAAACCCAATGGCCCCAGCCAATCAGCCAGATGGACAAAATTCCCACCGGGCCCCTGCCCCAAGAGCAGACGACCCCATGACAGGCATAGCAAGGTCAAAGTGAACAACCCTAATTCTAGGGACAGGCAATCCGATGCACGGGTGAAAAGAGGAAGCCCTAGCCTTGTGCAAGGAGTTTTAGTATTTCTGGCTATCAATCAACAAATGGCAACATTAACTTCTTCCCAACAACAAGGGAAGCCCCAATCGCATCAGTGGCCAACGATCAATTAGCCCGCCCCCAACTTTGGAGTGTCCTGGCGGCCCCCACCGCAACACGTGCTCTCCTTGAAGGAGAACACGTTTTAACATCACAATGTGCTTTCACCAAAACAGCCAGCCATGATTGCATAAGCTAGCATGCATTATGACCAGGGCAACATTTTCTGTTTCTAATAAAGAGTTAAGAACCCCACTTCTGAATCTCCTTTGTTCAGCATCCTATTCTCATAGCGGCCAATTGGATGCCTACAGGAAGTCTGCAAGCAGGATGTGAGTCCCCCGGAAACCAGTACTCAGAAACATGCCTAGTCTGATGCTGAAGGTCATACTCCACCATCGTGACTGGTAGACACTGATAACTTTATTCTCCATGAATTTGTCCAATCCCCTTTTAAAGCCATTCAAGACTGCATAGACACAATTTTATTTAAAGCACATTTAAAACACATGGCCTCTCCCTGCTAAGGATGCTGGGAATTGTAGCTACGTAGTTCTCAAGATTCTTGGGGGGGGGGTGTCATATGCTTTGAATGTATGGTGTGTGCACAGCCCAAGTAGTCATCCAGACCCTCCAAGTGTCCCGATTTTCCAGGGACAGACCTGGATTTACAGAAGCTGCCCCATTTTCTGATTTGATCCCAGAAGGTCCCGCTTTTCCTTGAGACATTCCTATTTTCGCCAGAGAAATGTTGGAGGGGATGGAATAGGACATCCCTATTTTCATCAGAGAAATGTCACTACATCATCAATACAACTGAGAAGGGATTTGCTTGCCAAGCTCCCTTTCCGTCTCTCTTACAAACAACAACAACTGCATTTAAGCACATTTCAGTACCAAAATGGTTCATCTGATGCATTTATTTAATGCTGGTTCCAGGTTCCGAGAGGCACTTGGGCACAATATTCTCAGATACCCAAATGCCCCTCCTTGCTATTATCATTGCTGTCCATTCACCCTTTAAGCCCATACTGACCACTAAGACAGTTAGACAAAACCTTGATAGACCTATCATCCATGAACATTAACCATCATAGTTAAATGAAAACGAAGTGTTCAGAGGCACTATACCCTCAAGGAACAAACAAGGCTGGCCCTAACATTAAGTAGAATGAGGTAGCCTCCTCAGGCAGCCTGCATGTGAAGCAGAGGCAGCCAATATGTGTGTCCCATACTGTCCTTTACCTCAGCAGCAAAATATCTAGGGCTTCTCAATATTTTGTGTTGACCCTGAAAGATTTCAACTTTCAGGTTCAGTTCTGGTTCACTAGAAAACATATATTTGAGGCAGCAATCCTATAATATTCTATGGAGTGATGCTCTTTTGAGCCCAAAGTTCTGAACAAGTATGGTTAGGAATGCACTGTCAATTTGGAGGGTTGAGAACAGATTCCGTGTAACCCCCTGATTCTAACCATGTTCATTTTGTCAACGAACAATGTAAATCAATATTTTAACAAAGTTCTGGATGGATTTTGGCAAAAATCAGATTGGGTATTCATGCGCTCTTTCTGCCATGACGTCAGACCTGTGTGTGCCCCATCATATATGAGAAAAACACACATGACCATTTAGATGTCATGAAAACCCATCGCTAATTGCATAATTTGCACATATGTTGAATGGGTCGCCATTTTTTTTTTAATGTTTATTTCATTAATGTGTTTTTGGCTGGCTTTGCATTTTGATGTTAAGTCTATTTTGGGGGGTTCTGTTGTGAACTGAAAAGCAGGGTACAAATTAAAATAAAGTAATTTGTGTACATTTGCCATACTTGTTGTAGAATGCATAGGTTATATAGATAGATATCTGTGCAGGAAAATCACATCCAATGGAGCCCTTGTAAATTACAATCTTTCTGCAAGAAAGTTCTGTATCTCTGAGGGTGGGGGTTAGAGTGTCAGACTAGGACCTAGTTGCCCAGGGTTCAGATCCCCTCTCAGCTATGAAGCTCACTGGGTAATCTTGGACCAGTCATGCTTCTCAGCCTAATCTACCTCACAGGATTATTGTGGGGATTAAATGAGGAGAAGGAGAATCACAAACACCATCTTGAGCTCCCTGGAGAAAAGATGGAATATAAATGCAATCACTCAATCAATAAGACTGTGTACTGCTAACGAAAATACTATTCCGGAAGCTGATGAATGTTTTAGTTCTTTCGACTTTGTGCTTATTCATTAAGATCCATCAGCTATGTACACATCACTCAGATATTCCATCTCCAAATCTACAGAAATAGCAGCTCTCAACAACCTCTGAATTCTGGAAAAGGGTAAATGGGCAAGTTTGTTCATGTATTAAGAAAGACCAGCATTTGTTCCAAGAAGTATTTGGGTACAATCCACTGGCAAAATATCCTGCCCAAGTACCACTCAAACAACTGGGAGCTGTGCATTAGTGCTACTACTCCCTGCTCTCGTTCACTCCCATTCAGTGGGTCTTGCGCAGGAGAATCCCCTGTGAGTTGTTGAGCAAACTAAGTGCACAGTTAAGCTGCTGTCCCATAAACAGTTCTCTTCACCCCTCGCTTCCTCTAAGCAGAAGATAAGACTCACCTGCCATTCTTCGTGACAATCATCTCATTAGTAACTTCTCTGAATCTCTGCCATAGTGCAGCATCCTCTAAGACAACCTGGAGCTGTTTTTCGGTGGGGTCTCCTTTGTCTCTGCCAGCTTGGAGCTCGTTCTCCACCACATTGAGCAGCCTGGAGACAGTGCAGTCACTATGTTTCTTGCAGCCCAAATCAGTCATGGTGACTTTAATGTCAGAAACTTCTCAGATGACTTAAAAAAAAAAAGCAGCAACAACAACCCCACAGATCTGAACCTAAACCAATTAATTAGCCACAGTGGAACAAATGTGCTCACCTCAGCCTTTTGCCACAGACTTGCTCTTCCCCCCACTATGTCCCAACAGGAGGATGACACCTGTGTGTTAAGGTTTTAACATGCACACACAACCATTTTCTAATTACTGACTGTCAGGTGGGAGACAGCCTGATTAGGCAATTGGCTGCCTCTGAAGAAGAATCTTCCATTCAAATCACCAAGCTTTTATCTTTTCTGAGGAGGGTCTAATTATTCTGCTCAAGAACTATATTTCCATTAATGAAAATGGTTTAATGCCTCAACTGAAACAGTGAATGGAAAGTGGGTCTGTGCAGATGCAAATTCCTGCTAGAAATGGGAGAAGTAACAGCATTCAACAGCAATCTGTGGGGATATTACTTGATGGATATACAAATCTGGCCATTTACCTGTTATATATTTCTCAACAGCAAATCCTCTGCTCAACATCAGACCATACTTCCTTGAAACTGGAAAATAACTTGTGCAGGTTTCCTGTATTTGAGATTAAGGAGCTAATTCTGGGGAATGAAATGAAGGTGGGTGAGGAGAAGGGGTGTGATTAAGTTTTCTCAAAAGAATGCTAATACTTTCTGTTCACACCCAGCACTCAAAACCGAGAACCAGTTTATGCAACCATTCATAGGAGCCCACTCCTAGGGGCTGTGGGGGCTTCAGCTCCCACAATAAGATATTTGAGGGGGCTGGGCCCCTGCTAAGTTGATGGGCATTCCCATTCAAATGGTGTGTGTGCACTGCGTCATGCGATCAATTATGTGAGGGGCAGCCTTACCAGGGCCCCCACAATATTTTATTCAAGTTGGTACCCCTGCAACCACTTGTTCCATTTCAGAGTGCTTTTCTTGCCCAGATTGCACTTGGGAGACTGCAAAGGGATGGTCTTATAAATTCATCATGCTTACAAAACTCAGTTTGGCGATAAATTGTCTGAATCCCCTGAATAACAGCTTAAATATCTAGGGCATTTTAGTTGAGAAAAAGGGTTGATAAGAAGGGACATGATGGGAGCATATAAAACTGCATGTAGTCAGCAGTATGGAGAAAAGGGATAGGGAAAACATTTTCTCCTCTCATAATACTCTCCTAATACGTCATAATACTGACGTAGATTGCTTTACAAGTGGAATAGTCCATTAACTAAGGGTAGTTGTACTCAGAACAGTCCTTATTAAAATTAATGAACCTTAGTCATGTTAATTGATTTCTGTGGGTCTAGTTGAATTCTAGTTGAATACCATCCTAGACTTTGAAGGATCTACTGGCCTGTGTAAAAATATTATTGTAAGTGTTCATTCTTGAGAAAGTGTGTTTGGGGAAGTGCGTGTTTGCTTTATAGGTAAACATTGCACACCATCATGTTGTATTCCTTGATTTTGGAGAGGGTGTCAAATGCTGATTTCTAACTGAATTCAGTTTTTTAAAAAATATAAATTGAGCTGGAGAGACTTGGGCTTTGTATCTGATCAGTTACTAAATTCACTGAGTAATCTTGGACCAGTCACCCTCTGAGTCAAGCGTAGCCTACATAACAAAAGGATGATGTGCAGGCTAGACCTATCTCCTAGGCTTACAACAAAAAGCACTCTGGCAGGTCATAGAATCATATAGAGGTGGAGGGGAACCCAAGGATCATCTAGTCCAGACATGTCCAACTCCCAAGAGACTGCGATCTACTCCCAGTATAAAAAAACTGGCAATTATCTACCCATTGTCACTGGAGAGAGGAGGAGTGTGCGTGCAGTGGGTGGATTGCCCAGAGTTGTTGAGCTCTTTTTTGAGGGAGGATTGCACAGAGATCTACCGGTCGATCGCAATCTACTGGTTGGACATCCCTGATCTAGTCCAAACAGCCTGCAATGCATATCATGACATCGTTGCTCCTGCTGAGAGCTGCACTGTCTCATATTAACATTGGTTAAAACACATGGTGCCAGTGATTAGTGAAGCAGTTAGCGCTTCAGTAAACTATTGGCTAAATAAAACATAATGGAACAGGGTGGAAATTGCAGAATATTCTCCTGTATACTCAGTATACTGTACTGAGAAATGGGAGAAAACATAGTTTTCAAGATGCTTAGTTCACCTTCATAAGGGAAGATAAATTCAACATCAATATTGCCGGATTCATTTAAATTAGCATAGTTAATTCTTGGCAATTTTATGATAAGCTATAAATTATTGCAATTATATATCTGAATATGGTACTTAAGGGAGATAATTTAGCCTTGCCACACCTGATTTCCATTGTGCAATAGATCAGTCAAACCTTGGTTCCCAAACGACTCCATTTGGAATGTTTTGGCTCCCAAATGCTGAAAACCCAGAAGTAAATGCTTTGGTTTGTGAATGTTTATTGGAAGCTGAATGTCTGACGTGACTTCCACTTGAGTGCAGGAAGCTCTTTCAACCAATTGGAAGCCGTGCCTAGGTTGTCGAACATTTTGGAAGCCAAACGGGCTTCTGGAACGGATTACGTTCGACAACCGAGTTTTGACTGTCCTTTGGCCAAAGACTGAAACCTTCCATGCTTTGGAAAAGTAGTGTGTGGTTTGACTGCTCAACCATACTTCTCTTGGCTTCCCTGAACTCTATGAAAATTGAGACCTCTTCTTCTGCCATTAGCAACTATCACCTTAGCTATTAGGCGCTGATGTGTACCCGTCCTGCAGTCTGCCTCTCTCAGCCACTAGAAACACGGTTAATTGGCCCTTTATCTGAACTGATCCCTGCAAAAAGCAAAGAAAAGACTAATCTTTCCTAAATCACGTAAAAGTCCAATAATCTCCGATGGTGTCAAACCCTGATTAAAAACACCAGCAAAGCAGCTGTCTTTTTGTCCTTCATAATTATGACTTGGCATTGTATGTCATGGCTGGGTGGGTATTTGGTTTCCCCAGGCTTCTGGAACTGAACGTACAGGGAAGGGACGGCATTCAAACAGGACGTCTGGGAGATGGAAAGAATGAGCTTGTTTCTTGCAGATTTCATTTGATCAAGAATGTCTCCTCTTTTTTTTACATGCAGTATAAAAGTCTGTAGGAAAAAACAACTATCAAATATCAGACAAGGAGGGGGAAAGACCTTTCCATCTTCCCCCCAACCTTGCATGATGTGAGCAGGTACAGTGGTACCTTGGGTTAAGTACATAATTCGCTCTGGAGGTCCGTTCTTAACCTGAAACTGTTCTTAACCTGAAGAACCACTTTAGCTAATGGGGCCTCCTCCCGCCGCCGGGAACTGTTCTCATCCTGAAGCAAAGTTCTTTACCCGAGGTACTATTTCTGGGTTAGCGGAGTCTGTAACCTGAAGCGTATGTAACCTGAAGCATATGTAACCTGAGGTACCACTGTATTAGCTAAAGGGTAGTTTTAGACTGAGCTTAATCAGCAAGTCAAGAAATAATCTCAAGCAGCGTCTAGGCAAATGTGCACACTGGTAAACCTGCACAAGCAATGTTAATGTATAAAGCATTTATTAGTGATGACCGTTGCCTGTACCTGTTTGTAATATTCTTTAAAATCAAATGTCACCATGCTTTGGATTTACAGTATTACTGGCAAATAGTTTGGCAAATGCATTGCAAAGACAGGGAAGCAAATTATTGGTGTTTCACTATGGCAATCTGACTTGCTGTGCAACCTTTATGGTTTCATTCTATGCATGTCAGATGATAGGATGTCCCACTCCTGCATGTTTATGCCAAAGGTGCACTATTATGACATTACACAAGTTCACTCATTTACCATGTGATAACCCAAAATAAGCTGTTTTTTTTTTACCAAGTCAGACCACTGGTCCATCAAGATCGGCATGCCTCTACTTCACTGACTGGAAGTGAGTCTCTAAGGTTTCAGCCAGGACTCTCTTACCTTTCTGTCATTTGAACTAGTAATAATTCATTTATTATACCCCGATCAACTGCCTGGGCTGCCTCAGCCACCCTGGGAAGCTTCCAACGAAAATTAAACTCCCCCCCCCAAAAAAAACCACCACCCACAACCAAACAAACATCAAACGGTAAAAGCTTCATGAAATAATAAGAAAGAAAGCAAACATTATCTTCCATTCCATGTTCATTAAGAACCTTTCATATGGAAGGCTGTCCTTGTATCTGGTGTGGAAGCCACAATTAGTGCAGAACACAGTGGCCAGACTGCTCAAAGGTTACCAGCAACATGTTACTTTTTTGCTGAGAGAGCTGTGGTGGTTGCCCATGTGTTATGTTAATTCAGAGGTGGACAACTTGGACCCAAATACCTGAAGGACCTCCTAGTGGCACCCTCCTTTCAGATGTCAAGGAGATAAAGAATAAATTTAGAAGACATCTGAAGGTTGCCCTGTATCGGGAGGTTTTTAACACTTTATGTTTTTATTATGTTTTTAGATATGCTGTAAGCCACCCAGAGTGGCTGGGAAAACCCAACCAGATGGGCAGGGTATAATTAATTTTATAAATTTATTTATTTATATTAGTAGTAGTAGTAGTAGTAGTAGTAGTAGTAGTAGTAGTATTCACCAGCTCAATCTCTGCTATCTTCTGATAGGGCACTCTTGCTGGTCACCCATGCCCCAGAGATTCATTCATCCCTTATCTGGGGCTGCAAGCTTAAAGTGAACTGACTACAAGGTAAAAGACTGTAAACAATTTCCTGTTCCCATTATGGTATATGGCCAACACTATTAAAATCTAATCCATTGTTCAAAGACTACTCCATAGCTTCAGTATCAAATTTCAGCTTTCTTGAAATGTTTTGCAGTGCTAACTTTATTTAAAAATGATGTACACATGTGTTGAGAAACCAGCTTTATTACAGAAGAGATAGTGCAGTAAGAGTAGTATAAAGTAGTAGTTTTTTTCTTAAGGCAGAAAAAAAGACCAGCATATACAAAAGGTACAATACAAAAGCCAACAAGAAAAGTGTACAAAAATGGAACATCCATTCAAGCTTTTTAAAAAATCAAAACCTTATTACAAAAGTCTCCATTAATGCAGTCATATTGCATGGTGCAAGTAGGCACTTTTTTGTTTTCCAAAAAAGTACATCTTAAAGAAGCCACCTTATATTTAGTAGCTGAAAGGCCTTAAGCTATGACACTGACATATTTGTAGTTAAGGCCAAGACTGGGTTCATCTAAAATAGTGTTGTAACAAGTGTGAACAAGCTACTGATTAATTTGAGAAAGTGACCATATACATCTAGGACAAGAAGAATAAGGAACTAAATCATTTCCATAATGTGAAAAAATGCTTTATGCCAGAACACAAAGGGTAACTATAGCAGAAATTTAAAATTCAGTATACAGATGATTTTAAAGTCCCGGAAAATAAAAATGTACAAAGATAGTGACAGCTATGTCTTACCACCATAATCCACATTTAGCAAAGGTCCCAGTAAATAAAAATCAATGTCATGATCTGAATATTTTTAACTACGTCCAATGTTATCAAGTGACTTAAAATCAGACTGAATTAGTTAAAAAACAATATTCAAATCATGACAAATATTCAAATCATAACATTGATTTTAACATTTGAATAAAAACCCAAATCTTTAATATAAATGCAGCAGCAGTGTCAATATTAGAAAGATACTCAAAGACAGATTTTAAATAGAAAAATTACAACTAGAAAGTATCGGTACGAATATCTGAAATGCATTCCATAATTAAATATTGCAGTATTTTAAGAGGAGCTGCTTTAGAAGAGATGCAGCATTGAGGGCTTATGTGTCTCAATGTGCTAAATATACAACTACTGATCCTACCCCTTTCCATACTGAAACCGAGTGCACTAATAATCCAAATTTAATAAATGGATTTCTGAAAAAAATGAACTTTCTCCCGATAAAGTAAACCTATTACTACAGCAAGGAAACTTGACAAAACTGCTCAAGTTCTTCTTTTAAGATTTGTGAGTTCCAGCAGTACACTAGCATAGCACTTAACATCCGGGGAAAAACCCTACATTACCATTGTGCAGCATCTGCCATTGGGGGTGAAGACCTTCTAAATCAAGGAAGTTTTGAGAATTTTAAAGAATGCAAAAGCACCATTTTACCAGAGGTGACTGTGGGGAAAATGTGAAACAAAGGTTCCAGCTTGTGATGTGCACATTGCCTTCTACACTTTGGGGAGGAGGAGGAATAGACCTACTGTCTGTCTCCAGCCTAAAAAAGCTGGTAAGAAGATAAGAGCTGGTATTTTAAAAAGACCCAATAGGATTTATGACTCCCCTGTACAGAAAAACCAGACCCTCCAATCTCTGAGAAAAGTAGATGAAGGGCAGAATTGTCCCCTGCCACTTCTCAGCAATGACTTCCCTATGCAAGTATTTCTCCAGTACTGAGCTACCAAGCCCAGATGCTGAAGGATCCCTGTCCCTTTTAAGAAAATTCTACCTGGCTCCTTAGCTTACTGCACTGGTGTGATGAGATAAGCCACACCAGATGAAATTCTGCCTTCTGTGCAACAATAGCTGTCTTAGGGTATGACTGGCAACCCTATGCCTTTTCGTTAATGCCCTATGCCAACATGACTTATAAATCAAGGCTGCAATTTTCCACTTGCGCACTGTAAATTGGTAGGCTACTCAAACCAAGAAAATTCACAGACTTTCATTTTTATAGCTTACTGACATCAGAGCTGCAGTTCTAGAATCTAAAAAAATATATAAAATCCTCATAAATACCTAATTTTGCAAATCTCTAAATGTGCTTGCTTGGCAAAGCTGCACAGTACAACTAAGCTTCCTAAAAACCCAGGTTATAAATAGTCAATAATATCCTATGAAAAAGCTATAGAGAGAGTTTTAGACAAGATTAGGGTGAATTCTGGTACTCCAGAGTTGTTCAAGGAAATTTCTGTGCTCAGATACACAAGTGCTAGTCTCTGCCCAATGATGGGAGAAAGCAGAATAGGAGGTATACTAGATTAAGACAGTCAGTCCCAAAAGCCACTACAGCAAAGAATTTGTTCAGTGGCTCTTTTCTTTTGCAAACAAACACCTGCAGCTTCAAGGTTTCCCAAAATGCTCTATTGACAGTTCTAAGACACAAGCTTTAGGATAGCATTAAAAAAGGACAAATTACTCTCGAATAACTGTACAGTATTTCTTTGGAGGGGAGAATACCCTTCATTCCTTCTTAAATGGAGACAAAAAAATCTAATGACACCAGTTCAAAAAAAGTGTAATGCAGCAAAGATTCCCGATGTCTAGGTGTTTGCTCCAATCATTACATGATAATGTCCTATTAGGAAGCCAGAATGTCATGACACAAGCCCCTCCAACTGAAAGCAATCATCAGCTAGGCAGACAATGTAAACAGAAATCAAAACAGCAAGATTAAATAGGGGAAAGGGAAGTTGAAAAACACGAGATGTTCCTCCTCTCCACAGTTGGGAGAGCTGTACAAAGTCATATTTTAGATGGATGTGGGTGGGAATCTAGCAAAACCGAAGCAGCAAGAGTGGCAAATAATTCATGAGGCAATGTTAGCACTAAGGCAGAGGTCTTGATGTTACTTCAGAGACCATAAAAAGTAGGCAGTAAACTGCTTGCAGAAATGGAAGGGCACTTGCTTGCTTTCATGATTCCCACTAGTATATTTGCTCATGCTGCTTCTGTTGCTGGTTGGACAATGAATCAATGTCTCGGTTATATTACAATAAGGAATCATGCTTGCTGTTCAATTAGAAGGCAGCTCCTCTTAAGTTCCCTTATACGATGGTAGGAGACAAAAAGTACTTTGGGACCCAAGAAATGAACTCTGAAAATCAATCTCTTTGCTATAAGGCCACAGTAGCCAATGTGTAAACTGTTCTTTGGACCCTGTAAATTAAGAATGTGTGACTAGTAAATTTAAATCCCACCTACTTTGCAATTACCATAATATCATTTTCACCAGCAAAACAGCAAAATCTGAAGTTGACAATATTGCACCAAATGCACACAACGGCTTAGCTAAGCGAGTGAAAGGAATGTTTTGTTGCTCTTTGGGCTTCTTATCACAAAACTCATTACCCTTGGGAGAATACTTTGTAGCTTTGTCCAGTGATTCACAGGTTCACTTAGCAAGATTAATAGCCTTGCCCCTAGGAAGGTGTGTTCAGATGCAAACGCCATATGACTGTGCAAACCTTCTAGTCCTCAAGGTCACATTTCAGTGTAAGGAGATGGTGCTTATCTTGCTGGCCTGCACAAAAGCAATGAATTATATTTTGAAATAATGATGACAGCTCTCAGTCAAAAGCCTTTACAACATTTACAACTTTACATCAGTCAGGTTGTATACTGTTTTCCTTTCCCAAAGCACAAGTTAAATTATAGTAAGACACTTTATAGCATGGGTAGGCAAACTAAGGCCTGGGGGCCGGATCAAGCCCAATTGCCTTCTAAATCCAGCCCGCCGATGGTCTGGGAATGAGCGTGTTTTTACATGAGTAGAATACAGTGGTGCCTCGCAAGACGAAATTAATCCGTTCCGCGAGTCTCTTCGTCTTGCGGTTTTTTCGTCTTGCGAAGCACGGCTATTAGCGGCTTAGCGGCTATTAGCGGCTTAGCAGCTATTAACGGCTTAGCGGCTTTAAGAAAAAGGAAACAAACTCGCAAGAACTCGCAAGACGTTTCGTCTTGCGAAGCAAGCCCATAGGGAAATTCGTCTTGCGGAACGACTCAAAAAATGGAAAACTCTCGTCTAGCGAGTTTTTCGTCTTGCGAGGCATTCGTCTTGCGGGGCACCACTGTATGTCTTTTTATTTAAAATGTATCTCTGGGTTATTTGTGGGGCCTGCCTGGTGTTGTTACATGAGCAGAATGTGTGCTTTTATTTAAAACGCATCTCTGGGTTATTTGTGGGGCATAGGAATTTGTTCATTTTTTTTCAAAATATAGTCCAGCCCCCCCACAAGGTCTGAGGGACAGTGGACCGGCTCCCTGCTGAAAAAGTTTGCTGACCCCTGCTTTATAGGTATACAGAGGCTTCTGCACACAGAGAGAAGTGCTTATGCCTCTTCCACATGACAGACCGGTCTTTATCTGCAGTCCCAGCAAAACTGTGGGTTCTGTTTATGCACATCTCCAGACTACAGCGAATATGTAGAAAAGCCTTTTAAAATTGACAAAATATATGCCTACTCATAACAATGGGAAATAAGACACACACCCCACTCCACCAACTTCTGGAGCAGATTTTGAAGGTGTACAGTGGGCTGCAGAAGAGAGAAGGGGGAAGTTCCAATGCTCAAGTTGTACAAGTAGAACAGCAGCATAGGATACAACCCAATATGGGCACCTAAAAGACCATCTCGCAATTAATTTCTCTTTCTACAGTGTGACATCAGCAAAGAGCAAAAATTTGGTACATCTCAGCAAATATAGGTAATCACTTAAGCTGCCTCACTTTATCCAGAAACAAGCTCAAATGAGTTAGACTGTTTAAGACTGGAGCTCAAGTACTAACAGGCTGAATCTAGACATATCAAAGAAGAGATTCAGTTAAATGCGTTGTAAACTTCATACAGGGAAATCCCGTTGGCAAAAAATGGGCCTCCACAGCACCATCTGGTGTCACAGTGTTATAACACGTATAAAACGCTTTACAAATGTAGTTGAGTCATCAGTGTACATGACAGTTTATATTTGTTTTATGGTTCTCTTTTGTAAGCTATCTTGAAAATCTAGATTTAAATACACCTTTTCAAATAAAATAAAATAAAAAGCTAGCAATGTTTACGTATGCTACTTAAGTGTATAGTCAGAGATTACTGCATTAAAAAGAAGGAGCTGGGAATATAGCTATTTTACCACAACATTTCCTCCCCCCCCCCAATACTTACCAAGTCATTTGCGTCTCTGTTATGTGATACACACAGTGACACACTTCTTCACAGCATCCCTGCAAAAATAAAAACAAATACACTGTCCCCTTAAGTATTTGAATAAGCCGCACAAATATTTAAAATGTATAAGCAATGACCCTTCACAGCAGCAGTGATTTTTGACAAACAGAATCATCTTAGCACTGCTGGGTAAATTAACACCTGTAGTGGGACAGAAGCCATCCTCTCTACCGAATTGCAACATCTCAAGCAGTTCAATTCTATTAATCCGAGTCTGAATAGAGACAATGGTTTCCTGTCCCACTATAGGTATGAAGGGTCACCATGCTCATTTTGCAAATGTTCTGCTCTAATTATATGGCCACTTCACTCAACAATGCTAAGGTGTTTTTTGTTATCACCAATCACTGCTGCTGTGAAGGGTCAAATTGCATACACAAGCTCTAATTCAACTGTCTCATAATGCATTTTTACCTTTTACATTCCACTGCCATTTAACCCTACCTTCTACATTAATCTTTTCCCTTTTCAGCAGTGGTGGTTAACCCGCTAACTGTATATGGCGCTATCTGCAATACAGTGGTACCTTGGTTCCCAAATGGCTTAGTTGTCAAACAAATCGGCTCCCAAACGTCGCAAACCTGGAAGCAAGTGTTCCAGTTTGCAAACGTTTTCGGAAGCTGAATGTCTGATGCAGCTTCCGATTGGCTGCAGGAAGGTCCTGCAGCCAATCAGAAGCCGCACCTTGGTTTTCGAACAGTTTTGGGAGTCGAACGGACTCCCAGAACGGATTAAGTTTGAGAACCAAGGTACCACTGTATACAGGTTTTGGGTGGCCTGCAGGGACTCAGCAACAATTCTGTGGCATCACCTGATGAAGCATATGCCATAATAAAAAACCTTAAATCTTTAAAGCACCACCAGACTTTGTTTTTTCTTGAAATAAACTAACATAGCTACCAGTCTGCAAATTGTTACAAAGACTTTCAACATAGATCTATGGGTAGTTTTGCCACAAACAAAAATATATCATGCTGCCACTCTCTGTTCCCACAAAACCAACATTTTCCATGAAAACATGGTTCCACTCCTTAGCCCCTAAGCTTTACTGTAACCAAAGTGAAATATGTATCTGAAATAAACACACATTCTTTCCTTATTTGCTCCTGCCTCCACTTCCTCTGTTGTCTCTTTATATCAAATTATATATTTTAAGCCCTCAGGGCAGGAGCCTACCCTCTTGTACTTTCTCAAGTACAGTAATGGCACTATATAAACAATCTAAATGATAAATATTTGTTTGGGATTTATTAATCATAAAACACATTTCACAAGAGTGCTGAGCTTTCTATATTTTCAATCACGCAGCGCTATATCAACCCTACAAGTGAAATATTTCACCTCCTCTATTCAATCATTCCACATAGCAAGTAATCTCGAGAATACAGAGAAGAACGCATTAAAGGGAGATCGATTTTTCCAGCCATCCATATCACAGAAGAAATTTCCCTTTTATGTTTTATGACCTGGGTAGCTCCTGAAGCAAATGGAAGTCAAGATTACCTTGCATATGGTATGAAGGAAATGCTGTACCTAGAAGAGAGAGAAGACAAACACATGTATTAGGAAGAACAGGCACACACACACACACACACACACACACACACACACACACATTCCCACAGAGTGTCAATGGCAAGTCTGCATAACACATGGCCCATGCCAAGGGTAGTCTACCACATATTGTGGCTTGATAAGTGACTGACAAATTAAAACTAGCATTTGCTTTCCAGTTTAGTTTTTTAACTATCCATGTCAGGATCAGTTTCCATCACCTCTCCCACCCTTTCCACATGAAGTAGAGTCTCCTTCCAGGAGAAAGGTAGAACAGGAGCTAATTTTCTCATTGTTAGCAACATCTGCGCACATGGAGACCACTTGTGAAAGAGGAAAGTGGCCAAATGTGGAAGATCAACAGAAGTTGACAATAGTTCAGCCAGGCCTTGGTGACTCTTACTTTAAGGTAGCTAGACTTTCGTAAGAAACTTCCTGTCCAAATGGAATCCCAAACAGCAATTGGTAGAGGGAAATTTAGGAGGTGATGTATTTATTATGGACATTGGGCTCCATTATTGCAGTCTTTTCATAAAGATATGTGACAGAGAGGATGAGGAAATAAACCTCTCCTATTATACATGTACGCAAACCTATTGCTATTAATAAATAATAATATGAAATAATAATAATCTCTAAAGCACCTAAAATTTTCAAACCACTGTACATATATTAAAACTAGGGGATAGCCAGTTCTACTCAGTGTGCTCAGCATCCTCCCACCCCTCTTTATTTCAGTTTTTCCCTCCCCAGGACCACATTTCCCCCTGCCTGCCTCAATTTCTGCTTAGGACAACCTCACCATGCCTCAGTTTCATTAGACCTGCCAAAAAAGCTTCCCACAGTGCCAGGGAGAAAGACAAGGAGGGAGAAGAAGCCACCACCCCCCCGCAGGAAGGTGGAGCCTTCCTCTGCTGTTACCCTCCTCCCACTCAGGTGACCCATCCAGGCTCTGAGGTGGATTCCTGCAAGGGCCAGCTCTGAAATCTCCATTCAGTTAGTGTGCTCCCCAACACCTCAGGCTGCCTTCACAATGTTGGGGTGATAGACCAGTATAAATTTAAAATATTATATATATATATTTAAAATGAAGACAGTCCTTGCCTTCAGGCTCACAATCCAAAAGACATAAAAAGGGGGGGCGCATTACTTACCATGCTAAGGCGAAGAACTGCAAAATGCAGAAGATGAGGGCAAGTCCCTTATTGTGCCACTGAAAGAGGAAGGAATAATCATAAATCAAGCAAAGAAAATGTCATTAAATTTATATGCATAGTTGCATCGGAGATTCAAGTACTTACCCAAAAAGCTGCACAAAGAGTTAATATGAGGCATAACTAAAAGAGAGGAGAGACAATCTTAAAATAAGCAAGACATTAAAACTGTAACTGAAGATGAACAAGGGTTTTTTGTTTTTTTCAGCACTGGAGTACAGTGCCAGGCTGCAATCCTAATATTTTTCTTCTTTTTAATCATCTGGTTTAATTCATCTCTATGCTAGAAATTGTCAGACTGCATGTTTTATGCTATTGTTATTTTATCATAATGTATTTTATCTTTTATGTTTATCAGTCACCTGGAGAACACAAATATTGGAAGGCCTTATACTGAGTTAATTATTAGCAACAGTAAGTCCTACTGAACTGAAGTGAAACTTACTTTTGAGCAGACATGAATAGAATTGCACTGTCAGTCTGCACATCTGACCCAATAGTACTGAAGTACACTATAGCTAATTTAAAGTAACCCAAGGATCAGCAATAGATGAGTGACCTATGCATTTTGGATTTTCCAGGGAATTGTGGCAACACTTTTGCCCCTACCTCATGACAAAAGGACCTGGTTTCAGCAATATACCAATAAGGACACCCCAAGTGTATCAAGTTGGGGTGTCCTTATCGGTACAGAACTTCCTAATTAAATACTCATACTCCACTTAATTAGGAGGTTATGTACCCATAAGGACACCCCCACACTACAGTGGTGCCTCACAAGACGAAATTAATTCGTTCCGCGAGTTTTTTCGTCTTGCGAAGCACGGTTTCAATTTTTTCAAAAAAATCTTCAAAAACCTCAAAAAAGGCTACCACACCGCATACTATGAGTTGCTCCCCGAAGTCAAGTCGCAACTGCACTTCTTCAAGCAATGTACCCTGTATTACTGTAACGGTTTTAAGAAAAAGGAAACAAACTTGCAAGACGTTTCCGTCTTGCGAAGCAAGCCCATAGGGAAATTCATCTCGCGAAGCAACTCAAAAAACGAAAAACTATTTCGTCTTGCGAGGTTTTCGTCTTGAGAGGCATTCGTTTTGCGAGGTACCACTGTATATAGTTGCAATGAATCAGAGGTCAATAAAAACCCTAAGAATATGTCCAATATATTTGTCAAACTATTTCCAGTATCTTATCCCAGCACAAATAAAAGAAAAGACAAAGCCCCCATCTCAAACATAGTAGCAGTCGTAACTAAGAAACATCAGTCCAGTTCCGAAGGAGCAGTCTAAAGATACACATTTGTCATGACAGCTAAATGGGATCATTATATACACAGACACAATAGCCCTCCAGGTACAAGGTGCTGGGGACATATGGGAATACAAATCATTTATTTGTTTATTACCCTTCCTATAAATAAATGCACATAATTAAGCACTAGAAAAGGCCCACATGCCCATTACAACATAAGCTATATTAAGAAGAACCAACAGAATAATCCTAGCACAGTTAACAAACCATGGGGAACCTTCTTCAATCCAAGACCATGTAGCTGTGGTGTGTGAGGCCAGAGGCAAAAATGAATGGAATGCTGAATGTAAATGTTAGCTTTCTACAGTAGGCTAGTTTCCACACACAGTCACACACCATCATCCAGCCAGGTGACCATGAGACATTACCAGAGTTCAAGACAGAAACATTTGGAATGCAAATTTTTTTGGGGGGGGGCCTAGGGAGACTTGTGAGGGCCAGGTAGAGAGGGCTTGAGGTTCCCCACACCCCCCTTAACTGCTCCTTCAGTTCATGAGACTTGAACTTACAATTTTTTATTATTATTTTACAAGAAACACATGCTGGAAATTCTGCGCCTTTGTTTTGCATCACTTGTTTTCTGACTATGTTTTCTGACTTGTTTTCTGACTACTGATATTTTACCACAAGGTACTTTTATATGCTACATTTGCTTGTATTTTAAAATTAAGCAAATTCCCTTAAAAAAAGCATTAACACTGATAGCCTTCTCAATTCAAATACAAGTTAAAACAGAAAAGTTTTGTTACTTACAAGCATAACAGCTGTAGCTATCAAACGAGTGGGTTCAAACATTCTTTTCAACTGATTCATCGGTCCCATAAGAAAGACAGTGCTATAAGAAAAAATTATTTAACCCATCTGCTAAGAGCAAAACACACAAATGCACATTATACAAGCGTAAACTGCTACCATTACTGTATTGTAGGAATCATAAACAGACCATACTTTAGCCTCAAAGATACTATAATCACATAGTATAACTCATAAGAGAAAATTAGGGAACACTCTATTGGAAAACAAGTAGTAAAATCATATAGTATTAAAAACAATACGGAAGCCATGCCAACAGAGTTAAACTGTTTCGCTGAACCCCAATCATAAACATGAGACAGGGAATAAGAATTGAGAGGGATACAATCAAAACATTTCATTTGTAAAATATTTTGATGGTAAAATGGAAAAAGGAGAAAGATAATATATTTCAAGCATGAACTGTTTAGTTCATTCACCTATTTGATATTCTGAGCAAACCTACTAATTCAAGGAAAAGAAGATTACCTTCCAAGAGACGCGATATTCCCCAGTGTGTAAAATACTGCAAACAAGATTAGCCCTTTCCTGGGAACCCATAGCAGACAAGTACCCTGGAAAGACAGACAAGAGAAGGAACATACACCATCACTGTAAGGAAAAGAAGTCTGTGAAAACAATTATCTGTAGAGAAGATAAGTATTTTGGTTGCTCTCATCCATTATCACATAAAATGTGTTGCCTTAAGTTTTATTTTGTCAAAGCCTATTTTAAAAATAGCATATGTTACTATTACTTTACTTTCATGAAAAATCCTCTTAATATTTCATCTAAAAGCAATAATATTTCAAATTTAGATTTCATCAAGCTGGGAGTCATGCAACATGATCCCAAGTTGCTTTCTGTAGTGGCTTCGTATTAATCAGATGTATGTGCTATTGTTTTAAACTGCGCATACACACTTATATATGCACATCTATATATATATGTGTAACTGTTTTGTGTATGTTTTTAGTATCCTGCAATAGTGGGGAGTAAGACAATCAACTGAATCAGCATTCAATCAGTCTGTCCTTGGCATTCTGAACACATAAATAAGCCAGGCTCACCACACTGGGAAAACAACAACTGCTGGCTGCATGTACCCAGTATCATGAAGGTTAGGTGTGTTAGCCAAGGCAATGACTGAATACAAGTTTATGACTTGCCTATGGAGAAGGATTTGATATCCCAACTATGAATGAAAAAGAACAAATCACTGGCTTATTGTTGGTTGCTTGAAAGTATCCCTAAAGTATCAAACACCAGTCAAATTTACACAAAGGATATTAGAGAGATTATTGTTATTAGTCTTTCCAGTCTTAGAATTTATGATGGTTTGGGTTGTATTTTCTCTCTGAACAACAGGCTTCTCATGACAGTGCAGAAAACTTGCAACCAATATTCCACATCAAATTACATTTAGGTTGCAAAATTTACAAGGTGGCATCTAATGATGTGAAATGGATTTCTGCTTGTACAACTTGTAGGACTTCCCTTTGCATTTCTCCCTCTTTTGCACCCCTAAAATCCTCCTCAGAAGGTCCTTCAACCCTCCAGAGAAAATTTGGACAACTCATAGGGGCTGCAGGAGAAAGAAGAGGAAGTATGCCCGTACAAAATTGGTGTCGCCCGTGAACATTTACATTGGAGTAAACCCTACAAATCTACAGTAGGACTTTTTCCACAGCAAGCATGTAAAAGATTGCACTATCTCAACTGATGTGAAAATAAAAGAGGATAGATCAGTCACCATGATTACTCTTCATGGAGTCAAAACTTTTATATTCCTTCAGGAATGATGGAGCTGAGTGCAATACTGAGCAGCTGGGGGGGGAAATGGTTGCCTTGCATTGTGGGAGATATTATTCAACAAATCCAAACTTTATCCAACAAAAGCTGATGAGGTGGGGAAGGAAAGCTCTTACCAGAATGGAACACAGAACGCCAATAGCAAAACAAGCTATAAAGCCTTTCAGTCTCGTACTCCAGCTTAAGGAAGATGCATCAATCACCTGGAAATAATTTTTTTTTAAAAGAGACTTATTAAAATTGTAGTGTCAAGGTTTTAAAAAGGCATGCATCAATATACAGCCAGTTGCTTTCATTTCCTTCCAGCAGCTTCGCTACACGAGGAAACTTCACAAACATGCTTCTAACATCTTTGTGAAAAGTGCCTCGTCTTATCTATTCTATGAACAGATATCACTTCCTCAATGTTAATATAAGGCAATATTCAGTTTTCTTCTTCTTCGACAACAGCTTCTATTAATCATCACTCAAGGCAACTTTGAGCTTATTCCTTTCACATGTTCACAGAAAGCAGCTACATTTCCCTGGCCATTAGCATTATTTCTATTCTAATATTAAAAACAAAGAGTGTATTGAATCCATTTCAACTGCTTCGCATAGTCAAAGTTTCATGCCAAGTTTCTCCAAAGAAGATTCCGTTTAAAAGAAAATACTAGAAAAAACCCCAACTTTTATAACAAATGTATTCAGATAGTTGTATTATGTCTGATTCTACTTTACTAATTCCTTCTTATGACATAATATAGTTTAGAAAATACTATCAAGTTTCTATCAGCTATCGGAGTATAAATATTTTGTAAGCAAGGGCATTCCTGTAATAAAAGCAGATTTAGATCATTTTAGTCATTGTTATAAAATCCAAGAATAGCAAAACCATTTAGTTTTTTAATCTATATAGCATCAGTCAATTAATATGCAGTTGTCTGAAATCCAAGCAGCTAAAACATGGAAACAAAAAAAGTAGAATGGAACTGATCCTATGTTTCCAAAATATTTTGTTGTATTTGAATTTATTTGTATATTTTGCAACAAATTATTTTGTTCAAAATTCTTGTATTTTGATAATAAATTGATGGGAAAAGCAAACTAAATTTAAACAAAGATCATCCTGGGACATAAATAAAGATTATCGTGCCCAACATGTCTAGAGCATTTTCAAGTGTTCAAAGAGCTTCAATTATCTAGTTGCAATCCTTACTAAAACCCTGTAAGTTACATGAGTGTTATTATCCGTCAGATTGCAAACGGAGGTGAGGACTGAGACTGAGCGACTGGCTTGCCTAAGGCCACTTGGTGAGTTCATGGCAGAGCAGAGATGAAAACCCAGGACTACCTGATATGGAGCAAAGTCTCTTAGCAGCAAAGTCTCTTAGCAATGTTAACTTAGATACTTCCAGATGCAAACTTCAAGGTTGCTGGTTTCCTGCAGGGATGTTGTGTTTTCCCAGCCCAAATGTATTTATTAACAAGGGCATTCAGAATCCCCTTTCAGAGGTGAATTCCTTGCTGCTGAAACTACAGCATAGCACTGTAGTTGTGCAAGTGTCATAGGTATATCACTAGTGATAATGACAACTCTCTCCACAAACAAACATGATAAGCCTCATCTTGTGAACTTTGTATTACTGATCTCCTGAAGCACTTATGCAATGCCCTTTAAAAATAAAATAAAATGCAGTACAACTATCCCACTTTTCTAACCATTTACATTACTTTTAAAGTCACTTTGAATTTTAAAAGATTCCCTTACTCTTGATATGCTGTAACACCGGCCAAAAAAAAAAAAAGGTAATTAAGTATTCATCAAGCTGTTTACCAAACAGAGCACACAAGAAGTATGCCTATCTCCCTACAGCAAGATTAGTCCTGTTAAACTGGGAATAGAATATCATGCTACATCTGCCAAGCTAGAGTAAACAGCACAAGTAGCGGCAAGGATAAGAACCACAGAGGATCCAATAATTTTTCACCCCTCACCCCACCATTCTAAAAGCCCCCCCCCCCCAATTAAGCCTACATTTATTGTGTTGAATTACTCTGGGGAACCAGCTGATGCCAAGGGTTGCATTCAGAGCTGACTTTGTACTAGCAGAATGCACTTCCATTTATGCAAGAAACTGCACCTTTGTTGGAAGAAAATGCTGTCCATAGTATTTTCTTTCTAGCCCCCTATCACAGTTACACAGCAAAACCAAAACAGGTTTTACTTATGGGCTTCACCAATCAGTATTGATTTGATTTGCATTAATTGGTCAACTAAAGCTTGCAGGCTAAGTTTTAGAACATAACAAACCATCACAAAGATACACCATGAGACAGTGGTGTTTCGCTTTCCATCTCCTTACGTTTTGCAAGTTCTACCCAGGGTGCCGTTAGTAGTAAACAATTATGACACAGCTTCCCTTTGGCCTTCATCCCTTGAGCACAAAAGAATACAGTACAAGAAGTGCCCTTCCGTAGCCTAGGATCATGTTCTCACAGTGGCCAACCAGATGTGCAATATTAACACACTAACACTCTTCAGCTCCTGCTCTCTAGCAACTGGTATTCAGAGGCATCCTGGGTGTGATACTAGAGTAAATATATAGCTGTCATGATAGGCAGCCATTCAGTCTGTCCTGTATTTTTCACTCTTCCTTCAGTATGTCAAAAGAAATGCATTTAAGCCAAGTGATCTGTTGAAAGACAAACCGGCGAAACCAACTTATGACTCTTTGGTCGGATGCATAAACGCCAAATTAATTTCTCTAGAACCGCCTTAACCTGGGTGGACTCTGTGCACCTATTCAGCACCTGCTGAATTACAAGCAAGGTGTGGGTTCGAGTCCAGTTCAGCAACAGGTAAGTACCAAAAGGGGAGGCAGCATTTTTTTCCCCTCCCTCGGGTCAAATGAAGTGGGGCGAAGAGAGCTTTGAGCAGTACTTAGCGTGTACACTGTACACAGGATGAGAGCTTGGATCCTGGGGTTTTTTTCCTGGAGCTTGTGACGTCAGATCCCAAACACCTGGGCGGGCAGGAAGGCAGCAATTAAACGAGAAGCATCAACACGCACTTTGGCCAAGAGAGGGGAGAGAGAGCTGGGCGCTAGGAAGGGTCTCTCACGGCGCAGTCGAAGGCTCAGAAAGCCCCCCTGGCACGGGGGAAGGTTATAGGCGACCTTCCTTTATGGGGTGGGGGAGGGAAATAGCAGGTAGTTGAGGAAAGGTGCGGAGAGGAGAGGAACGGAAGGGGCCCCAAAAGGCCAAGCAACAACGACGGCCTCAGCTGCTCCCCTGAAATTGGTGAGGGGGGCTAAGCGCCTTAGGGGGGCGGAGAAGGAACCGGGGCGGCGAAAGGAGCTGCCTGAGGCAGACCGGGCGACAAAGCCATGGAGAGAGCCTCCTTCACCCCACACTTTCCCCCTCCCCCGGGGTTTACCTCCGCCAGTGGCCCCGGCTCCTCGGCGTCCTTCCCGTTGAGAACCCGCTTCAGCTTGTCCATGACACTTGTCGCCCCTCGCGAGCTCCACTTCCCGACGCGGCTGCCTCCACTTCGCCGCCCAAGCCTTTCGGAGACTACAACTCCCAGCAATCGAGGAAGGCCGGGGCTCGCCAAGCTTTCCCTCAGCGCCTGGAGCAGTGCATCCTGGGATATGTAGTCGGAGGGGTGCTTCCTCGCACCTGCGCGTTGCAGAGCTCTTTCGACTACGCCTCCGATCCTCTTTGTGGCAACAGAGTTTATGTCCAGTAGTAGGCGGGTTGCGCCGGTGTGTTTTTCCCCCAGAGAGTAGCAAGCTTTCCCCCGCCCCCCTTTCCTTCTTCTCTATGCTGATGGCTGTTATTTGCTAAATTTGTATACCGCCCCTCACGCGAAGATCTCAGGGCGGTTCACAACACGAAATACATGCAACAAAAACCAGTGACCTCCCTTCCCACAAGCACATTTAAAAGGCCTTAGAATGTTAACCAGCCAAAGATATGTAAAAATGCTTTTGACTGGTGCATAAAGAGATGTAATGAAGGCACCTTCCTGAGGATAGCATCCCATAAAACGAGAGCCACAGTAGAAAAGGCCATTTCTTGTGTTGCCACCCTCCAGACCTCTCCTGGTTTGAAGATGTTGTGTCTTCCTAAATAACTGGCAGGGCACATTGATTAGTATTCCTGTTTTGCATACTGACTGGGAAATAGCAGCTTAATCAGGGCTGACTAAGCAGGCTAAGGGGAAGATGGAACCCAGATTCACAACTCATGGTGATCAGGTGCAATCCTAGCATTGCTTTAAAAAAAAAAAATGAAATTTAAATCTACGGGTTAGATCTTTTTCAGAGTATTTTCCCCAGACAGATTTTTGTTACTTAAAATCAAAACCCAGTTACGGTACTAAAAAGTGTCAATAGTTTGGACCAGTGTGTAAATGTGGTTGTAGCATATACACACTACCCATCATTAAAATGTTTTAACTGTTGCCCCACTGAAAGCTTTCTTAACATACGTAAATAACACTTCTCATGATTTTTGTTTGGACCATAGCATGGGGCTGAAGGGTGAAATGGCAACGCCACACTGGCCGCAAACCTAATTGTGCAGTTATTCATTTTAAAATGTTCATGTTAGATGCCAATATGCATTTCCTAATGCTAAACGAGATGTGACTAAATGCAAAGATCCACAGCTGCTCCTTTCACTGAAGGTTGACAGTGCCATCTTCTGTCTTCTAGATGTACAGCACTAGGGTATAGTATGCAAAATAACACACGGGGGGAGAAAACAGGGTGTTTAAGTGGTATCCCAGTTTTAACTCAGGCATATAAACGGTCAATACATTCCCTTCCACATGTGATCTTTTAATAGCGTCCACACTGGCCATCGAGGTAGTTAACAATACAATCCCACTTGTAGAATTTATGGACGCTATAAGGGAGGTGGTAGTGAACCTGTGACCCTAAAGATGTTGCTACCAGGACTCCCACCAGCCCTGATCCTTGGCCACACTGGCTAGGGCTGATGGGAACTGGAGTCCAATTGAACAGCTGAACCAGTTTCCCCTTCCTACAACAGAGCTTTAGATCAATCTAATGTTATTACCATGCTACTTAAGGAAAATATTTCTTTCTCACAGTAAAGACAACTGGAAATTGAGAGATTAAAATGTGCCGTACATTTTTATTTAGCAACAGCTGATTATAGTACAAACCATCACTTATTTGGCTGACTAAAGGACAATATGAGAGGCCTTTGTGTGTGAAAATCTTTAAACTGCTTCTGCACAGATCCCACTGAAATGAAAGGGAGCTATACAGTGCAATTTCCCTCCATTTCAATAGACTTGTGCTAAAGATACTGAGGGTATCTTTAGCACAAGAGACTTGCTTGTCCTTCAACTTTCTGTGTCTATTTTCACCCGGGTTCCTTCGCCAGGTCAGGCAATCATCATCTTTGTTCTGTTTATTATATGACTGGTAATAATGAAAGAAGAGAAAGGTAGCCACAACAAAATTAACAGTTAGTATGAGCAACTGAGATATTCCTAAGAATTACAAAATCAGCTGACCATCTGCATAAATTGTGGTGTCGACACATGCATGTTATTTACAGGTTATACATACTCAATTCTTTAGAAGAATCACTTTGCAGTGCAAACTGCATCACTGAGTGATTTGCATGAAGTCAAGGTCTTCCATATGCAGGTACTTCAGTGGTGACCTTTTTACCATTGATCCTTTGGTATCCACCTTTAAAACTCAGTATTCCGATCTTATGCGTGTTTACTCAGAAATAAGTCCTACAATGTTCAAGGGAACTCCTATTAAACATGCATAGCATTTGACTGCTTTGAAACTCCAAAGCAGATAGGTTTCAGAAGTGGGGAAATGTAGAATAGAAAAAGAAATTCTTGCTCACCACTGAAAAATGAATTGGTGGCACAGAAAAACAAGCAAGCCTGAAACAGTTGCTCAGACTCTTCACCGTCATGTGAAACTGAAGAAATACTGTCATGGCAGCAGAAATGCATATGCTATTAGCAGGATATCTCTAAACTTCCACTGCCATTGGAGGCGTGGGAATCCCAACTTAACTTTTCCTTTGGAGGGGTGGGAAAACACACAACACACTTCCCCCATCTCCTGCAAGCAGTACAATTAATCTCTTTTCTTATTAGAAAAAAACAACAGGACCAGAACAAAACACATGAAACACAGGTTTTCATCCAAAATATATAGCACATTAGAAAGGCAGGAAAAGGGCTTGGTAGCAGATTACTCTCAGAACACAAATATGAATATCTTTGTAATTGTTTTAAGTTAAAATATTGATAACTTAAAATTACAAGTTAAACATATTTGAAGTAGACTACTACAAAGTAAATTACTGACACCATATAAAGGAATCTCATGAATTTACATATTCTGGCAATGTAATCAATATTAACTCCCAGGATTATTATTTTTTAATGGGAGGTAACATTCACCAAGAATATGGTACTGTGCAATCCATTTCAACGATTACTCCCTATTAAAAATGCCTAGCTTGCTTAAGAACCAACTCCATCAAAACTGTTAGAAAGCAACCTACCGTGAAACACTACTGGACCAAACTGATTATGGAACTCTTTGGCTTGGATCCAAAGGTATCTTGCACAAATTGAAATGGAACTTCTGCATGCACATTGGAAGCCCTGTCCATTTTTTCCAATTCCTCTGTTCCACTGCATTTTGAGGGACCCTCAGTCCTCGGGAGTTGCTTTTGGCGGGATGTAGGGCGAGGAGCAAAGAAAGCCCCAATTTGCAAACCGAGTTCCATTTTGCCTCCAAACTTTTGTTAAATTGCTTTTCCAAGATCTATGAAACGGTCATTGTGTTGTACTTAATGATGTCTGTGAGAGTGGAACAGACTTTTGCTCACACAACAGGACTTCACATTCCCCTTCTCCTCGTTGTAGCCCCTCAAGCATCCTCAGTTTGCTCCAGAGGGTGAGATTTTGGAGGTATGCTTGGGTAGGAAAGTAAAATCTTGCTCCATGAGCAATATACAACACAGTGCTGCCCTTAGTTTCATTTAGAAGGCATCAGCCTAGTTCGCATACCAAATTAAACCATACTTTACACATCGTTATTTCACCCATGAAATCACCCACCACTTCTGACTAAGCTACACCAACCATAAGTGGAAGCCAAGGTTTCTTCTTCATTTACCACTCATGGTTTGGCAAGAATCAAATCACAAGCAGAGGGTCACATGTTCCAGCATGTCCAACCCAGGCTTGTTTCCTCCTCTGTGTGCCACAGACAGAAGCCAGGGAGAGCTCATTTATGCAAAACCAGTTTATTTTAAACTACGGTTTAATGTTGCATGTGAACAAGGCCAAATAGTGTTTCTCATGTATTTCTTACTTAAAGACAGACACCATGCAACTGATTAAAAGAGTAATACCATCCACTGAGATCCAAAAACTTACCAATGTGCTTAGTCCTATGAATCTTATGAAACAAGGCCCTTGTATAACAAAGACTATGTTAAAAGAAAGTTCATAGTAGCTGTACGAGCTTATGAATGAGTCTTGATTTTTCCTAAACCCACTAAACTTTCTTGAAATGCTGTATGCTTCAAAAGAATTACTGGTGATTTGTGGGCTTTTTCTCCAATGTCAGGTAACTCCAGTCCAGAACCAGTTTCAGGGCACATTTGAAATAGACACAACGAAAACATTAGCAAAAGTTTGAAATTAGCTCCCTGCTCCTGCCCATCCACAGCTACAGAAATTTTAGTCAGACATCCAAATAGATCTGTATCTAGCAAGTAGATAAATCTTCAGTGACAACGACCGAGGCATTACATGGTCTCCAGAACAAGGTCTGTTTCGAGTCCACAAAATTACGGAGATCCCACTTAAGTGCCTTCTGGTGCTGCTTCAGATTCAGGATGCAAATTCTCGGGGAACTCCAACTTCTCACATATGTTCTCCTTGACAGGTAAATACTGAGCAACCTCATTAGGATCCGTGAAAAGGGGTGGAGGAACATGCTTAAAACCAAAAGAGAAAGAATTATGCAGAGCCCAGCCAAAGAGAAAACATATCTGTACAGACTTAAAAGGGGCCCTGTTAAACTTAAATTAGAATTATTCATATTGTTTATATAACCTTTACACATGTTAACACTACCCAATTTCTGCTTCAAAGCGAGTCTCTCTCCCATAAATGGGCAGCTTGAGAAACATGTCCAGGTAGTGAAAAAGTGCAGTAAAAAGCTCAGTAAAAAATAATTATTAATAAAAAAGGTCTTAATACACGAAATATTTTTTAAATTTTTAAATTTCATTTCCCTGGTAATAAAACCTTGTACATGCTCATGAAAGGTAGCATCTGCCAGTGCCCTATCAAAAAGTAATTTGCATCAAGTAGTTACCAACACTGACAAGAGAAAGACGCTCATGCTTAAAATGTTAATACCTTTAAGCTTGATATTTTGCTTTCCCTCGAGGTGTATTCCCGTAGCATGTAGTGTTTATCAGCCTAGTAAGAAAGAAAACAGCGGAAATGTAACTGCATAAAATAATATAAGATTCTACAGACAGACATGTTGGAAGGCCTGGTCATGGGGAAGAGGTTAATTCCAGTCATGGGCACAAATCACCTCTTGTATGAGATAAGCCAACAGGTGCAGCGTCAGCCAAGCCAATTGCTATGGCAACTGCCCAGTGCCAACTATATAGGTGCTTAAGGTGTATCAGTTCATTTGTCAGTCAGTAAGTCTGTACTTGACTCAGAGTCTGCATTACATCTTGTATTGCTGGAACAACAGAAATATTTTGCATTTGTCTAGCTCTGTATCTGCAAAGCCTACAAGCTGTATGTATATATCAACGTCCAAAACTGTATTACTGAAGCTTTATCTTCCTAGCAGTGGACTATTTTGGACCTTAAGCTGCCTCTGTGTGGTGACTGGAACTGGGGGCCACTTCCACTACGTGGGTATCTCACATCAGATCCCCAGATTTACTTCAATAAATGTGAATTTAATACACAGAAATTAAATGTAAATTGACAACACAGATGGTTGGATTTGAAAACATGCTTTTCCCATTACCATTTAGACTAAACTAAGACAGAAATCTGTTGCATCAGACCTTAAATTGCTATCATTTTCAATGAAGATGAGTTTCTGGCATCCTCTAATCTACAAATCTGAACAAGTAATGTACCAAGTGTGTCTTTCACCAACAATATCCTTGAAGTAATGAAAATTACCCAGGTCGTATGGAACCAACTAAATCAAGCAAGACCAATTTGAAATAATACCTAAGCAATCTTTCCATATCATTTGTGAGTGACAGAATTACCGTAGTTTTCGCTCCATAACACGCAGTTTTTTCCTCCTAGAAAGTAAGGGGAAATGTCTGTGCGTGTTACGGAGCGAATGCTTCCCTCCTCCGTGGTTTCCAGCAGGAGAAGAGCCGCTGAATGGGGAGGAGAGAGGGACAGAGTGCCTGCTTCTTTAAAGGAGCAAAGCGGGAGGGGAGAGGAGCCGCTTACACGAGTGTAAGCGGCTCCTGTCCGGTTGGCTCCTTTAAAGCAAGCAGGCTCTCTGTATCGCTCTCCTCCCGCTTTGCTGGAAATAGCAGGAAAGATTTTCAGCTCGCTAACCGGGGGGGGGAGGGGGGGAGAGAAGCAGAACCTGCTTGCTTTAAAGGAGCAAAGCGGGAGAGGAGAGGAGCTGCTTTAAAGCAAGCAGGCTTTCTGTATCACTCTCCTCCTGCTTTGCCGGAAATAGCAGGAAAGATTTTCAGCTCGCTAACTGGGGGGGAGGGGAGAGAAGCAGAACCTGCTCCACACGTGCTCCTTGTCCCTTGAGTGCTTTTCCTTCCCTCCCCACTTAAAATGTGGTTACAAAGCACAGATCCACATGGATCCTCAAGATTTTTGCACTGGGTGACCCCAAATTCACCATCAGATCACATAGCATGTCCATGGCTACAGTTTGCATCAAAAAAACACGCACCCACTGTTGCCTGAGGCCGCAGTGGTGCAAAAACGTGGTTACAAAGCATGGGTCCACATGGATCCTCAGGATTTTTGCACTGGGCTACCTCAAACTCACCGTCAGATCACATGTCTGTGGCCACAGCATGAACCACAAAAATCATACATCCACTGTTTCGTTTAGAATATTTTTTTTCTTGTTTTCCTCCTCTAAAAACTACATACGTGTTATGGTCGGGTGTGTGTTATCGAGCGAAAAATACGTTATTTTGTCTAGTTTTACAGATACTGTTCTATTGCATGAATGAAACTTGACAGTTGAACTTGACATCTAGACTTGACAAATGTTCTGGTTACTGAATTTATTAATTTGTATATTAATTTGCATTTATTGCAATGTGTATTTTTGTTTATTCATTTTGAATTTTTGTTTACTGGATTGTCTTTTAAGGTTGTCAACTGCCTTAGGAAGGGTATGGAAAGCAGTATGTGTTTAAAAATGAACCTGAATAGTTTAGTTTAAAGGCATTTCTTCTACAAGATTCCATATCAGTATTTATGACTATGAATCCATAGGCACCTGCAGGATTTGGGGGGGGGGGGAGAACACTGAAGGGGGAGGGAACTAGCTTGCTCTCTCAAGCGACTGCACATTTTGCTTCATATCACAGGATTTACAAATGGTAGGAACTTACTCTTTTTTTAAAAAAAGAAAGCTGGGAAACCAGAGATTATGGTTACTCCAGGGCAACTGCCCACCCCCCGGTGCCCTTGCATAAATCTACTAAGGGTGCACAGTTTTAAGGGGACAAAAATCATGTGCAGAGAAGTCTGTACTTAGTCTTCTTAAGACTCCAGGAACCTACTCAAACTAGATTGACAATTCCTAAGAAATAGGAAGCCATCTTCCTACACCTATCACGATATCGCTAATTTTGTAATGGCTTTGGCTAGACAATATAAATAATAATAATAAACGTATAAATCACAGCATATGGCATTTCATTTCTAAATATTAACCATTTTATGGTCTTAAAACAAAATAAGCATTTCCTTACCTCATGATAAATCCTTGTATCATTCATTCTAATAAGCACACCATCAACTCGCAAGAAAAACCTCAAGAGCACAAAGAAGCTTGAAGGCATTACCCTCTGTGAAAAACAGGAAAAATAATATGCACTTGCACACATCTACAGTATTTTGCTCTTAAAAGGTAAAGGTACCCCTGACCATTAGGTCCAGTCGCAGACGACTCTGGGGTTGCAGCGCTCATCTCGCTCTATAGGCCGAGAGAGCCAGCGTTTGTCCTAATAAAAACTTCAGTGTGTAGCTCTTTTTCCACTGTTCAACTAAAATACTTTCTTGTGGATATTTATCCTCTAAAAATGTAAATATTATGCAAGAGTAAAGCTGAACTAAAATGTCTGACCTGTACTCAGTTTTAATACAAAATCTTACAAAAACAACAACATGCATACCAATCACAAGTTTAGTGTTACAGAATATACATTGTTACAAAGTAATTATTATCAGAAACTCAGATTTAAATCTTCAGACGGCATCTCAGATTGCACAAAAATAATAAAGCGCCAACTGCAAGTTAGTATCAGGTTAATATCAGTACAGAACTTCAATTGAATCGGAATAGCCTTCACAAGATAATAATCTTGTCCTTTTAATGGAACGTCATAAGCTAGATCCTTCCTGTCTCAAAGTCTTAAGCAAAGCAAACGTTGGGGTGGAAACTGCATCCAGCCCATCATTACTGGTTATTTTTTATTATATTGCTTAATATCAAAATAGGCTTTTAAGCAATTTACAAGTACTATACACAAACCAATATAATACTGAGCTTCTGTTGGGCTGGGGGAGGGGGAGAACTAGCTGACATCTTAATGGAATATCTTTAACACAGAGAAAGAAATGTAAGTTTGGGCACTACACCTTTTCGTTTTTTCCTTCAGTCAAACTCTAAAGGCATTTCCTACTGTAAGATATAACATGTACAAAGTGACCAAACTCACTATTTTTACACTCAGGCTTGAAACTCCGTGATCATGAAGTTCATCTTCAAACAGAAGTATTTCCTCAAAGAACATAATCTGTTCCCTGGCTTTTAGTTTCTCTGTATCTATATGTTCTGTTGTGGGAGAAACCTGGAAGAGGCAAAATAATTTAAAAGATATGTATTTTATAAGAGTGGTCTTCAGACATTGTTTAACTGCTTAGTACTACAAAGTACGCAGCCGTTAATAGCAGATTTAAGAACGTACCTTTAACTTTAACGTATCACCTAGAAGAGTTCCTTTGTAATCTGTTGTATAGGTCCAGTCATATGGTTTAACAACTTCCTTTGTGTGCTCAGGCTCAGACCTCAGGGGAAAAGATACACAACCATGTAGCATGTCAGTTTCAGAACCAAAGGATCTCTACGGATAGACTGTTCTTAATAGAGTCTATGGAAATGTTGCCTGTATATTTGCAAATTCCTAGAGATGCTGAAGATTGACATAACATTATCAGCTGTACAATATCAGTTTTGTTTATTCTAGACCAGAAATCATATAATTTTTTTTGCTCAAGTTTTTTGCTCAAAGTTGTTGGCTAGTGCATGTGTATTAGGCAGAAATGTCAGAATCCTATTTCATCATAACTGAAGTTGTGGACTCAAGAAGTAATAAGCATATGAGACACTGTTAGTGGGTGGTTCCCTTACATCACGATCTCAAAAACCGTGACTCGAGGGAAAGAGAAAATGTACAATAATATGTTATTTATGTTAAGGGAGAAAGTGACAAGCATTAAGCACTTCTCCAGGTTACATCTCAAGTGGGTGACATAAAAAGTAAAAATCTAAGCTATTGCTCCAAAGTAGCTGAACGTATTAATTTGTCATATTAGATTAGATTAATCTTATATCTTATTACCTGCTTTCTTGCCACTCCTCTGCACAGGCAACTTTAACCATACCTTGAGTGTTATTTACACATCTTAAGGCATCAGTTGCATTGAACTCTATTCCAAAGAGAGATTCATGTTGAATTCTTAAGACATTGTCTCCAAACATCATTTCTGGAACACAAGGCATGTGTAGTTCTTCAGCTAATCTGCATGGAAACAAAAAAGATATGTCACTTTGGAACTATTTCACACTAACTACATAATTTAAAACAGACATAATTTGTTCTGAAGAATATTACAATATGCCACATCTAATTCCAAATATAGTAACACTGAATCAGCTGTGCTTATTTAAGATGAAATTAGCTCTGGAGAGTCTAACCTTCCCCAAACATATACGTTCCTTTCATTTTTTGTCAGTCTCATAAGTCCCCAGCTAGACCACAAGAGGTTAATTCACTGGAGGTTGCAATTTACCACAATACCTTCACAGCACATGGGCACCACAAATACACTTGTCTGATCAACGTTAGCATTTAACAAGAGGATTTGCCACAAATGTAGCAGCATGCGAAGCAGCCCATAGAAAGCAAGAAAGTAAACTACAAACATATCATTTATAAATAACTGGTGAAGTGTATATGATCTGATTGATCGGAGGACTTAGTCGTCTGGCAGAAACCTTATACAGTGGTTCCGGAGGTCCGTTCTTAACCTGAAACTGTTCCTAACCTGAAGCACCACTTTAGCTAATGGGGCCTCCTGCTGCTGCCGTGCCGCCGGGGCCCAATTTCTGTTCTTAACCTGAAGCACTATTTCTAGGTTGGCGGAGTGTGTAACCTGAAGCGTATGTAACCCGAGGTACCACTTGTAACTTGATTACTTAAAACAGCATGCCAGTTCAGAAACCTTAAAAGCATCCCCGCCCTCCTTGCAAAGCATTTGCTTTCTGCACACTTGGGATCAGGTGGGATTTTTAGGAAAATGGAAAATGCTGTCGGTTGGGCGGGGGGTCACTTTACGTTTCAGCCGCCCAGGAAGATTTCCGGGCTTGTTTTCATTGAAATCCCATCAATAAAAGCCGCCGGCCATCCGAATTGGCCCGCTGCAACCTGAAGGGCTCGGCCGACCCAGAAGCGGAGGCTCTGGCGACAGTGTTCCCTGGCATCCCCGGCCCTTCCCCTCGCACCTCTCGGCCTCCGACGACTTGATGATGTGGGTCCGAGCGGCCGTCAGCTTCCAGGGCCCGAAAGTGAAGTCTCTGCGGCTGCTCTTGAATACGGGCATCATGTTGGCGGCGATAGAAGTAGCATAGAGAGGGCGAAGCGGGAGAGAGAGCGACTTCCGGAGACCCTTCCAGGAAGAAAACCCCGAAAAGGAGCCGTCGGAGGAATTAATAGCGGGGTCTATTGTTGCTTTTTTTTTCCCCTCCCCCAAACAGCCGCCTCCGGAAACAGAAAGAACCTTGTTTCCGCTTCCGGGTTCATCACATGTGCGTTGCAAAAGAGGCTGCGGTCTTTCGCTATTAACAATTCCGGTTCTTGGTTGAAGTCGGTGCCGTCTCCCATGTGCGGGGCAAATGCATATGAATCAGTGAGGAAACTCAAGCAGGGAGGCCCTTTGTCGACGAGGCGCTTGAAATAGTCGCGTCCCCTTTTCCCCAAACCCCATGCAAAGGGAAAAAGAGACTAAACAAGGATGAGAGGCTCGTTTGTTTTCTTCGCAGGGGTTACACCGGGTTGGTGGGTGCGGAGTTTCTGCCCTCTCCAAAGCCTCAGAGAAAGCAGAAATTAAACAGAAAGTGACATGCTTAAAGTGAAGACCGTTCATTTTCTACCTGCTGTGTAGTTTTGAAATAGCCCGGGAGTGTATGTAACCCATAGGTGCAATGTTTTCGACAGAATCGTTGTGTTTACCCAAAAGGTGCACAGGGTTTTGTTTTGTTTTTTAAAGTGGTAGACAGGCTCCCATGCCTTTAAAGGCTGTGTTGCAGGCACAACTTCAATTGGTGCAGTCTTCCCCATATGGAGACATGGGGGTTGCATCTGTTGAGTATCTGCTTTTTATGCAGCCCTGTAGCCACAGGAGGACCTGACTCCCTCAAGGATATTCAAAGGCACCTTGTGTGAATTTTTAGTTTTCATTTAAAAACAAACCTCTAGCTCTTGCAAGATATAAGTGCAGTCAGAATGATACCCAACTGAGCACTAAGAACTACCATAAATTTCCTCTCACTATTCAGTAGTCTGGCCAATGAATGCACTACGTCCTTATTTTTACATTGTATAAATCATGTTGTTGTTGGCATCTGTCTGTCTCGGGAGACAGTGGAAGAGTGCGCCTTAGCTGGTAAAGTCAAAACAGTTGCAGTCACACTGCCTCCTGTGGCTGTAGAGACTGATATGGGAGAGATATGTTTTGTTGCAAGTGGGGCAGATGAAGGCATCTGGTTTTGCTGCTATAGGTGCACCATTGTTATTCTCCTCCCAGCAGTTATTTTATTCTCCTCCCAGCAGTTATTCTCCCTCTAGTCACTGCTGTAGATACACAACCTGACTGTCTGTCTCTTGGCACTGTGGTTGTCTGCAGGGGATTCACGCAGGGCGTGGCCACCCTTCATGTCACATTTGCAGACATCTTTGTAACAGAGTTGATCTGCTAACCAGCCTAGTGCCTGAAGCCAGCTCCCTGTGGAGCACATCCTTGGGAATCTTCCATTCTGCGGATGTGACCAAACCAGCGTAGATGTCACTGAGAGGACAAGCTTCTTGGCAAGGCAGCTATGGCATTGGTTCGCCTCTCCAAAAGGCTGTGGGAGAATGTGATGCTAACAACCAAGATCAAGGTCAACCAGTCTTGCCTGTTAACCATGCTGCTTTATGGAAGTGAGTTGTGGACGACTTATAAACCAGTGTTTAATGACTTGGTATATGGCAATTTCTTATGTTCCCCTGGGGATGGGGGGAGGCAGCAGCTTCTGCTCGTCCTTCCTCCATTCTCGCTCCAGCACACCTGACTGCCCTTCCCCTGAGAACAAGGAGCAGCAACTGCTGTCCAGGCTAAGGGATGGCCAGTTGAAGGTGCCCTGCCCAGGGTGTGGCAAAATCCTCCAGTGGACACTCCACCCTCATATTCCATATCCCTCTGTTCCATAAGAGTTCTATGTCAAACATTCATCCAAAATGTGTTATCTTTTCATTTTCTGGCCAAGCACATACTTTTCCTTTGTTCCTTCAACTGTCCAATTAACAGTTTCTATTTATCATTTAATCTAAATAGGGAATGAAGTGGTGCTTTAAATTCTGCCAGTTGGATAGAGCTACGTGGGTAGAGAAGAGCAAGGAAAGACACCGAATAAACAAAACGCTTACTTCATCATAACTCTTCATTTATTAACAAAACCAATCAAATGTTACATACACGAAATGCTTGCTTTTAACTTTTCTGTGTCTTCTAACACTTGCCAGCAGCTTAACTGCATTTAGGAAACACCCACCCACAGAGTTTTCTGTTCCAACACCCAGTGATATAGCAAGCTCACCCAGTGAGCAAAAGGATTTTTCTTTTGGCTAGAAAGCATGTTTATCTTACTCTTCCACATTTCAGAGATGAAATTAGGCCAGCTCTTGAGTGTTCGCAGTAGCCTTATTCTTACAGCCAGGACTGGCTGAGTCCAGATACATATTTATAGATGTTACACAGGACTCTTCTCCATTTACTGTACATCATAAATTTTCTTTTTTCTTTTTTCAAACAATTTAAGAATGCTTAATCTCACAAATAATATGGTTCTTCTTATTGCAGAATAGCTGAAACTCATTTTTACATGTTGCTGTTATGCAGCTATACAAAAGTAACCCATATGTACTCAGAAGCTGCCAGATCCAGTCGTCTTTCAACAGCTCACAAGCCTAGCTGCTAATCCATGCTATACACAACCCCAAAGAAGTGTGTAGAATTTGTAACTCAACTGTAAGACAACTATAAAATCTTCCTCCAAGGAGTTCAGGGTGATACACACAGTTCTTACTGCCCTTTCATCCTTAAAACTTTGTGCAACAGGAGACACTCATCTTTCTATTACTAGTGGTGGCAAGAATGTCAATGGCCAGTAAATGGAAAACTTGTTCACCTCTCTCCATTGATTATTGGTTTGGTATAGTCCGAGATATAGCTCTCTCTGAGCATCTTACATATCAAAGAAAAGTAACTAGGGGAGAATCTAAATCTGATCATTTTTATGCTATTTGGTCAATTTTTATATATATATATACATCAATACAACAGAGATGGAACATGGGCAATGGTCCAATTAAGTGCAGAGAGAATATTTTCTAGAAGAATAGGATTAAGTGATTTCTCAGTCCCTTGTATTGTGATTATAAAAGATGCATCGCATGGATTAATGTAGGGTATTATTTTCCCTTTCTCTTATCCACTGTAGTTTTCCTTATTTTCCCCTTCTGTATCAGTATGTTTGATGTTGTTTTTATTTTGTCTTTATTTTAAAAATTAATAAAGTTTTTCTCTCTCAGAAAAAAAAAGCTTTGTGAAATAGGTAAAGGAAGAGATTTTGCCCAGTGAGCTTCATGCCTGAGCTGAGCTTTGCAGCCAGATCTTCCCAATCCTAGCCAGACACATCCATACCAGACATTTAAAGCATATTTACACCGCTGCCATGGCTTCCCGTAAAGTATCCTGGGAACTGTAGTTTGTTAATGGCCCTGGGAATTGTGAAGAGTAAATTACAGTTCCCAGGATTCTTTGGGGGAAGCCAGTGTTGCCACTACTCCACACTGGCTCTCAGCTTAATTCATTTTGGATCAGTCAGAAGAATTTAGCCCAGGCGTGGGCAACTTGAATCCCTCTGGAGTCATCTTCCAGGGCTGCATTCCAGAGGTGGGCAGGCCTGGAACCAAAACTGGGTGGAACAACTTCTTTTCTTCCACCGGCTTCTCCTTTCCTCTCTTTGCCACAGACATTCTGAAATTACTCCAAGGGCTGCATGAAATTAAGCAGAGGGCTGCAGGTTCCTTAATTCTGCTTTAGTTTGATGGACTAGGATGCAAACTGTTGGAAAACTGGATGAATTCTGTAACTTCATTGAAGGTGCTTTGTGTCATTGAACGAAAGCCCTTTTTGCAAAATTAGCTTTGTGTGCTGTTCTGATCTTGCCCTAAAATACTGTGGATGCCATCCCTTTCCCACAAATACTCCTTTCTCTTCCAATCTCTCTCCGTGTTGAGTTTTGAGTCTGGGGCACAGCAAAATGGAGGGGAGAGAGAAAGTTTATGGAGTGTGAAAGACAGGAATCCTGAGGGTGGAGGGGAGAACAGCTATATAATATAAACTGTTTAATACTGGCGGTGAACCAGAGTACTGCTTAGGAACATCTCCCAGCTGCTGGTTTTCGAGTAAACCGCCTGGTCTCTAAAAGGCAAGGCAGCACTTTTGCCCAGGGCGAGCCTCGGCGTCGTTTCCTCACGTTGCCCGGCGCTGACCCGCAGGCAAGCGCGGAACCGTGGCTCTCTTTCACCTCGCGAGCGCGAAAGATCAAGAGGCGATATGAAAAGAGGGGCAGCAAACTGGGGAAGGACAAAGGAGGGGAGGAGCGGGGGGGGGAATGGGAGGAGCGAAACGGGGACTGGCGGGATGGGGAAGAGTAGCTGGGAGGATGGACGGGGAGGGAAGGGGGTCGGGCGCATTTTCTGGGAGTCTGGCGGCGGCTGTGGGGGGTCCTGGGCGCGGTAACCTGACTCCGCTGGCCCTGGACGGTCGAGCAGGAGGAGATCGGCCGGGTCTGACGGTGAGTGGGTCTCTCTTCCCCGCGCCCCAGCCCGGGATGAAGGGAAGGTGCGCGCAAGGGCGAGAGCGCGCGCGCAATGGAGGGGCCATTGTGTACGAGAGGAGGTCCCGGCTGGCCGCCTCTTCGGAGGGGGACCCTCTGGCCCCCGGGCGGGCTCTGGGCGGACCCCGAACTGGCGGGGCCTCCGCGGCTGCGGGACAGAACCGGCTTTGTCTCTCCCCGCAGCTGGCAAGGCGGGCGAGGGAGGCGCGCGGAGAGCCCCACCGCCGCCGCCGCCACGGCCCCTTCCACGCCTCCACGGGTGGCAGCTCCAGAGGAAAAGGGCTGGGCTCCAAAGACGCTTGCACGGAGCAAAAATGAAAAAAGCCCGGCTGGGTGCGGGCAGCTCCGGGGACTGGGGGAATACAAGGCGCAAAGACGGCTGGGGAGAAGCGGAGGGCTTGGTCCACTTCTCAGGGTGGCGTGTCGAGAGCATCCAGGGAGTGGGGGACTCGGAACCGACGGCCTCCTCTGCGTTTGGGTTGCTTTCGACGGGTGACGAGATCTTGGGCAGATAGGGATCCCCAGATCTCACACCCAAAAGCGAATGAGATGGGGAAGCTTCGTTGCCCGAATCCGTCTTTTGGTGCATGCAACTCTAGGCCTTCTTAAGATCACAGACTGCTTCCATTGATTCACACACACACAATTGTGCGGGAAGCGAGTTGCTGCCTCCTGGTGGAACCCCGTGTCGCTAGCAAATGTGTGAATGAAGCAATGCACTTGGGGAAAGAATCGTAGACCGGTAGAGTTGGGAGGGGTTCTGAGGAGCATCAACCTCCTGTAATGCAGGAATCACAACTAAAGCATCCATGGCAGATGGCCATGCAACCTCTGCTTTAAAACCTCCAAAGAAGGAGAGTTCACCACCTCCCATGGGAGTCTGTTCCACTGCCGAACAGCTCTTACTTTCAGAAAGTTATTCCTGATGTTTACTCAGAATCTCTTTTCTTGTAACTTGAATCTATTGGTACAGGTCCTAGCCCCCAGAGCAGGAGAAAACAAGCTTGCTCCATCTTCCATGTGACAGCCTTTTAGATATTTGAAGATAAGGCTCACATGATTGGTCTTGCCCATATGGTTCATAGCAAGGGCAGCCAGTGTGCCCTCCAGCTGTTACGGACTACAACTCCCATAATCCCTGGCCATCGGCTACAACATCTGGAGAGCACCACATCAGCTAGTTACCTGTTTTATAGTACTGTATTACATTTCTGCACACACAAGAAAGAGGGAACCAATTGTTCTGTTGTTTGTGCATGAAAAGAGCTGATATACAGAGTAGGATTTCTGATCTGTATTAGTAGGCCCCTTTTTGAACGGTGGTATTACGTGCTCTGCATTAATTAATAGATCCAGATCAAAAGGGCAAAGGTTGCATTTGTGTCACTGCATGAAAAACTGTGCTGTGATATACATGCAAAACTAATGTTGAGCACTTAAAATCCCATTGATTTCAATGTGAGAATTAAGCAAGTGATTAATTTTCCCCAGCTGATGTCACCAGATCTTAGAAAGTGCTTGCATTTGACTAGAATCATACCTCTGATTGACGGACCTTTGGGCAGCTTGCTCAGGGTACCAGTGGTAACCAATGGAAGGAGGAGGCTGGTCCTTTATAAATGTATGAAAATGCTTTGAGTCTCCTAATGAGTAAGAATTGCTACTGCCCTACATTTGTAAATTCTTTCAGAATTCTTGAGCACACTATTGCTCATTCAACAGAGAAAGGTACAGCAGATTATGGGCAGAAATTCCTTCTTCCATTTAAAAGCTGGAACAGGGAGATATTCCTATCACTAGCTATCTGCGTGTGTGGAATGCAATAAATGTTATGTACTTAACCCTGTTGTTGATTATTGTTATCACCCAAAGGGCAGATTTAATTGGTGTAAAGGGAAATGGAGAATTATCTGTGTACCAAGCAATTAGATACACAATAGCCACTGTGAGACAGATCTATTACCCATACAATGAACTCTTAACTCATTGCTGCCTCAACTTTGCTACTGCTACTATGGCTGGTTGAAATTCTTGAAATGTCAGGGAAATACTGAAAAAACATTGGAGGCTAACAGTGCAAGCCTAACCATGTCTACTTGGAAGTAAGTACCGTTGCATTCAATGGAGCTTACTCCCAGGTAAGTAGGGTTAGAATTGAAGTCCCATAAATTTCAATGTGAAGTGTGCTCAACGAATTTACTCTGGATCCAAATGGTGATGGGTGCCACTTTTCAGTAGATTATGAAAACAATAATGATCAATAAAACTTTATAATAAAACAGAAGAGGCTAATCTGGAAGAAGCTTTTTTCAATTGCAGGAGGGCAGTTACACCCCTTGGAGCTGGGTGGTGGCAGCTCATCAAGCTGTTTCTGCTTCTTCTCCTTCACCTCAGGGCAAGGTGGCTGTTTGTTTACACTGAGTTGTGCCTCCCAATTGAGACATCCCCCACTACCTACTGTATTGGCCCAAATATAAGCCGCACTCAAATATAAGCCACACCTTTAAAATTGATGGGGGGAAAGGAAAAAAGACAATACCCGAATATAAGCCGCACCCTTAAAATTGGAGGGGGAGGGGGATTCTGAAAGGCACCCACCCAATGAAGCACAATCACACAACGAGGAACACACATGAGGCTTGCCCAGGGAAGGTGGGGGGAATCAAAAAGGGGGTCAAAAAGCACCCGTCCCAAACAAGCACACTCTCACCACCAAAGCCCATACGGTCGTCCGCTGCCTAATACAGTAACTGCTTTGCTGGCGGCCTTCCGCCTTTCTTACAGCGGCTCAGGGGAGGCTTGGGAGCGGAAGGTGGGCTGCGCACCATTCCCTTGCGCTCCTGGGCTGCTTCCTGGTGGGGGAGCCACGCCGCTTTGCTGGTGGCCTTCCCCCCCTTCCTCCTTCTTTCTGGTGGTTCGGGCAAAGCTTGGGAACCACGGTTGGGACGGGTACCCTTGTCCCGCACCCCTGACGGCCCTCGTGGGCAGCTGTTTCAGCAGCGATATCGTAAGGTCACAAATATCAGCCACACTTTAACTTTTCACAGTTGGAATTTGGGGGGGGAAGTGTGACTTTGGGCCAATATGGTATATATGCAGCATTCCTCAAGAGAATAGGACAGACACTGAGTATGAAAAATCTGCCAGTAAGTCTCCACCTGCATTGGCAGAGAATATCTATAGTATCTCTTCTTTTTCAGGTGTCCAGCATGTCCTGGCTGCTCCAACACAGGACGCTCCGACAATGAGCATCAACTCGCCTCTCAGCAACGAGAACGCCTCAGGGAACCTTACGGTGCTGGAAGACGGGGCTGGCCGAGTTACAGAGTCCATTGCTATTATTGTCATCACCATTTTCATTTGTTTAGGAAACCTGGTGATCGTCCTCACTCTTTACAAGAAGTCGTACCTCCTCACACTGAGCAACAAGTTTGTTTTCAGCCTGACCCTGTCCAATTTCCTCCTCTCCGTGCTGGTTCTTCCTTTCGTCGTGACCAGCTCCATCCGGCGGGAATGGATCTTCGGAGTCGTTTGGTGCAATTTCTCTGCCCTCCTCTACATGCTGATCAGCTCGGCCAGTATGCTCACTCTTGGACTCATTGCAATCGACCGGTATGTTGTCATAGAATCATAGCATCACAGAGCTGGAAGGGACCCTGAGGATCATCTAAGCCCAACCCCTGCAATGCAGGAATATGCAGCTGTCCCTTATGGGGATCAAACCTGCAACCTTGGTCTTATCAGCACCAGGCTGTAACCAACTGAGCTATCCAGCTGCTTTCATTACAGATGGGATGTGGGTGAGCAGTAAAGACAAGCCAGAATACACCTGTGCAGAGAGGGAGACCCGGCTTAAAGTAATACAGGACAAGATTGTCCTGACAGAAAATACTTTTGGGGGAGTCTACAAGCGCGGGTGGCACTGTGGGTTAAACCACAGAGCCTAGGACTTGCCGATCAGAAGGTTGGTGGTTCGAATCCCCGCAACTGCTCTTGCCAACGTAGCAGTTCGAAAGCACGTCAAAGTGCAAGTAGATAAATAGGTACCGCTCCGGCAGGAAGGTAAACGGCGTTTCCGTGCGCTGCTCTGGTTCACCAGAAGAGGCTTAGCCATGCTGACCACATGACCCGGAAGCTGTACGCTGGCTTCTTCGGCCAATAAAGCGAGATGAGCGCCTCAACCCCAGAGTCGGTCACGACTGGACCTAATGGTCAGGGGTGCCTTTACCTTTACCTTACAAGCATCAAAGAGTGATCAGACAGAACCATTCCTCTATGGGGCCTCCCAGAAGACATCTGGCTGGCCGCTCTAGGAAACAGGATAAGAACATAAGAATCCAGTTGGGTTGACCAATGGCTCATCTAATCCAGCGTCTTGTTCTCTCAGTGGCCAGCCAGATTACAATGGGAAGCCTGCAAGCAGCGTCTGAGTTGGACAGCACCCTCCCCTGTACCTAATAATAAATAATAATAATAATTTTTTATTTATACCCCGCCCTTCCCGGTTCAGAAAACCGGGCTCAGGGCGGCTAACAACAAATTTAAAACACTTAATTGATGCAACAAAAAACATCATAAAATACAGTATAAAACGTGAATAACAATAAATTCATAATTCAAAAATCAATTTAGTGTGCACTAAATTTAGTGTGCACATTCATGTAACATCATAAATGTCAGCTGGTGCTCCAGCATACCTAATTAAAAACTGCACCATAATGACAGATTTGTACAATTTATATTTTAGCATCATCACTTTGTGTGTCCTTTGAGCTCCAAACCATGCAATAGCTGTATCTGTAGAAGTTGCCCATTTGGTTGATTACTGGGGCGAGTTTCAAATAACCAAGAGCAAGTTTTTTAAAGAAAAGACTCATTTCCCCTTCTTACTGCATGCTTTGTAAGGTTGCTGAATCCTCCTTTTATTTTTCCTCAGGTACTACGCTGTCCTGTACCCGATGGTTTACCCAATGAAGATTACAGGTAACAGAGCTGTTGTTGCCCTTCTGTACGTCTGGCTGCATTCCCTCATCGGGTGCCTTCCTCCGCTCTTTGGCTGGTCTTCTTTAGAATTTGACCAGTTCAAATGGATGTGTGTGGCCGCGTGGCATAAAGAAGCAGGCTACACTGCCTTTTGGCAGATCTGGTGCGCGCTGCTGCCCTTCTTAGTCATGATGATTTGCTACGGATTCATATTCCGCGTGGCCAGGATTAAAGCGCGGAAGATTCACTGCGGGAGCGTGGTCATCGCAGAGGAAGACACCCAAAGGAATGGGAGGAAAAACTCCAGCACTTCAACGTCCTCGTCAGGCAGCCGAAGGAACGCTTTCCAAGGAGTCGTTTATTCTGCCAATCAGTGCAAAGCTTTGATAACTATCTTGGTTGTGATTGGTGCTTTCGTAATCACATGGGGGCCTTATATGGTGGTTATTACATCCGAGGCACTTTGGGGGAAAGACAGCATTTCTCCTGCTTTGGAGACACTGGCAACTTGGTTGTCTTTTACGAGTGCTATTTGCCACCCTTTGATTTATGGACTCTGGAATAAAACGGTACGCAAGGAGTTGCTGGGAATGTGCTTTGGAGACCGGTACTACAGAGAATCATTTGTTCAACGGCAAAGGACATCCAGATTATTTAGTATTTCTAATAGGATCACAGGTAATAAAGCATGGTGGTATGGCTTATGGTATGATTTCTCTAAATACCACTTTCTCACCCAAAGGCTTGTTGCCTTTTTATTATTTTTAGGCTTGCCAGGTGATGTTGAAGAAATATTAGTAGTCTCTCAAATGTGTTAGTTAAGGTTACTTAAACATCAGTCGCTCATGTCGACAGGGAAACATTCAGATTCCACTACCACTGAAAGGGAGAGGAATAAATTCCCTGTCTTTGATTTCTCCTTTGGAGATGGTATTCCTGTCATTTGGTGTTTAACTCTGGATTATGCAAGCATACTTGTAGCAGCCTTTTCATTAACTCTCAGTACAGATGCTGCAGTTTAGCTGTTGACTAAATCAAACAGCTGGATAATAAGTCGTGGGAGCTTTGGAACATGCTTTTCTTAAATCTCCCAGCACTTCTCCAGGATATAGTTTGCTAATGCTGAAGGTCTTTTTTGCAGATTTGGGACTCTCTCCACATCTCACAGCTCTCATGGCAGGTGAGAGGACTTTAGGACACAGCAGCAGCACCGGCGATACAGGTTTCAGCTGCTCTCAGGATTCAGGTAACTCTTCCTTTTTTAAAATTTCACTTGCATTTTCCAAGTTGTGAGAAACTATTATTATAAGAAACTGGATTAAAAGTGGCACTTGCTGGTAACAGTGTTTAGCAATTTAAGGTGCTAGTCTTGATCTATATAGCCCTCCATGGCCTGGGACCTCTGTGCCCAACAGAATGCCTCCTCCCATTTTTTTTGCACGTATTCATCATAGTAATTCTTCCATAAATTAACTGTACAAGCCATGGTCTTGTTTTAGGAACAGATGTCATGCTGCTTGAAGACTATAGTTCTGATGGAGTTCATCACCCACATTGCCTTTATCCCCATCGACGGAGGAGTTCTGTGACTTTTGAAGATGAAGTGGAACAAACTAAAGGTGTGCTGAGGCTGGGTATTTTAGTCCAAAGCAGACAGAAAACACTTAAAATATTACTGTGTACTATTCAAATGTTAAAAACCAGACAGATCTCTGTCAAAATAGCTTACAGCTATGAGACATAAAGTGGAAGAAAAAAGATGTTGGATGAAACATGATTTATTTACTACTTTTACCTTTCAGTCAATACATAAGGTGTACAGTCAGTGCTTTTTTTCTGGGGGTAATCAACGGCACACATTACTGGCACCTTTTTTCTAGAAGAAAAGCACTGTGTACAGTACTTGACTATATTCAATTTGGAAGGTTTTGGTTCAGCTGTGGTGTGGTGTGTCATCTGGACCAATAAACTGTGGTTAACACTAACTATGGCTAGTTTCAAACAAGCCAACAGAACTCAGATTACTGAAACCAGTTGGTTTAAAACTAACCATATTTAATATTAGCCATTGTTCCAGATCTAGATGACATGACAAACTGAGGTTAATCCAAGGTGGAAGCTTCCAAACTCCTCCAGGTAGTGAAGGAGCAGGGGAGGCTGGCAGGGAATGTGTGACTTCAGGAGGTGACTAAGCTTGATCAGGTTTCACTAAACTGTTCGCATCTTGCTAAACCATACTTTAGCATGGCAGCTGTTCTTCACTAATAGAAGCTAAGGAATAACATGCAAAAAGCCAAGGGGTGAAACATACAGAAAAGAAGGATGAAAACTACTTTAAAAACAGGGGTCCCATATAGGGGAGCTATAGATTGTAAGTGGATAAGACACAGAAGACAATAAAATAAAGTGGGACCTGAGTTAAGCAAATTGTTCAAGGGCAACTTACAGAACTAGTGCTGCAGGTATTGAATAAAATAATAACCTGTAATTTCTGTGCTACCAGTAAGACCAGGCATGGGCAGGTGTTTTGTTAGCTCATGGAGCCGGGTGCAAAAAACAATGATACAAGCATTTGTCCTGTTATTATTACTGAAGTCAGTGTTTAATTCAGAACCATTTTTTTCTCCATTTAGATGACTCTTGCGAGCAGCCTCAATATCTGCTGCCAATGCACTGTAGTTTTAAGTTTATGGATAGATGTCCTGATTAAAATATCAGGCATTTGCTTTGCTTTGACTCTCCATTTGGTTAGCTTTAGAATTATTATGTTATTCCATGGTAGAATCCTGAAATTATCTGTATTAATAGATCCACTGAAGAGCTACTTTGTGTATGAAGTCTACAAATAGTTCCTTGTGGGCAAGGCTTCCATACATTCTTCTAAACTGTCTGTTTCCTCTGTTCAGAAGCGGCAAAGAATTCTGTTCTCCAGGTAAAAGCTGACGTTCATAAGTCTCTGGACAGTTACGCATCCAGCCTGGCCAAAGCTATTGAGGCAGACGTGAGGATCACCTTGTTTGGTGGAGACGCTTTACCTGGCTCTCTGTTTCCAGTGCGAACTGTGACAGGCAGCAACGGTGGTGCCCGGCGTGGGGGCAGGACCCATGTTGGCCAAAGACTGCAGCTACAAAGCATTGAGGAAGGGAACACTTGAAATTTCTTCCAACGAGGAACAGACGGAACCACTAGGGACGATACAGGGCCTTTTGAAAAGAAAGCAAAATGGCCTTCAGGGTTTTAGTCCAAGGACATCTAAAAAGAAAAAACCTGAAGTCTTGTCTTAACAGTATTAGAATTTGTGTGCATATGTCAAATATATGTGTTTTGCCCTTCAGGGTAGGGTTAAGGCCACCTTGTGCCTGACTGACTGCTCAGTTAGGAAACAGGTCAAAACGAAAAGGAAATTAGAAGTAGACCAGGGAGGCTACTCACAACATGAATGATAAGCTCTGCTTCTTGAAGTGATACAGGATTCCTTACACGATCCTACTTGTTTTTTCTTTAATTCCACCCACTGACACTATCCATTTGAGACCGCTCCTTTCCTCCACCCACCCTATGCTTTCATAAATGCGACAGTTTCCTTCACATGCTCCTGGAGAACAGTACAAAGAAACACAACAGTTGCCTTAATAGATCAAGTGGAGTTTGTCATGTCTAGTGTTTGGCAATGGCTGAGAGATGGCATGATGTGGGGAAGACAAGGAAACTGAAAAGGAAAACTTTCAGGCATCAAGGATTGGTTCCTTACCAGATCGGAAAGGAGATGAATAGGCTGCAATCCTAACCCCATTTGTCTGGGAATGAGCCCCACTGAATTCAGTACTTCTGAGTAGACATAAGTTAGGACGGCACTGTAAAGCAGGAGGTGTTTTATGGTTGGACACGTGCAGAAATGTATGTCTAGTCTTACCTTAATGACTTTTGAGAAGTGCCGTGTATGTGGTTTTAACTAATGCACAACAGTTGAACCAGTTTTTACATCCCATTGGCAGTGTTTCCAGGTAAGCTGTGAATCAGGTTTTCCTGATGTGAAACCAGCATAAAGTGAGTGTTTGAAAACTGGAATTCATCAAGTCATCCACAACACAATGCAGCTCATACTCAGTCAAACTGAAACCTTTTCAGACCTGCTTGAAAGCCTCTGTCCCTCTTTTCTTCTCTCCCCCCCCCCATACTTCTTTTTTGGGTTTCACAGAAAGGCTGAAACATTCAGTCTGCTGAAACAATTGGGAGTTTTGCATAGCTATCACTAATCAGGCTTTGACAAAAATTAGCAAATGGTTAGCTCAGAATTCTGGGTTCACAGGGGCAGCTTTGAATTCAACATTGCGTGCTGCGAGGCACCTTGCCTTTAAATTCTCCTTTTATCCCATCTATAACATACAGAAATAGTAGGTGCTATTTACCTACTTTGCCATATAGGATTACTTAAATAATTATCATACAGTGGTCAAAACATATTTCAAGTGCCATGAATAAACCTCCAGACATACAGTATGTCCATAGCTACTAATTCTTTAAGGTTAGAAGGGAGAAATGAGATGCTTTTTAGTGGTGGTGCTTTAGCATGGTCTCCTGAAGACCACTTTTAATTTCCACTTCAGTTCTGCTTAAATCTGTGGGAACAGCTTCCAAGTAAATATGGTTGGGTGATAAGTGCTGGAGTCCAACAATATCTGAAGGGCCACTGGTTCCCCATCCCTGCTAATAGCCTAGTGAATATGCTAACAGTGCTTTTATGTGCATGGAAGAGTTGCTGAATTTTCCCTTCTAAGTGTTCCTCCAAGCACCACAGCAAAATGGTACCCTGAAATACTCCCTTTCCTTTACAGGGGGTGTGGAGGATGCCATAAGGTGAGGCTTGAAAAACCTCTGGATGCGCTTTTAAATTTCATAAGGATATGTTTCCATTTGTATTACTCCACTCAGTAATGTAAATCACTATGTGACAAAAAGCACTTGCCAATCTTTGGTTAAACAAATGAATCTTTAGAGTAACCAATTATTTTGATGGTAGGAGTCCAAGATTTTGCACAGACTTTTTCTCAAACCATCTACCCAAATGATGTTTACAACAGTTACAACTGTGCCAAGAGCTTTGAAATGTTTTATTATTCTGTGTATAACACCTGCTCTGCAATACGGAGCAGCTCTTAACAACTTTGGTAAATGTGTTCAAGCACTCTTGCTGCTAATAACCTTTCTACAGAACAGCGGCATTTTTATACTTGCTTTTCCCTTTCTTTGACTGCAAATGGAAAATAATTATATATTTCAAATATTAAGGAATCCACTCTAGATGAATCCCAGGTGGAGGCTAATGTGGCTAACATCTAAGGCTGCAGTCCTAAATTCACTTCTGGGAGTCTCATTGAACTTAAAGAGTATTTACTTCTAAGTAGATATACTGCAATAGTAGCATAGACACAATGTGAATTTTTTTGGGGGAAGATTATCCTAACTTTACCTGTTGAAGAACTGGCATCTTGCAGGGCTGGCCCTAATTTTAAGCAGTGCAAGGTGGCAGATGCTGGGATAAGGGAGAGCAAAGATGTTGTAGGACTCTGCTTCATACAAACCAACCTGTACCCTCTAAGCTGCATGGAGATTGGGTGGTCTAGTCAGCCTCTGTATTTGAACTGGGGTGGAGCTGGAGCAGGGAACCATCCCGCCTTTCACCTCAGGCAGCAGCATATCTTGGGCCAGCCCTGGCATCTTGCCATGTCTTCATGCCATTGTCACATCTGATGTGCCTTCAGGACACTGCTACCAGCTCCCTCAGGCTCCAGGTAATTCTCAAGTCACATAGTGGCAATGGAAGCTTGTGCCCCAAATCAAGAAGCCAAAAGTATTTTCAAGAGACTGATATGGTTTCTCTTGCCTGTATTTCAAAGAAAAAACCTATTGGGAGTAATTGGGCCTATTAAACCAGCCTTGTTTCCGTAGTGGAGGAATAGATGGAGGAGTCAGATAGCTATGGTCAGCATTTGCTGTTTCATTGCAAAGAACTTTGAAATGGTGATTAGATAAATTTATGGAGGATAAGACTATAAATGTTTACTAATCCATGATGCCTATGTTATTTCTCACATCAGAGGTAGCATGCCTCTTGGTGCCTGTTGCTGGGGTTCACGACAGGGAGAGTGCTGTTGCACTTATGTCCTACTTGTGAGCTTCCTGTAGGCCTCTATCTGGTTGGTCACTGTGAGAACAGGATGCCGGATTAGATGGGCCTTTGCTTTGGTACATCAGGTCTCTCTCTATTTCCTTATGGTACTCTTACTGAGCAGAAGAGTAAGTTAATGAAATAATATTCTCATACAGATTTTTGTTGTTGATGCATTCTCATTTTGTATTCCCTCCCCCAATTGTTAAAAAAGATATATGGTTTTCTATATGAATGCTTTGAAAAATAAAAAAATGTATGAAGATAGTGATTTTCTATCCCAAGGAAAACTGTCAGGAAAATAAGGGATTTAGTAGACATTTGCAAGGATCAACTCTTTCAACAAGGTCTGATTGGGTGGCACAAAAAAACCACAGTAAATTTAACAATTTTCTACAAAGCTTTTGTTTCTAAATGTTATAACAGAAGTTATAAGTAGGATTATGTAATGCCTGTATGTTATAGAACCTTTATGCCTTATACAACACAATTAACTGGTAATTTAATCTTTAGCCTATCAGCACATATTTTCTCTGGATTATTATTATTATTACTATTATTAATTACATGCGTATCCCAGCTTTCCTCACAGTAGCTCAAGGGTCGTGTACATGGTTCCTTCTCATTTTATCCCCATAACCCTGTGATGCATGTTAGGCTGAGAAACTGACTGGCCAAAGGTCACCAACTGAACACGGCTGAGCAATGATTTGAACCTAGGCTTCCTTAGTCCTAGTCTGGCACCATAACCATTACACCACACAGCTCTTTAATCAAAACAGAATACTAAGCAGTCCAGCTTGCTTATCATCAAGCCAAAGGCCACGGTCAAGCCCCAATGGGCCTTTGCTTTCCCAAGTGATCACCTATTTACGTCTCTGTGTCTATTTCAAAGCATTTCCACACTGGTTAATATTTCAAGAATGTGTTGAGCGGTGTTGCAGTATGTATACTTGGCACACCTCTAGCTGGCCCCTTTAGTCGGGAAATGGCTCTCAAAGCGTCTTACAGAAGCCAGAATTTAGACCAGTGGTTTTCCAAAGGGACTGGGAGGGGGCGGGATTTCTGGCGGTGCAAATGACTGGGGAAAGCGAGCGCGAGCTCGTCCAACTGCAGTTCATCACACGGCGCTGTCTGTCTGCAAAGAGCATGAAACCAGTCGCCCAGCTGGCAACACCCGGGGAATTCGGGAATATGAATCCATTGGCTGCTTCCCCCACCAACCAGCGCCCCGTTCTTTCCCTCCGCTTGCCGTGATTGGGCAGCCGCACGGGCAGAGGAAACGCCGTTCGCGCTCCGTCTGCGCTCTGAGGAGGTTCAACACCCCAGCCGTATTTCCCTCCGGCCCGCCTACTTTTCGTCGTGATTGGCTCCGCCGGCGAAGGAGGACGACGCGATTGGCAGTTTCAGGGATTGACGGGGGCGGGAGGGCGTTACCTCAGGTCTTTTCTCTCCGCCCCCGCCCGCCCTGTACGCCTTTTGCACGGAATTTTGCCGGGTTGAGGCGACAGGAAGGCGAGGCGTCTCCTTAGCGGCTCGGCTATGGAGAAAGTGCTGTGTAGCGGGCACGGTGAGGAGCCGGGAGGCGCAGGCTCGGATCCCTGCGCGTGGGGTGCAGATGTCTGGCTCTTTTTGAGATTTTGTGCAACTTTCAATACGGGTCGAGCATGCTTTCACTTTTGCACCTCTCTTTGTTATCTGCAATTGGATTCCTTGTTACCAGTCGATGCTTTATTATTATTATTATTATTATTATTATTATTATTATTATTATCGTCTTGGGCGTTTTCGTCTCCTTTTTTTGTTTTGATTGTAATTTCTCAACACTAAAAGTAGTAAAAAAATAGTAAAAACAGGAAGTTTGCTGGGGCGATCGGGTATGTCTTTACTTGCTAGGCACTAGGCTGCCTCCTTTCAGAGAGCTAAGGAAGGGGAAATAGCAACACCAGCAAAATAACCAGAACTACTTTGGCAAAGTAGGGGTGTGGATGGCACTGTGGGTTAAACCACAGAGCCTAGGGCTTGCCGATCAGAAGGTCAGCGGTTCAAATCCTCACAACAGGGTGAGCTCCCGTTGTCCGGTCCCTGCTCCTGCCAACCTTGCAGTTTGAAAGCACGTCAAAGTGCAAGTAGATAAATAGGTACCGCTTTGGCGGGAAGGTAAACGGCATTTCCGTGCGCTGCTCTGGTTCGCCAGAAGCGGCTTAGTCATGCTGGCCACATGACCTGGAAGCTGTACGCCAGCTCCCTTGGCCAATAAAGCGAGATGAGCGCCACAACCCCAGAGTCGGTCACGACTGGACCTAATGGTCAGGGGTCCTGTCGGAGCCAGCCGTACAAATGGCGAAGTTTAGCATAAAATTATGACACAGAGAGCCAGCAATATTTTCATGATGGTAGGAGCAGCTCCTCTCAAACTTCCCTCTCCTCCTCCTGCAAACTTCTTTATTCCTTTGTCCTCTCTCCAGCCGCATGGCTGTTTGCCAGTGTCTCACGTTACCTCATCCGGTCAAGGCTTTTATTGCCCCCTTCACCATATAAGGTTAATACATTCCAATACATTGTAAAGCTCAGAGTGCTGGTCAGCCGAGGTCAGGGGGCACCCTGCAATATTACAAGCCTTTACCGTGGCTTTATGACTCCCACATGCCCTCTTTCTTTACTTTATATCAGAGTCAATACGCGATAAGCGACTCATTGACACCGGAAGCGGGCCGCGGACTGGAGAACCATGCAGTACATATAGAGATTATAGAAAGAATACATTGGATACAGCAACACAAAATAATGCAAATAACTACTATAATGATCACTAAAATCAATAACTACTATAATAATCACTAAAATCCGGAAGCCAAGAATATAAGAATTCTGATTCCAAGCTGCATGGTAGGCTTCCTGTAAGAGAACAAGAGCTATTAAAAGTGAAATTCAATGTATATTGACAGTTTGGATATATGCCCCATGATTCTTTCCCCTCCTTAATTTGAAAATAAATGGGGGAAGGCTCATGGAGGGTCAATTATACTGGAGGCCAAAAAGTTTGCTTAGGGCATATAACATTAGTAAATTGAAAAGATCCATTGACAGGCACACCATGAAACATTATGCCTGAATGACTGGCATACACACCCAACATTTAGAAGCATGCAAGAAACTGGCAAACATAATGATATCTTGTACAAAAATATCATCCCTCCATATCTTATGATAATTTTCTCCCCTAAAAGTCTCATTCAACAATGCTGTTCTTCTAGTTCGAAAGTGGCTGAGCCGTGGATACTGCCAGCCAGAGTAGGAAGCTGACGACAGCTGCTTGCCAGCCGATGAGGTGAAATATGGTGGTTTCAACTGGACTGGTTGTCTGCTTCTCTTCCTTGTATAACGGTGCAGCAAAGGATGGCAAGGCAAATGGTTAGGAACGCAAACACTGCCAGGTGCAGCTCGTGTGCAGCACCTCTAGGTGGCGCATGCGGAAAGGTTTCAATGCTTCACCCACAAAATGTTGACAAAGTGTAGGGGAGTTCCGCATGCCTTGAGGCAGGACAACCCACTGATATCGCTGGGTGGGCTGCGAATTGTGATATACTGGCAATGTAAAGCAAACTGTTCCCTGTCTGCTGGAGCCAGTGGGATGAAGATGGTTCAATGTGGCCAAAAGTCAATTGTTCAGAAATAAGCTGTTCAGAGATAGCTGGTGCCGCTGCTGCGGATTTTTCTTTGGTAGAGGCCACTGTTCTACCCCCCCTGGGGTATCAGTGATCCTGGTTTGCCACACTGGAAACAAGTTGTATCGGTGGCTACAGGCTGGTTTTCATTTAGCGCTGCTGCCAGCAGATAAGCCTTGTGGGTGGCTGCACCGACAGACTGACAAATGCGAAGCATGGCTGCTGTGTCTGTGGCAGGATTGTGTATTATCGGTCGCAATGCAAGTTTACAATCCTCATTGGCATTTTCAAAGGCCAATTGTTTGATAATTATTTGTTTGGCTTCAGGATTTTCAATTTGGCGACTCACTGCTGTAAGCAGCCTGTCCATAAAGGAAGAATATGATTCTCTTGCCTCTTGCCTGATTGAACCCCACCTTGATTGAATACTGGTGGGTTCTGGGATTTTTCTCATTGCTTGTTTAGCAGCAAGAGCAGTGTCCCTCAATAAGATTTGCAGCAGTGTGGCTTGCACTGAAGCTTGAGCGAAGGGACCACGCCCCAACATGGCATCTAAGACGTCTGCGAGGGTAACATTTGGATTATTTCCTCTGACTTGTTGTAACAAGGCTGGAGCATAAGCACGGCAGGCAGTTTCCCATTCGTGGGCAAACAAAACACCAGCTGATGGGGGCAACACTGTATGGGCCAAAAGCTTTATGTCCTCTGGAACCAAGAGCTGGGCTAATGTGGCTTCTAAAAGCGCCTGCGTATATGGGGCTTGGAGTCCATTGGCCTTTACTGACTGTTGCAGCTCTCTCAGAATCTTAAAGTCAAAAGGTTGGTGTTGGGCTTGGGTGCCTGCTGGGGCACCAGCAGGGGCACAATAACAGGGAATGCCATAGTATCCTGAATTAAGGAACAGCCAAGGACTGCACGTTGAAAAGGAGTAGCTGGTTCTGCCACTGAAAGAGCAGGATCATTGCCAGCCAGACCACGGTATTTTTGCAGGATTGGGTCCTCAGGTGAGGAACTGTAGTCCGGAGGTTTGGGGTCTGGAGCTGCTGCTGGCAAAGCAAGTATTGGAACAGTCTCTAACACAGCAGGCTGAATTAAAGAAGCTGAAGGTTGTGTTGGCAATGCAGCCATGGAGATATTTTTTGGTGATAAAGAGTCCATGGCGTAACGAACCTTGCACCATGCATTTAGAATCCGAACACTTATGCTGGGGTGCCCATGAAAATGGTCCCGGTGCTTGTCCCAATGTTTCAATTCCCAAGTCCCATCTGCAGGAAACCAGGGGAATGCTCTTTGATAGCCAGAATGAGCTGTATTAAATCACCATCCGGAACTTCCAATTTGTTGGAGGAGAGGAGAAATTTTAAGTCTTTTAAAAATTTCTGTTGGGGAGCAGACAAAGAGCTGCCCATTTTTCTAAAATCAATATAAATAAGGGATCGGAACTCACCGGGATCTTTTTAAGATGATTAGCGCTTGAAACCCTGGCCGGGCGTAGTGAGCCGATGATATCCTTTGCTAGGATCGATAAACCTCACACGGTTTCCTTTTAAAAGCCTCAGTCTGCCTCAGACTGTTTTCTTTAAGTTGCCTCACACGGTTTTCTTTTAAAATCCTCTTAGTCCTCAGACGTATTCTTTTATTCTGCCTCACACGGGGCACCACTTGTCGGAGCCAGCCGTACAAATGGCGAAGTTTAGCATAAAATTATGACACAGAGAGCCAGCAATATTTTCATGATGGTAGGAGCAGCTCCTCTCAAACTTCCCTCTCCTCCTCCTGCAAACTTCTTTATTCCTTTGTCCTCTCTCCAGCCGCATGGCTGTTTGCCAGTGTCTCATGTTACCTCATCCGGTCAAGGCTTTTATTGCCCCCTTCACCATATAAGGTTAATACATTCCAATACATTGTAAAGCTCAGAGTGCTGGTCAGCCGAGGTCAGGGGGCACCCTGCAATATTACAAGCCTTTACCGTGGCTTTATGACTCCCACAGGGTCCCTTTACGTTTACTTTGGCAAAGAGCCTGGCAGTGCTTTGCGCTCAGGTGCGTGTCAGGTTTCTGTGCCTGGCTGCAAATCAGGGCCAGATTGACAGCTTCTGCTGCCTGAGGCTGAACAGCAATTTCTGGCCCTTCAGCTGCTGCGAGACTACAGTTCCCATCTCTAACCATTAGCCATACTGGCTGGTGGGAGTTGGAATGCTGCAACTTCTGCAGGGTAGACTGTCGGCTGCTACTGCCGAGGTACATAGCCAGTTCAGTAGTTATGGCTTAAAGCAAAAAAAGGCCATAAGCTTCTCTCTCCCTCTGTGGCAGTAAAAATACAGCAGCAGCAATAATACCTTAACTAACAATTTGCTTCCCTTGCATACCACCCAAAACTGGCAGTTACCCTACTCTGACTGATGGGCCTATGCTAAAACGCAGGACCGGGGAAGAACTGGATTCATATAATAATGGCATGGGTTGACTATACACACTTGAGCTCAGTGGGTCTTTTGAGTACACATATATAGGCTAGTGTTGCACACTCTGTCCCTTTCCTCACAAGGCTGCAGACCTCTTGGAATGACTAGAGGCTCAGTAGCTAATCCTGATGAGATTGTTTGCAATACTGACAAATGGAATTCTTACTGGTTGAAATATGGATTTTAACTTTTTCTTAAGCAGTAGAACCCAAATGCAGCGTGAGTCCTCACGCTGCATTTGGGTTCTACTGCTTAAGAAAGAATCACAGGTGTGAATGTCTGTACAAGGCACAGAAGTGGCTAACTACAGCACTAGGAAGGCTAGTCTTTAGCAAGTCAATATGTCTCAACCTAACCTACCTCACAGGCCTGTTTTGAGGATAAAATATGGCCGAGAGAGAAAAAGAACTTTGTAAGCTTCTTGGGGAGGGCAGGCAAAGAGTGAGATGAAAATGTAATAAAGACATGCAGGTTCTTGAAGTGAGATGAAATTTTGACTGATGACACAGAGTCTCTGTCATGTTTCTATTTTCTTCATATTTATCTTTCACTTTGTTCCTATCCAGGGCATCCCTGCCTTTTGAAGACTGGTATCCGGGATGGCCCAAACAAAGGCAGAAGCTTTTATGTGTGTGGTGTCCAAGGCCAGCAGCCATGTGAATTTGTGCTGCTCACAAAGTAGGTTAAATACCTTTCTGTCACTTTTAGTTGCACAGGATTAAAAACCAAACCAAACCAAACAAACAAACCATGGAAGATGGTTTACGTTTAGTCCAAGTTACTTTTTAAAGGAGAGCTGTTTGGTGTCATTGGAAAATAGATCTGTGCTGTAGTAACATATTTGGGGGATTAGAATAGGTTTCAAATTTGGGATCAGGTGATAATGTATTGATTGGTGAGTGAGTAGCCTTGGAAGGGATTGCTTGCCTTTGTAGTAGATGGCTTGGCTTATTTATTGCATTAATACTGAGTGTGGCCCCATTATGTGATGCAAATTTACCTGCTACGGTGCTAATTGTGTATATGCCTGTTGAGGTGGTGGGAATGTGGCCCTGGCATGTGGCTAGAGTGTTAGATTGGGTGGTCATCCTGGGCAAAATCTAACAGAAAATTCTCCTGTGCTGAAGCTGTTTTATGATTCCTTAAATTTTCCTGCTTATATCAATAGCCCTTGTTCCTTTCCACAGGCTTTGCCCTTCTCACTGCTTGGTGCATGAGAAACATGTGGTGGACCTCCAGTTTTTGATGCAGCAACAGGAGACAGACACATACAAGTATATTTTCTGAAGAACCCTTGATATTTCTAATGGCAGGGATATGGGGTATTAGTATTGCAAACTAGCTTCATTCTCCATGTTTTGTTTCCTTTACCAGGCTGTTCTATCGCTGCAGTAAAGCTAAACTGGAAGGGAAGAGATGGTGTGGAAGTATCCCATGGCAGGTAGAAAGAACAGAGATTGGAGGAAGTGTATTGGGTTTGGATGTAATGAATATTAGTAGTCATGCCATTTGTTATGAAGAATGGGGAACTACAGGACAGCATTTTAAACTCAATAGCTGTGTAGTTTCCGAATCTTCAAAAAAAATATTATTATAACTTTTAAAAAGACATGAAAATAAAGATCCCCTGAATGTCATTTTTTTATCCTATGTATGAGTTTCTGTGCAACTATTCTGCAGAAGCATAGAGAGCACTTAGTTCTAGCTTTCAAGATGTCTGATTTATATGGTAAACTTAACATTCCACCCGTGTGTTTTATAGGATTCTAAAGCCACCATATTGCCAAATGAGCCACAATCTCAGCATGTCTCGGAAGCAAGTCTGCTCCATAATCATAGAGATCAAAGAAATCCATTCAAAGTACCAAGCAAGAATCACGAATCTTTCAAACAAACAAACTACAGTGAGGACAAAAACTTATCAAGAAATGAGGATAAAATACAGGTTTTGGATAAAAAGGATCAGCTGAAGTTGCCATCTGAATCTGTTAAGAAAGAACATCCAGCACCAGAGAAGATCCAGAACAAAAAGTTGGGAGAAAAATGTGAAGAATCACCCAAGGAAGGAATAGAAACAGAAACAAAAGCAAGCGAGTCCACAACTGAAATTAAAAAGCCAGTATTTTTGGATACACACAAATGTAGTTCAAGCAAAAAGTTTGAGACAACTTCTGGACACACAAGGCAGGATTCAGCTCTGAGATCTGCTGAATATGGATTGCAAAAAAATGAAAGTCCAAAGCAGTCATGGCCCAAGTTCAGTGGCCAAACATTAGGTGTGAAGCCTATTAATGAGGCGCAACTTGGAAGGAGAGGATCAGAAACCTGCAGGGACAAAGCAGTAAAAATGAAGACAAGTAACAACCGGGGGACTGAAGAGACAACACTGATGCCCAGGCAAGTTGTGACTGTTCAGGAATTAACAGGCTTGCCAGCGGTGCACCCTAAAGAAAACCCAGAGAAACTATTACAATTTAAAACGGCTCCAGAAGATAAAAGCAGTTCTGGTAAAAATGCCAGCAGTGATGAACGTGACAGATTTGTATCTTCCAAATTGCCTTTTGGGCAGGAATTGGATTCCCAGCAGCAGAAGGATCGCAGTCAAAAGAATTTGTCTTCCACATCACACAAAAAGGCCTCTTTGCAAATGACAGAAAGTCTGGATTCCAAAGCTCTTCATAGCCAACTTTTAGCTCAGCTGAAGCAGAAAAAGGTCTCTCTTTCGATCATACACTTGCTTGCTTATTCCTTCTGTACCTGATCACCAAAAGCTTCCCATGTCAAAATAGCAACTCCTTGAGCCTTGGTAAAACTGGGCTAGTTCTACAAGAATTATAAACCATTAAGGCGCTCAGACTTTACCTTAGGCCAGTGTCACACAAAGTGTGTTGCACACATTTTGTCTGAAGCCCACAAGCTTGTAATGAATATGCAGTTTAGCCAACACATAGTCGTCATCCCTCCCCCCGGAAATATTTGAAAGAAGCAGTTAACAATAAAGCATTTAAATACATATATCCAAATCAGTGATGTGGGTGTTCCGGAAATTTTTGAATTGCTAATTAGGTTAATTTGCATCCAGAAATTGTCAGTTGCATTGGAAAATTTTCTGATGCTACAGTGATGTACTTTATGGTTTATTTTACTCATATTTATCAAAGATAAAAAATATAGCCTAATACTGTATCTTCAATTGGCATCTATTCATTGTTACTAATGGAAAAGGGAAACCTAAAGCACTTGAAAACTTTCTACCCACATCACAGATCCCTGTGTGAAAATATTACTATAGTAAATTTACTTTTGGGGCAATTTTAACCCTTTAAACTATTCTGAAGACTATAAAATAAAATGCCACCTGAAGCCAGCCTTCCCATTAGACACAGTGAAGCTTGAGTGATGTTAACGGGCAGCAAATTGTTAGCTATTTGATTTATCATGCTTTTACTGCCAGTGTGGGAGAGGAGCTTACGGGCTTCTCTGCCTGAGCTGCCACAATAACATGGCCACCCTGTGTACTAAACACCTTGATTTAAGTGTATTTGGGGCATCATTTGCTCTTCTGCTTTAGGCAGCCAAATATCTGGGGCTGACTGATGGCAGCAATATTGCACCAGGTGGGTCAAAGAGAAAGGGAGGATGAATAGGGGCAGCAGCAAAGTGGAACAGAGCAGTAGTTTCTCTTCAACTTCCCCAATACTCATTTATTTGCTGGTTCCAGTTATGTGTGCTTCCTTCATTCTCGTTGACATCTGGCACTCTTCCTTCTTGGAAGTTCACAGGAAACAATTCCCTAATCCAAAAACATAAGTAGTCTGCTTGGTTGGACCAAGCACTGTTCTCTCAGTGACTGACCTGTTCGTAGCAAAGGGAAGTCAGTGGGGATATGTAGACTTGTGCATGCAATGGAGTACATGCAGCATTTATTATATGAGAGTCATCCAAATTCCTGCTTGCTGGTTGATTTCTATGTAACTCTTAAATATTTCAAAGCTGTTATGGTGAAAACGTCTGGTAAAGGTGGAGAAGTTGAGCATTCAGGTAGTCAATAACACATTTCTCTCCCTTGTTTTTCCCCCCCTTCTCTCTAGAACACTTTGAAAATCGCGAATGTTCAGGCTCTACCCGATAAAGGCGAGCGGTTACTAAAGCAGGTGCAGGACCTGGAAGCAGCACTGAGTTCTCTGAACCTGGAGGCAGAAGAAAGTGTAAAGGAAGGTAAGCTTATTCATTCAGAATTATGAACATCACGTTTCATATGCCTAAGGAAGAAACATTTTCCTTTATCATTGAGTACATAGTTGCATTCTTTATCTTCCAGAAGCAGCAGTACTGGTATCATCAGGCCTCTGCCAGGAGCCCCAGCAAAGGGCTCACTGATAATAACGCCCCCATCCTGACTTGCTCCTCCTTTTCACCATTGCAACCTGCTCATTTCCCTCTCTTGTCTCTCTCTGGCCCAGACAAAGGTGGTGAGGAAGAGGAGGGGCAGTAGATGCCACTGCCTGCTTGCTCATTGGCTCTCTGTCTGGCAAGCAAGAAGTGGCAAGGACAAAGGAGCAGCTGATGATTAATGGTGGCAAGGAGATAGACTCACAGAGCAGGTCCGGAAGTGTCCTCCAAAACCTGGAGTCAGCCCTGACAGGCAGGGAAGTCAGATAAGCTGCCTGTGTCCTAGAGCAGGTCAGCGCCAAGACCTCTCCCGTCAGTGGAAGGCCGCAGGTTCTCCACCCCTGGTTTATCAAAACAAAATATGAAGGAGCGTTTGCAGCCTGAATTGGTACTGTCCAGGAAAGACTGTACCACTTACAATTTTCTGCATATTTCAATCGGTTCTTACACAGCAGTAGACGTGAACAGCAGTAAGCGTGAAGAGAAACTGCACAATCCGTTCTCCAAGACCACCGTAGAACAGCCAAATACTGTTACAGGGCGAGGACCAAAGCCATTCCAGGAGCCTCAAGTAGCCAGCTCCTTAGAGCTCCACCCTCCTTTGGGATCTAGTCAGTGTTCCAGTAGCACTTATAGAGGTAAGTGGGAGAGAGGGCAGCCATGATGAAATCCAACATGGTTTTGTTACAAGTACAGTGGTACCTCGGATTACAGATGCTTCAGGTTACAGACTCTGCTAACCCAGAAATAGTATCTCGGGTTAAGAACTTTGCTTCAGGATGAGAACAGAAATCGTGCGGTGGCAGCGGGAGGCCCCATTAGCTAAAGTGGTACCTCAGGTTAAGAACAGTTTCAGGTTAAGAACAGACCTTCAGAACGAATTAAGTTCTTAAGCCGAGGTACCACTGTATCATATGAAGATTGGGCTCCCCCCACCCCCAGCACATTCATTTACGAGTGGGAAGGATTCCATAAACGGGCCTTCTCAGCAGTGACTCCCCATCTGTGGAATGATCTCTCCAGGGAAGTTCACCTGGCGCCTTCATTATACACCTTTAGGCGCCAGGCAAAAACGTTTCTTTTTAACCAGGCCTTTGGTCGATCCAATTTACATCCTGTGCCCTTTTAAAATGTATTTTTATTTTGATTATGTATTTTGTGGTTTTATATCTTGATTTCATTCTGTGAACTGCCCTGAGACCCCAGGGTGTAGGGCGGTATATAAATTCAAATAATAATAATAATAGTAGTAGTAATAATAATAATAATAATAATAATAATAATAAATAATAAAAATAATTAATAAATAAATGCATATTTAGCTGTGCTGTTAAGTGAAGACACTTCCCCATGCAAATGCTTAACCTATCTTGCTTGATGACACATAACCGCTTAACTAAGTTCTGCCTTAACCGCTACATCACACCTCCTTCAGAATCAGCACTGTGATTCCTCATTGTTCTAATTTTCCTGCTACTGTATTTTAGAGGATTCCCATATGCAGGCCCTTTATGGAGGCCGAATGACTGAAGACCGCCTCCGAGCCGTGTATGATGCCACCAGTGATGCAATCAACCAGCTTCACAGTTCCCTTAAGTCCTGCCCGAAGGAGGAGACAGTGGCTGAGGATCCACCTGGGTTAAAGGTGAGCTGGGACAAATTAAAAGCGTTGCGCAGCTTGCTTTCCCTATAATCTTTTCTCCCCAATATGTCGCCAAGTTAAAAAGTGTGTTAGCAGTGCGCCTACAAATGTTGAGCGATTTTTGTGCAGGCAAGAAAAAGATCATGGAAAGGGGTTGAAATAGTTTCATCTGTGATCTTCTGCTTTCAGTAAAACCCTTCAAGGCTCGTCTTCCATATGAAACAAATAGCTACAAATGTTTGCTGCCGCCTAGCAATAGGGAGCAATGAATCTTACTAAATTGTACAGGTGCTGTGTTGCTCATCTGCTTAAGAAGAATGTGACAAAGATTAATAAATGGCAGACTAGTCCCACCCAACCATCTTAGTTTGTGGAATCATAGAGTTGTAGGCTGATTGCATAACCCCAGTTTTAATGGCCTGGGAGTGCCCAGTGCTGTATTATTGCTAAAACAAAGTGGTTGTGGATCTGGATGGTAGCTAGCTGACTATGAAGAATCCCACGTAAGCTGCTCGAGGAAGCATGGGATAAAATTATTTCTATAAATAAATGACGTGTCTTGTTTTAAGCTAAACTTTATACTTTATTGAGACAGAGGTCTGAGTGTACCTTTCTCCAAAAAGCAATTCATTACCTGACATGTATGCCATTCTGGTTACCTTGGAAATCAGGGATAGGGAGCCTGTGGTACCCGTCAGTGCCAGCCAGCATGAGCAATGGTTCGGGATGATGGAAGTTCGAGTCTTGCAACATCTAGAAGGCTTCAGGTTCCCCATCCTAGCTCTAAACTCTGCGCAATTGATCTATACCGTAAATACATGGAAAAGCCATTAATTCTGCACCTTTTGGCTGGCTTTCTCAGGTCTCCTTGCTCCTGCATCAGAAGCAGGCGCTTGCTTGGCTTCTCTGGAGGGAGAGTCAGAAACCGTGTGGAGGAATTTTGGGTAAGGAACTGTTAGATATTATGTGATTCTGGTGTTTGCTGTCAGATAGATTGTAATGAAAGTAGCTTTGCTTTTAGGTTTTGTGTTGAACAAGGGGGTGAATAGGAAGGTTGTGTGGCGCTTCCACCCTAAAATATTAATCTGAGCTCTGGGAAGGGCCTTAGGCTTATCACAAATCTTTCCTATGGCCCTTGAAGGATTTACAAACATCCTGTCTTGGATGATGGAAGGCTGTTAGTGAGAATGGACAGATCCTTACAATACAATCCTTACTTCATCTTAATGTTCAACTAGAGCTTCTCTTGGATAAACCTGTTGACTAGCTTCTGAACCTCCAGGTATTGTTGGACTACAACTCCCATAATCCCTGGCAATTGGTCATGCTGCCTTAGACCTGATGGGAGGTGGTGTCCAACAACATTTGGATGACCACAAGTTGCCCATGCTTGGATGAAGGAACATTTTCTACGTGTCAGATCCAATTCCTTCTGTTCCCTGAAGGATGGGGCACCACAGCGAGACACTTAGCAAATAGTTTTACCTGCCAGGCAGTTGAGTCAGCAAGTTAAGATATCCAGCACTAAACATGCCTATCACTCCCTGATTTCTGTTTTGTTCTATGCTGCTTTTTCTTCCCAGCGGATGATATGGGCTTAGGGAAGACTCTGACAATGATTGCTCTTGTTCTGGTTCAGAAGTGTTTACAGAAAGACAAAGGGAAAGAGAAAGAGAAGAAACTCGAGCTTTCAGTGTCAAGGCAAGGTACAGAAATAACAAGATACCGCCAATTTTAGCAGCACCGTCTGCACTTGTTTTTCACCATTTAATAAAATGAGATTCTCTTACTGGTTGGAAAGCAAATGTTGCAAATACTGCCTGCAGTATTATTATCTTTTCTGCATCACTGAGACATTACCATGAAACATCTTTACCTGTTAATGTTTGCATTTCAAGATACCTCTGTAATCGCTTCCCACGGCACGCTGATTGTCTGCCCCGCGTCTTTGATCCATCACTGGAAAAAAGAGGTAGAAAGACACGTCAGAAGCGACAGGCTGAGAGTCTGCCTGTACCATGGATCCAGCCGAATTAAGAACACGACTGTGTAAGTGCACAGCTTCCAGCTCATTGGAAGTTAAAGAGCCTTAGCCTGGTCCAATGCTTAGGTATCCTGAATTGCAGAAGCACAGGCATAGAGAGCTGATGCAACATAGTCACTTGAGTTAAGCTAAAGAACACCTTTTTTGTTGTTTGAGCCAAACTTGCTCTCAAAGTGCCTTAAGGACCATACGATTCCTTATGCTCCACCTCTGAGATCCTCTCTTGGGACACTTGATGGTTTCCCATGCTTCAGCTGGCCTTCAGTAGACACCGAGCCTTTAGTGCGGCAGGTACTGCCCTTTGGAACTCCCTACCAGTAGAAGTTCAGCAAGAACCACCCCTCCCATCTTTCTGACACTTGTGGAAAAAGCAACCCTGGTGCAAAGACTGCTTTTAAGCTCTCAGCCTTGCTAGCTCTGGAACTGGTAGGGATTCTCTCGCGAGACCTCGCGGGACAATCTGACCTGTGAGATCTCTCAAGACCACCCCCACCTTCCATGTGTATACTTGAAACTGCAAGCTAAATGCACACAAGATGTGGGCAATGGGCATACTGCAACTGTGTCCTGTTTTGTGTATCTTGTTGCTGGAGGCCATTGCTGCACGTCCTTACAAAGCGAATGAGAAGTACTTCCTCAGTTATTGGGCTGAGGTGATTCTGCAGGGCGTGTTGTCTCTTCTGGTGTCGACATACAAGTTCTGTGGCACCACGTGTTCTACTTTGTCTCTTCCTTTTCCCATCTCTGCCAAGAAAATATACACACAATTGATAGAAGTCAAGTTTATTGTTACAATATTCAGTTTATATACCTCCCTTTATCAAAAGATCCCTGGCCAGTGTACAACATTAAGAACACATTTCACAGAGCACTATAATAAAAGCATAATAAGAGACAGCATAATAATAAACTAATACTAAGAGCCCGCCCCCCAGTATTAACAGGCCATAGAACACATAATGGCCAAAAGCCTGGGTAAAGAGGAATGTCTTGTAATAATGGTGCCAGGCAAGCCTCTCTGGGGAGAGCATTCCATAGACGGGGCCACCACAGAAAAGGCCCACTCTTGAGTTGCCACCCTCCAGACCTCCTGGGGAATGGGTGGGGACATGGAGAAGGACCTCAGGTGACAAGTTTGCCATTGGTTCCTTCTTTTCTGTTCCTAAGAAGACTCCGTGCTGAGTTATTCACAGGCTGTGGCTCCAAGCACTCTTATTGGAGAGTAAGCCCATTGGTCACAATGGACTTTACTTCTGAACAAGCATACGTACGATTGGTGCTTGTGAGCTTGAGTGTGACCTTTTGGAAGCAGCCACACTGATTCTGCATCAAGATTAAAATCCTAAAGTGGTCATATTGCTTACCAGCTCTCCCTCTCCTCTTCTTCACAGGCTTTCTGAATACGACATTGTTGTCACTACTTACAGTATTCTTGCCAAGGAAATCCCTACACAGAAGGAAGAAGCAGAAGTTGCTGCTGACGACCACGTTGTGCAGGTGACTGAAAACATGCCAGACTTTCTTTTAGGAGATGCTGAGATAAAAGCTGCATTTTAGTCTTAAAATGCGTATGGTGGGTAGCCTTGCCATCAGATTGGTTTGTGCCAAGTTAGCAACAAGGATATCATGCATCACATCTGAGTTGTGTAATTGCAGAGAAGAGGAGAATTTAGCCAAAAATAAAAATAATTAAGTCTCAAGTTGAAATATGTTTTTTTTCAAATTTAAGTGTTTTTATTTGTTTGAAATATTAAATCCTTATTACAGAAGGAGTAGTTGTAATCTAATGTCATAGACTCAGACCCTGACCAAATTAAACTGTTTTCCAGCTAAACTCTGCCCCCTTTCCTTCCAAGTCTTGCATTTTAAAATCAGGTCTACTTCTGCTCTAGGATAAGTCCGTTCCCTTCTCTCCCCTGCTCTGGATACACTGGGCTCGAATTATACTGGATGAGGCCCATAACATCAAAAACCCCAAAGTCCAGGCCTCAATAGCAGCCTGTAAATTGCGAGCTACCGCCAGGTGGGCCGTCACTGGGACACCCATTCAGAACAACCTCTTGGATATGTACGCCCTGCTAAGGTGAGTTGAACACACCCATGATCATGCCTTGTAGATTAACTTTGATTTGCAAGTCTCTTCTTTAATCGGCCTTCAGCTTACAAGTTTTTCTCTCACTGTCTGTCACACATGTTGCAAAGAAAGCAAATTCCTGTTTTCCTAAGACGCACACCTTCAGAAAATACGTGCACATTTAAAAACACCTTAGGAAAAGTGCACACATTAAAAAGGGGGGTTAACTTTTGTCCCAACACCTTTAGATGGAAAATATTTCCTGGCCACCCCAATTCCATGGAGCCTAGTGGTTTTACTTCACCTGTCACTCCTGCCTTCCTCTTGCTGCCATTTGCCCTCCTAGATTCCTTCGCTGCTCTCCTTTCGATGAATTCAAGGTGTGGAAGAATCAGGTGGATAACAATACAAGAAAAGGAGGAGAGAGGTTGACGCTCTTAACCAGGAGCCTCTTATTGCGAAGGACTAAGGACCAGCTGGACTCATCTGGCAAGCCTTTGGTAATTGATGGCCCATCTCCTTTTGTCTGTCTCTGGGATTTGTGTTCTCTTCACTGATGGCCAGTTAGGGCTGTTCTGCACACGCAGCCAAATGTGCCATTTTCCTTCCATCTGCAGGTTTCATTTACCAGCAAATGAAGTGTTCTGGCTCTTGATGCTGAAAAGAGATCAGAGCACTCCAGAAACAGGAAGGAGTGCCCTGATCTGCTCCGTTGTTTCCTGAGCTCATCACCATCATCAGCACTCTGGAAACATTGGACTAGAGAGCTCCTTCCCCTTTCTGGCTCTGATTTGCTCTCATCGGCAGCAGCTAGACAACAGGCACTTCATTCAGTCCTGATGCCATCAGTAAATTGGGTCAGGGGCTGGCAGGCCACTGAAAATGGCTTGGTGAGCTGCTGGTTTTCCACTCACCCGCTCCTGTTCTGTGCATTGCTTAATTTTTTCTTAACAAAGAGACTCTAAACAATGGGATTTTAAGCATCTGTCAAAATTTGCCTCTTTGGACTTACTGAGGCTGTGTTTTGGCTGCCTGAAAAGCTCATTTTATGATTAGTTCATTTCATTAAAATACAGAAGTGTAAAAGGAGCCAGTGCTCAATTTGCATAGAATCCTTAGACCTGCTGGTGGGCAGAAAGCAAAATGTGCCACCTGGACCTTTCATAGGAGAAATGTCTCCTTGAAAAGCCATATTAGTGCAAATTATACTGACACACTTTTCAGTCTGTTTCTTTTCTCTCTCTCTAGGTATTGCTGCCTCAACGTTGCACTCGACTGCACAGACTAAAACTCTCTGAAGATGAGCAATCGGTGTATGATGTGCTTTTCAGAAGATCAAGGTATGATAGAGACCTGTGAAGGCATTAAGAATGAGTTCATTTCAGCCTGTAAAGGACAGTGTACACAATGACCTCACTTTCTGTAGCCCTCCTGATGCAAACCTGCTCTGCTCACATCCCTTCCCTAGATGTCCTGATAATTCAGTGCTCTATGCAATAGGAATCACTATCTTGGTCACATACCACTTAGAAGCCAATTTGGACATGAAGTGGTACATTGATTAGTTCATTAGTGGCGGTAGTGCGGTGTATTAATTCATTTAGTAGTAGGGTGGCATACTAGTTATTCATTTTATATACCACTTTGATGTTAGAAGAAACTTCAAAGTGGTTTATAAAAAGGCAGAGCACAATAAATGAATTTATTAATGAAAGTAATATCACTAGTGTAGTATCTTAATTAATTTAGAAGCAGTTCTAGTAATAATAATATCTCTGCAAAGTATTTCAGTGTCCTCACCTCCTGCCAAATAAGGGAGAATAGTACTCCGCCGCCCCCTTTAGTGCTTTCACATGCTAAGCATTTTGTTCCTCATTGACCTAGATTCTTGTTAGTCTCCTGATAGTTTAAATGAGGACTTTATTTTCTGGCATGTTGATGCTGCTGCCATTATCATGTTGTTAGCAAGATGATACTAGGAACAGAATGTGTTCTGTCTCAGCAGAGAGTCGTTTTTGAAAAGAGAACAGAACTGTTCTTTGGGGGGCAGGAGTCAAATATGCTGCCTCTTTCCCCCCAAGTTTTCTCTCCTTTTGTGTTCAACGTTGTCCCCATCCATCTACATTTATCGTGCTTATACCATGGAAACGGGTTGCAAAACTGCCTAAATTTAACACTGGTTTCTTCAACCAGGTCAACCCTGCAGTCCTACATCAAACGGCAGGAGATGCAGTGTACAGGACAGCAGCTTGGGGAGAACCCATTTGACAAAGGTTGGAATTTAAACTCTTTGCCCCGCCCCCTAGCAACTGCAGAAAAAGTGTTGAGAGGGATGTGATGAGGGTGGCCTCACCCCCCACAGCTAATTTTGCCCTGTTCTGTAGCTATTCTACAGTATATATTTCAGCAATCTCCAGAATACAGTGCAGGTGAGGGGAACTCCAGGGGCCGGATGAGGCCCTCCAGCCCCCTCGATCTGGCCCTCAAGGCTTTTTCCAAGTTGTGCTCCCTCCACAGCTGCAAATCCCCCTCATCCAGCTGTGCCCCTCTTCTTTGCACCCTCCCCAAGTGTTTTTGTCTGACTAAAAGGTATCCTTGAACTCTGATAATGTTTTCCTAAATGGAGGATCGAGAGTGGGGTGTGTGTGTGTGTAAAAATCGAGCCCACTATGAGGAAAATTTTCATTTGTTGCCCCATCCACTACCAGCCTGTGGTCCCTGGAAGATTGCCCAGATTGGGGTGTGGCCCTCAGTCTGAAAACGGTTCCCCATCCCTGTCTTAGTGCTACCTGCTATACTTTGTCTTGAAAAATTTGCAAAAGATCTGCATGCCTACATTTCCTGGTTGGTTTTCTCCCCCTCAAAAGAATAGTAATATAAAGGTTTTTTCATAATACAATACTATTGAAAACAAACAAATCTCAATAAAAACAGAAAAAGAAAAGAAAATGCAGAGTCCTGTCTCGAAGGTAGCTCTTAACCTCAACTCGCACAAAGATGTCCTTTCTGCTCCCATCCTCTCACCTTGGGAAACCTTCCCTTCTCTGCCTCTCAGTCAGGGTCCTTCTTAAACTCCTTGTGTGAATAATCCCAGTAAAGACCCAACAGCAGAGGACACCATGGAAAACAAAAGAGGAAGGAAGGAAGGAAGGAGAGGAACAGAAGAGAAAAAAAGAAAGAAAACTAGATAAAAAGGACTTCCCATTTCTATCTGTCAGTTATATACAAAAAAAAAACTGTTCAAAATATTCACTGGTTGGTTTTCAGATTCTTCTTAAAGAAACTGAATGGTAGCTCCAGGAATCCGTTGCTCTGACACCTGTGCCATTTCATCTTCTGACAGGAGCGCAGCAGTTTAGATGCCATCCACAAGGCGCCTTGGAAAAGCCTCGCCAGGATGCTCCTCCCGTCTCCACCACCATTCACATCTTGTCCCTTCTGCTGAGGCTCCGCCAGTGCTGCTGCCACCTGTCCTTGCTGAAAGTGGTAACTATGTGAACAGGCTTGGAGGCACCCGGTTCAGAACTGTGGTGTGTAGTGGTTAGAGAGTGTTTGGAGTTTGGGAGACCAGGGTTCAAATCCCCATTTGGTCCTGAAGCTCCCTGGATGGCCAGTCACAATCTCTCAGCCTAGCCTACCTCACCAGGCTGTTGTGAGGATAAAATGGAGAGGGGGAGGAACCGTGTAGGCCACCTTGAGATCCTTGGAGGAAAGGTGGGATATAAATGTAATTGCAATAAGAAAGTTGCCATGCCCCATATGTATTCTTTACATTGAAGGCTCTGGACCCGACTAACCTGAATAGTGAAGGCATCTCCCTCTCCTTGGAGGAGCAGCTCAGTGCTTTGACCTTGTCTGAACCCAAAGATACCAATGACCCTATGGTGTACCTCTTTGGTACAGCTTTTAGCATGGATCTCTTCGAAGCAACCAAACAGAGCACCAAGGTATCGTTATTATTACTTATTTAGCATGCGTATGAATCACCTAGAATCCTAGATCTCGTGACGGATTTGCACCAAAAAGAAATGCAGGAATCAAAGATCTGTAGATAAAAACAGAACACAAAGAACAACATTAACATTCCTAAAGGGCTTGCTGAAATAAATATGTCTTCACTGCATGCCCCAATCTGTACAGTGTTGACATCTGCGTCTCCCCTGGGAGGGTTTTCTGTAACACTGAGGCTCTGTGCTGAATTTTCTCTTCTGAGTATAGCGAGAACTAATTTCTAGGGCGTGAAGCACCACCAAAAAGCTCAGCTCCTGACAATTTTGGTGAGCCCATCTATTATTATTTTATTATTATTTATTTGAATTTGTATACTGCCCTATATACCCGTAGATCTCAGGGTGGTACATAAAAAAACCAAACACAAAATACTTAATCAAAACAGAAACAGAAACAACCCAATAATCCCCCATTCCACAACACATTTTAAAGGGCATCTGATGTCTATTAGGTGTGGTGCTCTTTAAGGTAACAGAGCTATGACAATCTTTTCTAGTAAGCTCTAAGGATCAGGGTTTTCCTTCCCTCCACATTTATTTTTTTAAGAACCTCAATACAGTTAATTTCTTTAGCTCAGGAATGGGAACCTTTGACCATCCAGGACGACTCTCCTCAACCAGCATGGTCAGTAGTCCGACATGAACAACTACTGGCGGGGCACACATTTCCCATCCCTGATTTAACAATGCAATCCTAACCATGTCTACTCAAAAGAATGTCCTGTTGAATTCAGCGGAGCTTACTCCCAGGTAAGGGGTAGGATCGCAGCCTAGGTAACCATTTTAACAAACAAAAGCTATAACTCAGTACAAAATGTATTTCCTTCTTAACAGTGTGCAGTCGAAACACACAGTGACAAAGAACCAAGTCTTCTGTTGTGGGATTTATTTGTGTACCTACGCAATACTAAGTGGGCTGCCCACCTGTTTCAACTTTGTAGTGATTTCATATAGCAAGATGGGAAATCCCATCTTAGATATGGGTTCCTAAAATTTGTACAGCTAACGTTACCATTAGTACATCTGGAGTCAACCTATCATGTTGTGTAGAGAGAAATGGGGATCATCTCCATTTGGCCCCTCCTCAACTGAGATCAGTTCTGTAGCTTTAAGAAGTGGTATCTGAGTTGGTTATTTTTCCCTCTTCCCTCCCCATCCACTTTTCCTTTTGTATTGGGCTTACTAGTAGTTTGATCAGGATCAGATCTCAGGATTATTTGCAGTAGATCAGCAAGGGTTTCTGAGTCCCATTGTTGAACAATGATAACAACAAAATGTATTTTCCATCTAAATTAGATGGCTGGAATAAAGAAAGCTACCCAAGTGTGGACTTTCGTGTGAAAGGAACGTGGGCTTAGGTCATTTCTAGTACGGAAAACAAAATCCTAGGCTTAGAATGAGCTCATAGACTTCTAATTCTTTAACTCTGGCTTTGTGCCCTTTGCACCTGGCTCTGGTTGGCAGCTCTTAGAGTTCTAGTGAAGAGCAAGCCTTGTATTTGCCCACCACTATTTTAGATTGCAAGCCCAAAGGCATGACTCCCTTGTTATTGATCTCTTACACAAACAACTCTGAGGGCCTTTTCAGCTGGAGTGGAATAAAAATGATTTAAATAAATGAGGCTTCAATCTCAAGCAGAGTTACTTGAAAGTCAACCCCACTCAACTCAGTTGGACTTCTGAGTAAACCTGCTTAGGGCTATAAGTGCATTTTCCTCCCCCTCCTTCTAGCTGTCACATCTCTTGGAAGAGCTGAAGGCCATCAAAGGGCGTTCCCAGAAGGCGTAAGTACGGGCATACCATATGACTTTCGAGGAATATCAAAGGGTGGGTTTGGATGCTGTTTAATGTTGGTGTGTAGGTAATGGTGAGAAGGACCTGCAATTGCCTCTCCAGAAGCAAAGGCAGGTAGAGTTGTCTGTCTAGATAGGTGATCACTCAGAAACACAGGGTTTTATTCAGCTGAGTTTTACTCAGAGTAAACCAACTGGAAGTAAAGAACATGGTGAAGTTACGCCTGCTGGTTTCAATAGGTTTATTCCATAAATCTTAGTTCATACAATGTATAACGATGTATACGATGTATACCTTAGAGGAAGAACAATACAGTCGTACCTCTACTTACGTATCCCTCTGGATATTGAATCTTTGGGTTACAGCCATGGCAAACCTGGAAGTGTATATTTCCGGGTTTCACCACATGCGCTCTATTTACGTAATTTTTGGGGTGTGAACAGACCCCCAGAACGAATTAAGTTCATATCCAGAGGGTCCACTGTACGCAAATAGACAATTAAGAAGGGGCTTCTATTTCACGGTGCAGTTTCTGAACACTTTTGCAGTGCCAACCTCAGGATTCCAAATGCATTGAAATCTGGGAGTATTCAAAGAGGGCGAAAGGGAAATGTAGATCCCCATGTGAACTGGTAAAGCAGGAATGCGGAGGACTCTGCTGTTGACACGTCGTGGGGCTCCGATTCCCACCAGCCTCAACCAGCCCAGTTAATAGTCAGGGGTAATGGGAGTTGTCGTCCAACAACATCTGGAGGGCTGCAGGTCTTCATTCATGGAATAAAGCTTGTAGCTTGCCTTTCTGTTTTCAATACTTAACCCCGGAGAGAAAGCCATCGCTAATGACTTGGTAGATTGATTAAATGAGTGGTGGAAAGAGATCAAAAGGTACGAGATCCAGTTCAAGAAGAATAGTTTCCAGTAATTTTAACATTCACAATGATACTTGCTTGGCGTTTATATGCTTATGTATCGCATTCCAGCCATTTTAGAATATTAATACTTATCACTTTATATAGTACCACCTCAAATGTTTTGAAGTACTTCGTATACACGTATCTCAGTACACTTTACATCAGCCAGAAAAGACGGGCTGGTGTTTAATTGTATTTTTACAGTTTCAAGGCCTCCTTTTCAAAACACAAAGCTTTCCCAGCGTGGCATAAGAACATAACAAAATGTTTAACATTTCTCCATAAACCTGCATATAACAGAAAGTAGGGGTGAGGTGAAGGCTGAGAAGCTATAACTTGTCTAAAGCCAATTTTAGTGGGTTTGTAGTTAATGTGAGTTTTGCACCAGGGACTAGACTGATTGATTGATTGATTGATTGATTGATTTCTCTCCCCTCCTCCTAGTGTCATTGTTTCTCAGTGGACTAGTATGCTGAAGATTGTGGCAGTACACCTTGAGAAGCTGAGCATGAAATATGCCACAGTGGATGGCTCTGTGAATCCTAAGCAGAGGATGGATGTGGTTGAGGAATTCAACAATAATCCTGAAGGACCTGAGGTCTGGGAAAAGATCAGAGAAGCTGCTGAGTTTTGTAGCTTGTTGTCACTGTGACTAGCGGTGCAAGGCCTGATCCTTAATTGCTAGGCAGGGTTAACCAGTAGCCATTTTAGCCAAAAATCTGACAGTCCTATACCCACTTGCCTAGGAGTAAGCCCTATTGCACTCAATGGAATTTACTTCTGAGTAAACATTCTAGGTTTAACATACCATATACTGTAAAAACAAGCATTGCGGGGCACACAATTCTGCATTTAAGAATTTCTGCTTTATAAAACAACAATCTAGGTTTCTAGTTCATGTTGATAATTATATAGTCACCGGCCCGTAACATTTCCTAGGTAGATATGATATATAGGTATATGATATATAGGTAGATATGATATATATATATATAGATATAGTAGATAGATGAGATTATATATATGATTTTATATATATATATATAAATCTTAAAATACAATTAAAACAAAAAGTCAGTAAAAACAACAACATAAACCTTCCCCTAGTAGAGACAAAATAACACTTGTAAAACCACACTCTTGACTACAACCCTAGCCGCACTTCCCTGGGAACAAGCCCCAGTGAATTCAGTAGGACTTACTTATAAGTAGGCATGGTTAGGATTGCGCTGCAAGAGAAGGAGCGTAAGGTTTATTTTGAAATTATACCAAAACAGCAAAGGTCTAGGTAGGGGTCTGTGGGAGGAGGTGATATTTCAGATAACCTGGGTCCAAGCTGTCTAGGGTTTTATAGGCTAAAACCAGCACTCTAATTGATTCTGGAAACAAACCAAGAAGCAGTGTAACTGGCAAAATGTACGCAGGCTGTGCCAAAGAGAAATGGTGTATAAATGTGTTGTGCAACACCTAACAGCTTTCTCTTGTCACAGGTGATGATGATCTCTCTTCTGGCTGGAGGTGTTGGCCTCAATCTAGTTGGAGGAAACCATCTCTTTCTCCTTGACATGCATTGGTAAAAATGCGGCAGCTTTTGCCACTTAACAGAAACCTTCTCGTGGTGTTTCTCGTGTGTGTGTGTGTGTGTGTGTGTGTGTGTGTGTGTGTTTGCAGCTGCAAGAATCAGATCTGAGTTGACCAAAAGGATAGAATCAGTCTAGAAGGGCTCCAAATTATGTATTTGGTTCTTACAAATCGTTGCAACTGGAAAATATAGTGCATATTTCTATAATCTGCATAAGAGGGTTTTGTTTTCTTGTGAACTACTAAGAGGTTTTGCTAAAATGAAGCGGCATATAAATTTTGTTAAATAAATAAGAAATATTCACTGTTACATCTGTTGTCAGTAAATCAGCTTGTGTTAGCGAATCGCCTTCTAGATTAGTTCTTAGTTGGTCTTTGAGAAGATGAGGAAGCAGGGACTCATTGTATCCACAAGCACCTTCAGTTCAAGGAACAGGAGTCCAGGTGTGCCACAGAACAGGGCGAGGAGGATGACAAGAAGCTGGGAGGAAATTGAGGGAGATGTTGTCACTACTTCTTCCAAGGCTGAGATAGATTTAAAGTGTTAGGGGATATCTCTGACTTGCTTTTTGGCAATCCTGTGTACTAGATGTAATTGTATGAGCTAAAATATCTTTCATCTAGATTAACCTATAGTTATAAAGAGGGAAATGACTGAACAGTTTCTTAAATTTCAGGAATCCAGCACTGGAGGACCAAGCCTGTGACCGCATTTACCGCGTAGGACAGCAAAACGATGTCACAATCCACAGGTCAGGCTTTGCTTTTTGCACCATCTCTGTTTGCATAATTTCTAGGGGTCGTGAGATTTCTTCAGGTTCCATATGGAAGGGGGCTGAAGTTGGGGGGGGGGGATATTCTGATCCACTCTCCTGATCTCTTTTCATGAGGTTTTTAAGTGATCACAGCTCAGTTCTTCTAAAGCAGCGATGGGGAGCCTCTAGCTTGCAAACTTGATTAGGGCCTTGAAGCCCATTTCCCCAAACTACACCCACTTGGCCAACACCTGATGTTCCTTGTTGAAGCTTCACTGTCATCAAAGGGGCTCCTCTTGGTGCCAATCCACTGATGGTGCTTCTTCAAAGGGGCTCACTTTCAGTGCTCCACAGATTATTGGTGCTGAGAAAATCTGCTCAGAAAGTAATTTGTCAGCTGATTGGCATCAACAGCCCGCTCCTTTGAAGAGTCTGCTTTCAGCACCAATCAGCTGATGGGTGCTGCAGGGAGTCCCTTTGAAATCATCACCTTGCATCATATTGACACACAGTGATTGTTAGGTGAACTGTCCCATCGCCCTGTCAAAGCTGGCCAACAAGGTGGAATCTGGCCTGATTCAGTTCTTTGCACTGTGCTTAATTTATTTTGAAAGCTTGACCAATGAAGATGCACAAAACCTGTATTCATAATGCTGTCTACTTGATTTTAGGTTTGTCTGTGAAGGGACAGTAGAAGAAAAGATCTCGGAGCTCCAAAGCAAGAAAAAAGAGCTGGCCCAGAAAGTGTTGTCAGGAAGAGTAGATTCTTCGACAAAGCTCACCCTGGCAGATCTCAAGCTCCTTTTTGGCATTTAAACACTGTTTCTGTTTTAAATATGTGGTTGCCACGTTTGTGTGTGCCTTTTGAAAATTCACTATATTAATGAATAAAAGTGGTTAAGTGTTGCCTTACTCCATTCTTCATAATTAAACCTTTCTGTAGGAGGACGTACCCTACTTGTGATCCTTTGAAATTTAGGAAGAATGATCCGCCTGTGTCTGATATTGAATCATTGCTAGCTAGCCAGACTATTGTCTTGTGTTTTTCCACCCACCTAGTATGCTCCATTGCAAGATAAATACTTCTCGTCATATCACATGGCCAGCAATGGCCAGAATCCTTTCCTTTGAACTGCTGTCCCAATGAACACCAACTGAGGCCACTTAGAAACCTGGTGTGCAAAGTCATCCCTGCTCATCAGCAAGAACTTTAGAGACAAAGCGGTTCAAACAGCAGTTGAAAGACTGAAGGTCGCAACTTGGGTGTGTTGTGCCAACAAGATCTAAAACAACAAGCAAATACTGCAGTTTGGATCGGTTCAGATCAGGCCATATACAGCAGAAGGACAGGCAAGCATGTTAGGAGTTGGATGGTACAACTGGGAGCGCTAACTGGAAATCCCCAAGGATAGCCAAATCCTTCTAGTCCAGCATCCTGTTCTCACAGTGGCCAGCCAGATATCTGTGGGAAAGCAGTGAGCAGGATTCAAGCACAAAAGCACTCTTCCACCACCCCACTCCTATGGTTTCTGCCAACTGGTATTCAGGAAGACACTGTCTCTGACTGGAGGCAGAGCTTCTTCTTCTTTCTTTGGCGATCACTCGTAGCTGAGTAAGATTGTCTTCCATAAACACGGTTTTAACAATGAGTCCGTAAGTGACTGTGGAGGCCAGTTCTGGATACACATGTCCTTCCACAGTGGGGACATTGGTTTCCGGGCAGGAGCTGATCACGGTGTGGATTTGCCAAGTGTGCCTTCCTCTTAGCACGTTTCTCCCTTGCGTCCTGAGTTCAAGTGTCTTCAAAGCCCATGACACCTTTGGTAAAGGCTGTTCTCCAACTGGAGCGCTCGCAGACCAGTGTTTCCCAATTGTTGGTGTTTATGCTACATTTTTAAAGATTTGCCTTGAGACAGTCTTTAAACCTCTGGCCAGCAGCCTTCATGTTAAATGGTTCCAAAAGGGATACTGGAGCCTCAGATTAGAATGAATTCCTAAATTTCCTGCTGCATTTTGTTATCTCAATCTGTTTCATAATTACATACCAAAGCTTCTTCAGGTTGTGTCTCTGTAAATGTATTTCACTAAATCATGCTTCCTCTGGAAAAGGAAGTATATTAGCTATGAAAGAATTATTAATTTGATCCTCAAAAGAGTGCTGTCTTGGGGCAATTTTTGTTTCATATGGTGATCAGACCTTTAAGCTTGCACTACATAAATTGCAAGCTTGCAATAATTGAAAATAGGACTTGCTTTATACTGCAAAAAGACTATTCAGTAACCTTGTGTATATAGAGCAAGTTTTGTAGCCTGCAATGATCTTGGAACCTCTGCATAGAGATTCTCTCCAGACTGATGGGTGTATTCTAAGGAGATGTGTAAGAAGAAAACCCAGGACACGTGAATAGCTTGTCAAAGAGTAAACTGAGTGTTAGCAAATCCTTTGTTTTATATGCCATACATATTTAAAATTTGTGGATAGAAAAATGTTCTCGCTATAATATTGGATTACTAGGACCTGTTTGAGAGCAGTATTTTGTAGGTGTCAGGATGGCCGAGCGGTCTAAGGCGCTGCGTTCAGGTCGCAGTCTCCCCTGGAGGCGTGGGTTCGAATCCCACTTCTGACAAACACATTTTCTTTGTTTCAGTGCTAATAACAGCCAGCATTTTCCTAGGTAGTTTCCGACGTAGTTTCTTTTTAAATCTGCGATGTCTTTTGCGAATAAAGAAATATTACGTATTCGAAACAATATTTCGCTCCTGTATTATTATTATTGCCATTTAAGGTAGTGTTCAGAGGTTGGAGGAAAGAAATATTTTTATTAAACTTTTCTGGACGATATATTGCCAAGGCGGCGGGCAGAGGGTCAGAAGCACAGAGCGGGGACCAAAGAGGTGCCCCCACCCCATTTCAGTAAGACATTGCGGGAGCAATGCCTAATTGCTGCAGAAGCTGCTAGCAGAGGCGAGAAGCAAAGCGATCTGGAGAGACGGTCTGCAGTCGAAACGAGCCTGGGATTCTTCTTAAAGGAACACGAGCCCTTTCAGATCATCCCCCATTGCATGGAAACCAAGGCTTCCATGCCCTCTCATGTTTGATATGAGGACGAGGTGGAGGCCTGTTTGTTGGCCCCGGTGAAATGCAGGCACTTTGCACATGCTCAGATGCACAATCTTTGCAGCGCCCCCTTGGTGTTGAGCCCTGCCACTTAGGTGTGAGTAAGCGAGCATTGAGTGAGGCAGTTGAGAGGAGTAGCTTGTTTGTTTGTTTACTACTAAAAAGTTTTATTTATAAAGAACTACCATTCAACACCAATGTAGAAAAGTTATTGAAAATTATGCAAGCACAAATTAAGTAACTGGCTTCATTCTTCACTCTTCAGACACCAATGGTAGAATTGGGAGTGATACCATTAAACCACTGCATGTTTTCTTCTATAGGTTTAGAAATTAAAATAATAAGCAAAACAGACTCAATAGCTATTTCTAGTTAGAAACACTCTGTAGAAGAGTAATATTGTCTCCTTTTAACATGATTCAACCCAGCTTCTTTCCTTGATTTTGTCTTGGAGTGAGCATCATTCAGAACCAAGTTCATTTATTCATCAAATCCAATAATACAGCCTTCTATCCTCATGTTCCCCTGTTCATACAGCCACACCTGAATTTTGAGCGCTTCCTTTTCTCGGGACATGAACGCTTTGCTCATGCTGAGATCCCACAGAGCAAAACCATAGATAGAATAATCATAAGATGATGCAGCCCCTGTACCTCTTTAGGTGGGGGAAAAGCTTAAACTAGTAGAAGAATGAAAGGAACTTTCAAGGCACCGCTGGGATTCGAACCCAGGATCTCCTGTTTACTAGACAGGCGCTTTAACCAGCTAAGCCACGGCGCCTATTGTTACATCATACCTTTATTGAGGCCTCCCCTAAAGAATAATTCAACTACTGCATTTCACAGTGTAGGAATGTCTTAAATGCCAGGATGAGAAAGTGCTGTTGTGCTCAAGTCCTGTTTGCTGGTTTCCAAAAGGCACCTGGTTGGCTACTTTGCGGATACTGGGTGGTCGTTGAACCGATCCAGCAAAGCTCTTCTTATATTCTGATGTTCCTCTTCCCTTCCCATTCATTTTGTATGACTATTAGATTATGAGTGTGTGGGCAGAGACTGCCTTATCTTGTCACTTAGCAGACCTTAGTAAAAAAAAACAAAAGTGCTTAATAAATGTGATTTTTGTTTTATTTTTATTTTTATTTTACAAATACCCCACAACAAGCCAAATCAATAACAACAACATCTTGCTTGATTTAGCATGAGTTCATAGCTGTCAACTTTCCCCTTTTTTAAAGGGAAATTCCCTTATTCCGAATAGGATTCCTCGCAAGAAAAGGGAAAAGTTGACAGCTATGAGCATGATATATACTAGACCCACCCTCCCCTTTGTGGGGAACATATATAGGAGTCGATCCAGGTAAGGCTCGATGAATTGCAACCCTAATTTTCCCCTTCCACGATATGAGATTTAGGAGATTTCAAGGAAAATGCACCCAGAGCCTATCCCGGGTTCCTTCCGAATAAGCTCCTAATTTTGTTTGCTTCAGGTCTTGCAGAAGGAATAATATACCTAAGAGGGTACGATAAAATTGTGAAACTCGCTTCCCTCTTCGTGTGCATTCCGCTCGTCACCTCTGATCCTTCCAGCCGAAGGTCCCCTCGCTTGCAGAAGCGGCAGTGAGCTGCCGAGAAGCGGAGGGAGCTCGCCATTCATTCTTTGCAGAAAAACAAGCAGCGATTATTCCCCTGGGTTTCTGCTTTTCTCCGCGGCTGCCTGCGCATGAGATCGGGCAGGCAACCGCCCCAATTTCCCTTGGCAATGAGAAAAATATGCGTGTTTTCAGAGTGCGGGCATCAGGGGAAATTCAAAGTGCTGCATATACAGTAAAGTAGTCTAATCTTGAAAAAAACGAAACTTCACACTAGCATTGAATTTCTGGAAGGGGCAAAATCTAAACGCTTCTTTCAGCTATGGCCGGTTAGCTCAGTTGGTTAGAGCGTGGTGCTAATAACGCCAAGGTCGCGGGTTCGATCCCCGTACGGGCCAGCTAACTTTTCTTGCTACTTTTCTCCCCTTGGGGGCAAACGTTAGTTTTACAGATACAGTTGCTTTATTTTTATATTTATTCATGGAAATTCCCCCATAGGCTTTACTTTGTTCTCCAGGACGGTGTCTGCTCTGCAGTTGGCTTCTGCACAGTATAAATAAAGTCTCTTCCTTCTGCATCATGTCTCCAATGCACTAAAATGGTTTCTTTTTTAATGGTTTGCTTTGTGCGCCCCTGATAAATTGCGTTAGAGAGGCTGGAGGAAAGAGGACTCCTTTGCATCCTTTTCCTTTAGAAAGACGGGAAACATTTCTAAAAGGAAAAAAAAAGCAACAACGGGAAACAAAAGGGGGTTACTGTGTCAGGTTTCTCTTCTGCCCAGAAAACAAGGTGAAAACTTTTGCCGTGACTCGGATTCGAACCGAGGTTGCTGCGGCCACAACGCAGAGTACTAACCACTATACGATCACGGCGCGCCACCAGTGAGCTGGAAAATTTCTTGTGAAAAAGCTTACTTGAAAACGAATAGCAGTGAGAGAGGCAAGTCTTTAAGATTTCGCTGCAGGTTGTAATTAAATTGTTTAATACTGTTCATTAAGCAAAGCAAAAGCCTCCTTCTGATTCATTAACTACCCGCATTCCTTCTGTGTTTTTTTGGTCTTGATCCTGTTAACCTTTGTGTTCTGCATGCATTTACACTATTTGGAAATAGTTTTCTTCTGATGACAGCCCCTGGATAGTTTTACTTCTGTATAAAGGTATCGGATGGTTTCCCACACATATCTTACCATTTTAGCCTAGATAGAAGCCCACCCATTGCTACGACATCTCTCCTGTCTCTTCCTTATTCAGAAAACGTAAAGAAAGAAACTAGATCGTAAGTTTTAGTAAATATGTAGCATGTTGATGGTGGGGAATATTTTCGTTTCCTCTCCACCCTTCCTGCAGTTGAATTAAGTCCCCGATGTCACAGGGTAGCTTTCTTAATCCATAACTAATACAACAGCCTAGTTGCATGTTACAATTGTGTGGGGTAGGGTATACCTCTCAAGTTTTTATTGAAACTTGCTTTTTCCTATTTAAAAACACTTTTCAACAGACCTAGTCTAGTTTATATAAAAAATTTAACAGGTATCTTAAATAGGAGGCATCTTTGCTGGGGTCAGGCTGGGGAGAGTTTTATTCTCTACTTAAAGCTTTCTGTATGTAGAATCTTTTTGGTGATACTCAGGAAATCGAGTAAAACAAAACCAGAGAAGCCAAACAAGAATCACAACTCTTAAATATTAACAACTTAATGCAGGGCATAACATTTAAGGCCATTGAGCACATTTTATTTACATCACCCATTGAAGCAACATATATGAAGAAAAGCAGAATTCCCCCTAGGGAGCATACTACAACATGCTGCAAAACACACTCAGCTTGCTTTCTTAAAAGTTGTTCTCAGATTACCTATAGCTGTGTACAGCAGTGTGTTTTCCAACTTTCACAGAACCTAAAAGTTAATATAGAATTTTGGATGAGTGGGTTTTGCATTTTGGATGAGTGGGTACATCTGCACCCACCCTCACAGAGCAGAGATCTTATGGCAAATAAAAGCACTATTTGTTTTGGTGTGTCTGCGCCTTCAGCAATAAATGCCTATTGAAGTTACCGCTGCTGTTTGAGAAGGTAGTCAAATCCCAACTTGGGAGAAAGGCAGGATATAAATATATTAAATGCATAATTTTGAATATTGCTTGGGGTCATCCGTGTGCCAGAAGCAAGAGTCAAAACTTAAAAGTAGTGTGTTTTCAAAACACTGGTCTGGTTCGAAAAGCCACAAAAACTGAACTGTTAGAAAAGTGAAATTTAAGTTTTGCTTTTGAATATGAGGTACAATAGTGGGAAGCCTGATTGTTAACTTTCAAAATATATAAAATTATATATACAGTACATGATTGTATATAAACGATGAAGTTATACAGAGTAAGTGTCCCATGAAGGATGCATGAGCAAATGAAGTTATCTGGGTGGTTCTCAAGTGTCTTGAGTTCTGAGATGTCCTAGAGGAGATGGTTGGATCAGGATGAGGGGTGGGATGAATTACCTGCTCACAAGCCCAGGGAGGAACCCACCACGCTGGCACGGGCCACATCAGGGGCCCAAGAACCATCACAGCAATGTGCATGCAAGACCACCAATGAGGAATCCAATCCTGGGAATGGTCCCATGTTCACATTGCCTTTGTATTTTCTATAGAATAAACCACTTAAATTACTACCTACCTACTCATGACTTTTCATCACCTGTGATGATTACCAGAATACATAGCTCCCTAAAGCCTGAAAGAAAAATGACCAGCACACAGGTTTGTAGCCTCAGCCGCTTTATTCAGTTTCACAGTAAAGGATGTGAAGTTCTGCTGGCAAACAGAACATTAAAGTCAACAGCATTTTGTAAGAGCACTAAATAAGTTATTAGGTTTTGTAGATTTGAAGGCTGTGCAGGAGGGAGAATGGAAGACATGGAAAAATTCAAGGGGAAAAATTCCCCTTTTAAACCAGGGGTTTTAAATGATTGGGGTGGGGAGAAATCTTGGAAGAAACTGGTAACGCTGTTGTGCAAAACTTGAGCAATATTTTCAAATAGTTACAGCCAACGAACACTAGTGCATTTTTTTCTGATTCAAGATTCAAAAGGTAGCAATGTAAACAATCATAGCATTGCTACTGCATTGGAGCACTTATTAAGCAACACGCTTAGCACATGATACTGGGAACTTTCAAATGTTGTTGGAGGCAGAATATCATCAAGGATTTGGTCAAATCTACAAAACATGGCAGCCTTTGGAATTTCTCTGACTCTTCCAGCTTCTCCATTGCCGCAGATTCCTCCATTTTCTGCACTGGGTGAAAAACTGAGGAACAATTGAAGACACACATTCACACAGAAACACAAAACTAACTTTTGCACAAAAGAGCTGATCCATTTTCTGAAACCCATAAAGCTCAAGGCAAATATCCCATGTATGTTTACTCAGAAGTGCCCTAATGAGTTCTAGCGGGTTTACTCCCAAGTGTGTGCATGGTATAATATACTAGTGCATAGTGTAGTGCAGAATATACTACTGAAAATTTTTAATCCAGAGGGGAGTTTATTTGTGGCCTTCTGTATGTTGTTGGACACCAACTCTCATCAGCCCTAGCCAGCATGGCTAACAGATCATGAATGTTACACCCCTGCTGCTAGGTTTCTAGTAAGGGAGACCACTGAAAGCGTTGCCAAAAACAAACCAACCACTTAAAATTCTAAGGAAGCACACTCCGGCTCAATTATTAAAAACGTATTGTGACCTTCGCTACAACACAAGTAGAAGAACATCATACCACAGGCATAGAGCCATTTCCACATGTAAAATCTAAGCCTTGGTGTTTAAGAAAAGCCTTTCTTGACAAGGTGCAGGTGCAGTAAACCTGAGATCAGAGAATCCTTTCTTCATAAATCTGATGTGACAGAAGTATGTTTTGCTCTTTTTAAGACATTCTCAGCTGACATTCTTTTATCACCACACATCCCTTCAGTACATTCTGCCAACCCAGACAGGATCAATTTGAATTAATTGAGGCTTTGGGGGCCTTTTGGGCTGAGAAGTGGTATAAAAATAAGCTTTCTACGGTCTATATGTCTACGGTCGTTTTCCAAGTGTCACTAGGCTCACTTTTATGTTTGGAATGAATCACTTGCAAATGTTAATACGAGACAGAACTGAAAATCGAAAGGTATGCATTCTATTCCATGCAGCTTTTTCATTTTATTTACAAATGGGGGAAATACAAAGAGTGTACAACTTCTAAAATTGGTCCAAGCTGTCACTGCCCAACCCTATTCGGATGCTCTTAGCCATGCTTCTGGGCCTGTAGAAACGCCTCCCTTGGACTAGGTTAAGGCTTCTTGAGGGCAAAGGCTGAAAAAAATTCATCCAGCAAGTGAGAAATGTTACTTACTCTGTGCATCTGCTGGGAAAATGTTCAAAAAACTTGCACATGTTCAAATATGTAGGAACATAGGAAGCTGCCCAATACAATATCAGACCCTTGGTCGATCTAACTCAGTATTGTATGACAATGACTGACAGAGGCTAGTCTCCAGAGTTTCACACACAAAAGGATTCCCTCTTCCCTACAGGAGAAACCAGGAATTGAACTTCTGGATGCAAAGGATCCGCTTCACTAGTGAGCTACGGCCCTTTCCCAAACATAATGCACTGTACTTTATATAAGGTAATTTATGCAGTACTGTTTGTGAACGCATATTACAGGAACCTGAACTGGTGATCTAGTGACAGGAAACCACTGTCCAAATTTCTTTTACATTGTTCTAATTGCAAAACATTCCCCATCATATTACTCATTTGAGAAATTATTGCAGATCAAAAGGACAAGCTTTAAAATACATGAACCCATAGGACACAAAGTGGATTTAAAGAGAAAGCAACTCTTAACTGCTGAAATGGGCTAAGATAGCCTACAAAAGAATCATGCCAATCAGGAGGGTAAATCAAGGGAGGTTCCTGGAAAAACAGCTTTGGGTCTAAACCTTAGGAGCTGGTGCAGAGTTTTAGGGCAGTGAGTGCCGACCACATTTTGAGCGCATTTCACCTTGTTGGGCTGCCTCTGCACCAAGCCTGTTGCATTTTCAGCAGTGTATCATACCGGTACAAATGGTCAAGTGATCCTCCCACCAAGAAACTGCTAACGGAGCAGCTTGTGGCTTTTAAAATGGATATTTACACATAACAAAATCGAAACACTATTTCTAAGGCACATGATAAGAGAATAAGGAGATAAAAAACTAACTGCCACACAATGGCAGTTTGATGAGCAAGCAGGCAGGAGTTTGTGTCCTTTCTTCATGGCTGGCGGAGTGCAGCCGACGCAGCTTGTCAGGGCACCCAGTCTTTTGGATGGCGCAAAACTTCTAGGATTTCAGCTTCCCTGGAATTCTCTGGAGGAGAATGCATGTATTCCCACCTGCAGACAATTTTAAAATTACAAACATACAATTACTTTCACCTGGAGAGCAGGATGCATGCTCTCTAGACAGTACAGTTTCATACTTCTTTTGATATCTCAAGAGTGGGACCCAATAAATGTCTCTGTGATTTTGATTCACTAGAGAGGAGGGGAGGGGGTGTCCACCAATTTTGCCCTCTCCCTGCAGCCTGTGGCACTCCATTCCCCCCCCAATTCAGCTCCCAAGAGTTGGGGGACCCTTTAGAATAGCCAGGAAGACACGTAAGTAAAGCAGTTAAGAACTCCCTGAGAAAAGGTCTACCTGTATGTAAAGCAGGACTTTTGAATATCCTTCATCTCTTCCTCATACTAGATAAGAATCCAAACACCCCCCCCCCATGTAGTTGGTAGCAGCATCTCTCTCCAAAACAGGAAAATATGCAGATGGAGGGACTTGGGGGGGGGGGCTGTTGGCCACAAACCCAGGTGAACACTCATCAGACCCTCAGGTAGTCAAGGGGAAGCAGAGTTTCTTGTGCTGGCCAGACACTCAGCGTGTGCTTCATTTAAGCATCAAATCCAGAGGAGCAGAACAAAAACAGTAGCTGGATACTTTCCAATGGAAAGGAAAGTTGTTTCTTATTGGTAGCAATATCCCCAGCCAGGTCCCCCAAAATTAAAAACCTGAGGAACTACTGAGTTCAGGTTCACAACATGGAAAAAGACCCAGCTGATGGCACTCCCTCACAGTTGCCCATTCACTAAGCACCCAGCAGCAGCAAATATCTATCTATCCCCTCCTCTCTCGGGTCTCTCCAGAGGGAAGTGTTCTTCTCACAGTGGCAAGGACATTCTTCACCTAGTGGCTTAGTGCACATGGAAATGTGGATTCTGAGAAAGCTAGTTACTGCTACTTATTGCACAAAGCTAGCTAGCACACATTTAGAGCTTGACCAGGCACTTCTCTTTAAACTCACGGCAATGAAATCTTGTTTGCAATTAAAAAGCAACAAAACTTGTTAGTTTCCTATCAAGCAATACCTGAAAAGTTCTGTTTAGAAGTTGAGATTATGCTCTTACCTGGCAGTGAGTGGCAAAGACATAAGAATGCTTTCAATCCTAGATCCTGGTGTTGCAAGTCCAAACTTAGTACCTCTGTCATAAACAAGATTGAATTCCACATACCTGTGGGAGAACACAGGGGAGAAAGAGAGACTTTTGTCTGTTTCCTTAAACTGTGTTACTAATTCTGGCTTTGCTAATTACAAGTAAAGGAAAGAAGTTCTGCAGGAAATTCTACTCCAGTACCTGGCCAGGGATATCCTGCATAGAAACCCTAGCCTTCATGATTTTACTAAGCACTTTCCACCTATTTTCAGGTCAAACTTCATTAGAAGCTTAAAAAAAAAAAAAAAAGTAACTCAGAGTCCAAGGATCTTAAGCTGAATTCTGAAAGTCGATGCTTGCAGAGAAACTTGGAATAAATCCAGCCGTGCACATAGGTTAGCAACATTGCTAGTAAAAGAACTGCTCATTTGCTTGGCTCAGAAACAAAAGGCATCAGTGTGAGACCTACTTCAGCATTTGTGCAACAATCAATGCTCAGTATTGTCTCCCTGAACAAAATAGGAAACACAGAAAAACTTTTATTTTTGCAAGAAAGAGGAAGACGGGCTTCCAAATAAGCTGTCTGAATGGACTGTCAAATGAACATCCACCTTCAAGTCCAGTCACAGTAGACTGAAAATTACATTTCAGTCCTAGGCATAATTTTGCCAACCAACCACAGAAGCCTTCTCAGCTCTACAGCAGCACCCTTATCCCATACGCTAATCCCCTCCCAGGGCCACAATCTCAACAGGTCACAGGTCTCCTGCCACCTTCTCTAGTTGCTACCTTAGAGTATAAGCCATTGTCTTTGAAGCAGGACAGAAAATGAATGCTAGTAACATTTTAAAAGTTGGAAGCAGCAAGTTTTGGGTGTGTCTCAAATTAAAGGAGACGGAGGTTGAAAGCCAAACAAAAATACAGTGGTACCTCGGGTTAAGAACTTAATTCGTTCCGGAGGTCCGTTCTTAACCTGAAACTGTTCTTAACCTGAAGCACCACTTTAGCTAATGGGGTCTCCTGCTGCCGCTGCGCCGCCAGAGCATGATTTCTGTTCTCATCCTGAAGCAAAGTTCTTAACCCGAGGTACTATTTCTGGGTTAGCGGAGTCTGTAACCTGAAGCGTCTGTGTTGGTGGCACACTTTTTAGACATGCATCATTTCACAACACAATAACTGAGTTTTACTAGCAAACCGGAGGTTAAACTAACCCCTTTCTAGCGCCGGCAGGAGTGTGGGGAGCATTTGCATGACACACCTACACACTGCAGCCGACACACTAATGTGTCACGACACACAGTTTGGAAAGCTCTGTTATAAGATACAGCCAGAGTCACGTTAACTGCAATTTCAAAATGTGCACAGCACAGAACTTTCTATCTTAAAGACCAGTCACAATGAATGGGGAAAAGAGGGGTTACAATGGTTAGCTTGTCGCTGCTTATCTTAGCGCAAGGAAAAACAGAACCCAGCTACCCTAATCCCAGCCTCTACACGGTTTATCAGAAGACACGAAGCAGCCCCTGTGTTTTTTCCCTTCAAGCAACGCCCTGATCTCACAAAACCAGAACCATGCTCCAAGGCTGTCTTTAGAATTGAAAGATAATCAGACATAGTCAGCACTTCGAATTTCAAATGCTGCAACAAGATTGTTCAGAAACTGTCATTAGTTTGTGGATACAAGTATGCTGATATAGTTCATTTGGTGGGGATATATTTATCTTGCCAACAGGGAAACAAATTCAGTCTTTGAATTAAGTTCTGGCCACAACTCAACAGGCTGGCAGTTGGAAGCCTGGTAGAGCTTCGGATGATGAAGAAATTAGAATACCACTGACTTAGGACAAAGACACGAAGAAGGTTCTTGGTTACCTCAAATGTATTAAACTGACATTTTATGAAAAAGGGGCAAAAAGGTTTTGGATTAGCCATCTTGCTGATCAACTGACGAGCAAAACAGCACCCCTTCCCCATGGTTTGAAGCCTTCCAAAGCTCACCTCCCTCTGCGGATCTGCTGCCACAATTTTTCCTCTGGTGAGAACGTGTCATGGCAGTGCTTCTTCACAATGGGAACATAGCAAGGCACAATGGCTTTGGCACAACTCTGCACAAACTGAAAGACCTCTTCTTTTGAAGGCGAGTCCAGGTCATCAAAAAATATGCCTCCAATCCCTCGTCGTTCTCCTCGGTGCTTGATATAAAAATAATCATCACACCTACAACCATGAATGTTAGGCACAAAAAAAATTGGTTATATCGGCAGATTTTGAAATACATCACTATATACAGCCTGGGGGGGGGGCACAGCTGCATAACCTCCACCTTTAGCAGAAGAGTAGGGTGAGGGGAGGGGACGGAGGGAGGGAAGAGAATTGACTCTCTCTGATCCCATTCAGTTCTTAATGACCTCAACAGTACAGACATTGGTGAGCAGCCCTGTTTAGGGAAGTTTTTAATGTCTCGTGTTTAATTGTGTTTTTAATATTCTGTTGGGAGCCGTCCAGCCAGATGGGCGGGGTATATATTATTATTATTATTATTACTACTACTACTACTACTACTGCTATTATTAGATAGAGGACAACTTTAAAACTATAGGGCAAAAGCTCCAAGATGTTTTATGATAGTTTCTTCCTTCCTCAAGGAAAATTTGATTAGGGCTTTCTACATACCATTTCTTAAACTTGGGGTACAGCTCTGGATTATGCCGATCACAGGCTTCCTTCAGAGTTTTGTGGAAATGAACGGCGTCATCTTTGTCCAAGTAAGTTGGAGTGAGGTCTGTTCCACCACCAAACCACCACTGTGTCGTACCTAAGGGCAAAAAACCCCCCCAACAACTACATAATTATTGTACCCACAAGAAAGCTATTAGATATATTTGAGCTGTTTCCAACGCTCCACGACCTGAACTCCACTTATGCAATGGGAGTTCCCCTTCCTCCCCTCTCCGCCATTCCCACAAAATCTGCTCTGGAGGGTCCTGCAACCCCTTAGAGCTGATTTTGAGGGTGTACAGGAGGCTGTAGCAGACAGGAATGTTCTGCAAGCGGAAGTCTCTAACTCATCACTTTTTTACATTTACTCTTGTAATATATGAATAATGCATTTACTTACTGACTCATCTGTAACACACACACACACACACACACATTGTGAACTTAAGGCAACTGCCTGCATTATACTTGCCAATACATCTGAGGAAAATTTTGAAGGGTAGTTGAGAAAATTGATTACATATAAGGCACTTATTTTAACTTCTGCACTCTCCCAGGCTTATGGATGAGAGAAATTCTTTTAAAAAGTAATAAAAACCAAGTTCATATATAAAAGGCAGGTTGACACTACTGTCCCTTGGTCACAGAATACATCCTGCAAAACCAGGGATTAAAGCATCTGAAATGCTTCATAAAATAGTTGTGGAAAACTGAAGAGACCATTGTAAAGAAAAATACTCAGATATTTTTAGGATGTTAAGACAAACAGATTCCACACTGCCTAGGTTAATCGGTAAAATTCATGTTCTTTGAGATAGTCATCCCACTGGGAATAAAGGAGATAAATTTTCTACCTACATCTTCTCAATCTTCTTTTCTCCCTCCTGCTGACTCCTCTAATAGGTCATGGCTGTAGAGATCTGTTATACATGCCACAGATCATCTTGTTTAGGCAAGCAGAGGTTAAGGAGGGCAATTCTCAATCTCTTACTGCGGCATAAGAATTCTCCCTTCTAAAGGTGGGCTCCATTATTTTTTCACTCACATATAATTCAGACACTCCTGGTTCATTACTGTTCTTACCATCGGCCTCCTCAATTTCAAAGTATCTGTAGTTGAAGTGTATGGTGGGGACGTGAGGGTTCTTTGGATGAATAACGGAGCTGACTCCCATAGCACAAAAAGGCAGTTTTCCTATAAGGCAAAATAAAGGAAGTCTGTGCCAACAATGAAAACACCATCCAGCTCTGAAAACAAAACAATTTTTTCTAACCGTGCTTCCAATTCTGCATCGTGCATCCCAGAAGCAATGTGCATGGACCCACAACTTTTTAGTCTCTGTTTGTTTTTTGCTGAGGTGACACTGGAGCTCTTATGCACCTATAGCAGAGCCGGAGCCTTGCATCGTGCCTGAGCCCTGCCTCAGCTTGCCCTGTATGCAGCCTGAAGCCTGCCTTGCTTTGCTCCCATTCAGAGCCTGGCCTTGGGCAGATCCAGATTTCCAGAGCAACATGCCTTACCACTTTTGCCCTTCAGGGTTTTCCCTCTGCTTCTCATCTGTTGAGCTGCTTCTTCAGAAAGGTGTCCAAAAACAACAGATACATTAACTCCGGCCTTCTCAAAGACTTCTCCATTCTGCAGTACGCAGCTGATGCCTCCCCCACCTATTAAAACAAGAAGCAGGATTTCATTTCACTACCAATCAGTTCAAAATTAGTGTACGCCATTTGTAAAGACACCTGTTCATATAGTTATCCAAACCTAGGCAATTTGGTAGCTTGGCTCTTCAGAACAGGAAAAGGCAGCACTCAAACTACAGAGGAGGGGCCTGGTGGGACTTGACACTTTTACACTTTGTTGATGATTTTGCTAAAACTGGTGGCAGTCAGAAGGATGTTGAGTTAAATTGATGTTTAAGTCTTCCTTTCATCCATGCCCCTCAATCATTTGAGCGGCGGGATAAACTGTGCAATGATAAAACTTTCAATAATTATCTTGAGGCATGAAAAATTCACAGAAGTATTATTTCAATTAAACTTCAATCAAGTTGGGATGCATTACCACTTCGTGGAGAGATTGCTACTAATGACCTGAAGCTTGTAAGGAACAGTCACCAACCATGTTCGCAGGTCACAATACGCAAGATGGCCAGCATATTATGGTTTCAGAAATAAGCAGCATGCTCGTGCCCAGTCAGATTATTCCTTTTTCACCCTACCCCAGGCACAAAAAGGGGAAACAACCCAGGAATCCATCATTAAGGGCGGCTTTCCATACTGCCCAAAACAAGGAGAATCCTGGTCTGCTTCCTCCTAACAAACCAGCATTTAAAAGCCAACAGCAAACTATGGGTTAAGTCTGGTTTGCTGAAGAGCAACAAACCTGGGTTTGGGCATCACAGGAAGTCAAGCTTAATTGCAGCTTCCTGGCTTGCAGGAAGAAAGAGTGAAGCAGGAGTAACTGGGCAGTGGCTTCCAGTATGCTGCTGGTTCCCAATGTAAGACAGCAACCTTGGCTTATTGTGATGTGTGAACAAAACTAAAATCTGTTACTAAGCAGAACTATAGTAAAAACTACCTTATTAAGCAGAAAGAAAATCAACCAATTAAGTCTTTCTTATTTATTTTTTTAAAATTTAAAGTGATATTTTTATAAAGCTTCCTCTCAAAAATGATGTGCATTAGGACAAAAAGTAGACATGATAGCTTTCCCCCCCCCAGGTTTTAAAGATGCAGTGTTCTCTGATATTTGTAAAGAGCAGATAGGACCTCAATGGGACCCTCCTTTCTTATCTGTTTCACTCCACGCACCCTGCATGCCACACTGGCTTCAGTTGTACAAAACCCTCCCTTGCAATCAGTCGCGCTCATCTTCAAAAGTCAGCTGCCCATTAAACACAAATCGTTTAAGGGAATTTTGCCTCTAAAAATGGTCTAGTTCAATTAACTGTGCAACTTTGACTTCTGCTTCTGTTAGGTAACATTTTGTTCCTTATCTGGCAATTCACTCCAGAAACAAATATGATTAACAGGAGAAAACTGAGAGGCATTTATTAACAGCCCCTGAAGCCCTGGGCACAAAGTCACAAACAGAAACTATTCAAAGGTTAGGTACTCTCATATATATTACATATTAAAAATTATAAGATTACATTTTTTAAAACTCCAATTATCAATCCAAGGCACACACTTCTCAGATGTCTACCTGTCTTCCCTAAAGGACGTCTCTCTCATAAAGAGACTTGTATGAACATACATTCCAGATCCCATTCACAAAAGGTGGACTAAAAAAGTGCCAAATATAAGATATTCTAAGCTTCCCACCCCTTCCAATCTGCAACTTCCTTATGTTAGGCATTTTAACTGTATGCACACAAAGACCACACTCTCTTATGCTCCAAAACAAGCTACTATGTCCTAGTTTGATAGCTATAAACACGAATGGATTCAAGTTCACCCATAAACACAGTGATAGGAGTAAGTGTGCCTTCAATTACCAAAATTATGACAGATCCACTGAAAGGTGTCAAAAAGCAATTAATCCTCACTTTGAAAACTTCCCGCTACAGCTCACACTTATTATAGTCAAAACACACAGCCAAACATGACACTGTGGCAGCATCCCCAATTACACACATATATACAGGCACCCCTAAAACTCACATGGCCCATAACTCAGGTGCATGTAACACAGGTTACATATCCTTTACCCTTGCACTAGTTTATTGCAATCACATTCCAAGTCACCAGCTCTTTGGGTGAAGAAGGGAGTCAAATCCAAACTAGCTATTCTGGCTTTGTTTTGAAAGCTATTGCTCAAGCAGTGCTTGCAATCCTGTACACACTTATGGGGAAGTAACCTTGTGGTTGACCTTACTTACAGCAGAACCAAGTCCCTTGAGTACAGTGGTGGCAATTCTGCATCAATGAGGCTGCAAACCTAACCCTGCTTACTTAAGGAAGAAACCCCCACTGAATTCAGCAGGGCTTATTTTCTGTGTAGAGGTGGTCAGAACTGACTGCCTTTAAGGAGAGAGTGCTTTGCTGTGATGCTTTTAACCTAGATGATCTCACTGAGATCCCTGCATGGCAGGGTGTTGAACTGGATGACCCTCGGGATCCCTTCCAACCATAGCTGTCAACCTTCCCTTTTTTGCGGGAAATTCCCTTATTCCAGCGCCGTTTCCCACTGCTTCCCGCTGCTATCCCGGATTGTTAGATATCCCGTAGACTGTCCCCGGGACAGGTGAGGCTGCTGATCCCTTATTTTCAAATCTGAAAGTTGACAGCTATGCTTCCAACTCTACGATTTCAGCGATCCGTTTGCTTTAACAGATCATATAAATTCTATCATTTTTTTAAAAATTGTTATTACGTTCTACGCTTTTTTGGTTCAAGCCACCTTGAGAGCCCTTGCCAGGGGGAAAAAAGTAGTCAATGACAACAACAATTCCGGGAGCCCGAAGTGCACGTGTAGGACGTGCACTTCCGTGCGCGTGCTCGGCACCCCCCTCCGGAACTTGGGTCACCTTCCTTCCTCTCCCAGCGGTCCACGGTGAACTGGGCGCCGCGGTCGACCTGGGCCAGGGCGCTGCACACCTGGCTCTGCGTCTCCATGATGAGCAGCTCCATGCGGCTCCGCATGGCCCCGCGGCGGTCGCGCAGCTCGCCCAGCCCGCTCACCGGCGGCGCCATGAAGCGCTGGCAGCGCAGCGCCAGCTCGTCGTCGCCCTCCGCCTCCCGGCTGCCGCCGCCCCCGGCCAGCTGCCCCTGCCGCCGCTCCATCTCGGCCCGCCGGGCCAGCCCCAGCCCGGCCAGCGCCGCCGCCGCCGCCGCGCCCCAGCCGAGTCTCTCAGCCCAGCGGGAAGCTCCCGGCGGCGCCCCGCAGCCGCCTGCCCAGAAGCTCCTCCTGCAGCAGCAGCGCGGCCCGGCGCGCAGCGACATGCCCCGGGCGCCCGCGGCGCAAACCCCGCGCATCAGCAGCGACATGGCGAGCAAGCGCGGAGCTCGGCCACCGACTGCTTCTCACGGCCCGGACTACAAGGAAGAGGCGCGCACGCCCCCTCGCCTCGGGAAAGGGGCGGGGGAAGCAAGCAAACAATCAATCCCGAGCAAAGGCTCCTGGGAAACGTAGTTCGGCGCTCCGTGGTGCGCGTCGCCGCCGGGAGGCAGCCAGACTACAACTCCCAAGGAAGCTCCGGAATGGGCGTCCGAGCGGGGAAGCGCCTGCTTTGCGCAACGCGGCAGGCAGGGCAGCACGTAGGGCGCGTTGTTGGTGGCGCGGGCTGTCAACGCGGGCGCTGAGCAAACTGAACTAAGCCGCCCTGTGATCGCCGGAGGAAGCGCGGCATAGGAGTTCAATAAATCACAATAGTAAAACGCGCCCGCAGCCCTGGGTCCCGTTTCTCTTAACGTGAGAGCGTTGGATCACGATGCATCAAGAGGTTCAGTCCTAAGCACTCGTAGAGTAAACCCAGAACAAGAAATACTTAGTCCTGGTATATTTATCAGTTTGGCACTACCTGGGCAGTGGGGCGTCTTGCACTAGCGCTGCCTGAAGCGGGTGCTTCATCACCCCACCTGGTGGGTGGACTGGCTGCGGTAGGTGGCCGAACTGATTATAAGTGGCCAACTCAGTCTTGGAGAAGAGGCGGTGCTTTGTGGTGTTTCCTTCACTGGCCTCTCTTACTTTCCTTGTGATAGGAATTTTGAGGTCTTAGTTATATGTTAAATGTCCATAAGTGTACCAACCAAGCACGTACATAGATCAGCACACGAAGACCGACCTGGAACCATTTTTGATTCCCAAACTGACCAAATGTTTTCTCTGCAAGGTCAAAGGAAAATGGAAAAGCCTCCCCATGGTCTTTTCTTTCACAAATCCTGTCTTAAGGGCATGTCTGTGTTTGAATAGGGTGTGAGCCTGTGACATGGCCCAGGAACTAATTATTTATCATTACAAAAGACTGGCCAGGCTCCTCAGGCAATCCAATCTCGTAAGCAGCGTATCCAATCAAGTAACCTGCCAGACAGGAGATAAAGGACAGAAGAAAAACAACATTCAAATTTCTGTTTTAGACCGCCTTTTCTGTGATGTAGGTATGATGTATCTGGGGGTGGTCTTGATCTACAGGGTGGCAATTTCAAAAGTCTATAAGGCATGCGCACCATTGTTCTGGGTTCCTCCCCCCTCCTGTGTGTAGTGAGTGAGGACCCTGTTGCAACAGTTCAATAAAGATCAGGCTTACTAGCTGCTTTGCTTCTCAGTATTTTCTGGTTGGCCTCTGTTATTTTCTCCTACCAATAGGGAACCTATGTACGGACTCTATATGGGCTCTTGGATACCCCATAAGGGGAAAAGGGCAGATTTTTGTTTACAACATCCTGCACTAAAAAATGGTACAGAAGAAAGGCATTTGCTCCCGTGCAGATGTTGCGTTTCTGAAATACACAGTTTTTTGTGATCACACAGATGCTGATTTCCACCTTCTGCTGCTGCTGTCCACCTGAAAGAAGTCATCAAGGCCTCGAAAGAGAGAGATACTTGATGTCATTATGACATCAGATGATTGACAGGTGGGCAGCTTCAAAGTTGGTTTGCAGGGTAGGGTAAGATAACCATCTGGCCCACCAGAACAAAAAGTTTATCCACCCTGATCTAGGGACCTTTTGTATTCAACTGCTGCTCAAGCCCCTGCCCAGGAAAACCTAGGACCCTAGTTTGGATGTCTGGGTAACAATTCCCATGCTCATGAAATATGCCTAAGCACAGTATTTATTCAAGTTAACAGACAATAGCAGGATTAGCAATCTGTCCTTTTGTGAGGGGTGTGTGTCCATTTAAAGACTGAAACAGAAGGCGCCTGATGAATCTCTGTTGGCAGTGGATTTCATAGAACTAGGCCAACAACACTAAAGACTTGGTTTCTTGTTGCTGTTGCTGAGCTGCACTAAAAGCTCATCCAGACTTCCCTTTGTTTCTTGTTTAAAGCTCCATGTCCAAGTAATTCCCCCCCCCCCAGCAAATACAATTCTGAAAAAATAATTTTGAAAACAATTCTGTGGGAAACCTGAATTGCCATTAGTTCTGATTCAGTGTTAAAGAGTGGGTTTTCCTGGGAAAAGACACAGATCGGGTAAGTGCAGACCTGTGCCTAGAAAGCAATGTGCAAAAACTAAGTGTGGATGAGCTCGTAACTCGGGGAACAACCAATGAAACTCCTGTAGTTAATCTTAGTGACTGAGGTGGCATATAAGGGTTCAAGTGGTCCCTGAGATATGCTGGACTGAAGTTGTTTAGGGCTTTGTAAACTAATACAAGGACCTTGAACCTGGCCCAGTAGTAGATGGGCAGCCAGTGCAGATGTTTAAATAATGCTGTCACATGTACTCCGACAGCAGGCTGGCCTCTGTGTTCCACACCAGCTGGAGCTTCTGAACCAGCCCCAAAGGCAACTCCACACAGAGTGGTTATAAGCTTTCCTAGTCACAGAGAAAGCTTAGGCCTCCAGTGACATATCCAGGGGTACCCGCAAGCTTGACAAAGGGTAAAATATACATTTTATAAACAAACAAGAGACTGGAAAATGAGAAGTTTCTGTAAATCCACAGCTGCCCTTCTCCTTCCATTGTCTAGATTTGCTAGAGTAAGTCTATGTCCTTTGAAGCAACTCATAGCTAATTTAAGGATGCAGTCAGTGAGCCTTGTGCACTCTACAAAAATGCAAAAACCTGAGAATGCTGCAACATAAATTCTCCAGTAGGTGGCAGCAATTAACTTGGGTGTACGCTGCATATGCTTCTGCCATCTGGATGGCAGGAGGAAATTTGTATTCCAACCAGCAGGTATCAGCAGAGAAGCTCCTGTAGCTGCTTTCGATGTCTAGACTCTTTCTCTTTCTTTCTTTCTTTCTTTCTTTCTTTCTTTCTTTCTTTCTTTCTTTCTTTCCTACTCCAAAAATATTTTTTTATTTCTGTGACAAAAAAATTGAAAAGGTCAAATTCCATTATATTGCAAGGGAAGACATAGACATAATCTGCTCTTCCCTTGAAACCAGTTTCAGGAGCGTCTGCATGTCTATGTCTAGACTGTTTCTGAAGCATCAGCCAATCCTGAGGGAAGCAGAATCCCAGCTCCTAGAATGGCTCACACACTTAGAGCCCTAGTAGGGATTACAGAAGGATGACCCCACTTATTAGCGGTTTCAACCAACAGGAATTGCAGCCTAGGATTTTCCCTATAAGGTTAGTAATCTCTCCTTCAGGATTAAGCACAACTGTAGTTCAGCTCTTAGATCTAGTGGCATAAGACCACCAGGTCTCCTGTTGTTGTTGTTGTTTAGTCGTTTAGTTGTGTCCGACTCTTCATGACCCCATGGACCAGAGCATGCCAGGCACTCCTGTCTTCCACTGCCTCCCGCAGTTTGGTCAGACTCATGCTGGTAGCTTCGAGAACACTATCCAACCATCTCGTCCTCTGTCGTCCCCTTCTCCTTGTGCCCTCCATCTTTATCAACATCAGGTACTTTTCCAGGGAGTCTTCTCTTCTCATGAGGTGGCCAAAGTATGGGAACCTCAGTTTCACGATCTGTCCTTCCAGTGAGCACTCAGGGCTGATTTCCTTAAGAATGAATAGGTTTGATCTTCTTGCAGTCCATGGGACTCTCAAGAGTCTCCCCCAGCACCATAATTCAAAAGCATAAATTCTTTGGTGATCAGCTTTCTTTATGGTCCAGGTCTCAATTCCATACATCTATTCACTACTGCGAAAACCATGGCTTTAACTACACACACCTTTGTTGGTCTTCTTCTATACCCACCAAATGTGCAGGCAGGCTGAGGTGCCACTAGCAGGATCCCTGTTGGGAGTAGCTTACAGAACATGCTGAACCAGGGTGTTCCAGGTGCAGGGAGCAGCTGAGCCAGCCAAGGATCCAGTGGATCCCAAGCTAGTCTCATCGCTGTGACATGATGGCATTGGGCCTGATTGCTGCACCACCTCCAGGCTGGCACGGCACATCCTGGCTGGTGCGAGTGGCAGGGCCATTGTTGCATCTGCAACCCTGCCCCTCCATTAAGTCCCAATGCTCCCCAGCAGGGTTTTGGATTGCTGCCTTCTCCTTTCTTGACCAGAGTTGCCCCCTGTGCTCCCAGTGACACTTTTGCTCAGGCTGAAACAGGCTGTTTTGGAGGGCAGTTGGCGAAGAGCCCAGCTCCAAACACAAGAGTTTGGAGTCCCTATACAGTGATAAAGGTAAAGGTAAAGATACCCCTGCCCGTACGGGCCAGTCGTGTCCGACTCTAGGTTTGCGTGCTTATCTCGCTCAAGAGGCCGGGAGCCGGCGCCGTCCAAAGACACTTCCGGGTCACGTGGCCAGCGTGACGAAGCTGCTCTGGTGAGCCAGCACCAGCGCAGCACACGGAAATGCCGTTTACCTTCTCGCTATAAAGTGGTACCTATTTATCTACTTGCACTTAGGGGTGCTTTTGAACTGCTAGGTGGGCAGGAGCTGGGACCAAACGACGGGAGCTCACCCCGCCGTGGGGATTCAAAACCACCGACCTTACGATCAGCAAGTCCTAGGCACTGAGGTTTTACCCACAGCGCCACCCGCGTCCCCTTATACAGTGGTACCTCAGGTTAAGTACTTAATTCATTCCGGAGGTCCATTCTTAACCTGAAACTGTTCTTAACCTGAAGCACCACTTTAGCTAATGGAGCCTCCCGCGCCATCACTGCGTGATTTCTGTTCTCATCCTGAAGCAAAGTTCTTAACCTGAAGCATATGTAAACTATTTCTGGGTTAGCAGAGTCTGTAACCTGAAGCGTATGTAACCTGAAGCATATGTAACCTGAAGCATATGTAACCCGAGGTACCACTGTATTGCTTTGGAAGACTGTCATTCATTCAGTTGTTACGTTTTTGTAGCCATCCATCAACTCTCTTATACAAATATTAAATGAACCGAATTTCTGGAAGCTTCTATCATGTTATAATGGGCAAAGCCACTAAAGCATTTTATGTAAATTGCTTTGGATAGAATCTCTGCTCATTCTTTTGCATAGCAAAACTTTCCACCCATGGCTTAAATTTGCTGCTAAGGATTTTAGTCCAATGCAGACTAGGCCAGATATCATCATTTAGCGATATTATATATTTGGCATGCATGACTATATAATGCAATGCTATATGCAAGAAGATATGAGATGAGGGATCTGGCTCTGAATAATTTAGAAAATTGGATGTACTGGACCGATGTCTCACCTCAGTAATGAGAGCCAACAAACTGAAGCTCAATCCAGGTAAGACTTTTCTGGAAATGCCAGAAAGAAAAAGGAACTTTCATCCATATACGATGGAATGTAAGCAGATTGTGACTTTTTTCCCTGTGGAAAGGTATCGGAGATACTACAAGAGAAAGTGCAGGATGAAGTCTGCAAATAAAAGCAACGATAACGCTGTTAAATCATTCCTAAAGTGGAGGCATTTAAATTGGACAGGAAAATTGGCTTCCAGGTGGAAAGATCAAAATTAGAAACAGAACAGTTAGAACCCAAAACTAAGAATTTGTCAAGAATGTATAACTTGCTGCTGAAATGGAATACTCAGGATGAAACGGTAAAATCGGCTATGATTAAATGGGCACAGGACATTGGACATAACATTATGTTTGCTGACTGGGAACAGTTGTGGACCACAGGTATGAAATTTACGGCATGTAATGCCTTAAGAGAGAATATTACGAAAATGATATACAGGTGGTACATAACCCCAGTCAAGCTTGCTAAAATTTATCACTTGCCCGATAACAAATGTTGGAAATGTAAAGAAACTGAAGGTACATTTTTTCACCTTTGGTGGACGTGCCCAAAGATTAAGGCTTTCTGGGAAATGATATATAATGAATTAAAAAAGGTATTTAAGTATACCTTCCCTAAGAAACCAGAGGCCTTTCTCCTGGGCATAGTCGGCCAAATGGTGTTAAAAAGGATAGAACTTTCTTTATGTATGCAACAACAGCAGCAAGAATACTCATCGCAAAGTATTGGAAGACACAAGAACTTCCCACGCTGGAGGAATGGCAGATGAAACTTATGGACTATATGGAATTGGCAGAAATGACTGGTAGAATCCGTGACCAGGGAGAAGAGTCGATGGAGGAAGATTGGAAGAAATTTAAAGACTATCTTCAGAAACATTGCAAAATTAAAGAATGTTAGAGTGATGTTGGATTGAAAATAAGCGGTTTCCAGTTGTACAGGTTAAAGTTAATGATAGATTAAGATTAAAGATTAGGATTAAAGATGTTTAAAGAAATGGAAATTTGATACTAAGAGGAAAAATTTTAATGTTATATGACACCAAGACTAAAGATCAGGTTTAAAGAAGTTGAAGTTATATATTTTAATATCTTATTAAAGTTAAAGATTGGGATTAAAAAAGTGGAAAAGAAATTGCTGGATAAACAATTTGGATTGGAATACAAAAGAGGGAGGTATGAGGAAGTCCAGAAAATAAGTAACTAAAAAATGGATAGGGAAAAGAGATATTGTTTTTAACCGTTATGCTTTTTGTTTTTTTGTTTTTATTGTTGAATTTTGTTGTGTTTTTTGTGTGTGTTGTTGTTATATGTATCGTGGAGGTTTTTCTTTTTTCTTTCTTTGTTGTTTAAAATTTTAATAAAAATATTTTTTTAAAAAATCATTCCTAAAGGTCTCTCAGCGTGGGGATTTAAGCAGGAACTGCCAGAACCCCACTCAGGGTTTGGCTGTAGTTCCTCAGAGGCTCCCAGAAGAAGTCCTCCTCAGGAGAAAGGCCATACTCAGGTACAGCCCTTTACTAATGAAAATTAATAAATAGGCGCTCCACCTGAGTATGAGGGGCCTGGGCTGCCTCTTGAGGCAGAGAACTATTTCTGGGCACCTCTGACTCCAAGATGGAGCTATCAGGTGGCAATTCTGGTAGTCTCTCCCTCGAGCCCAAGCTAGATCATTGGTATGGGCTACTCCTGGAAGTCACTAGTCTCTGGAGAAGGAATTTTCCAGTGGGCAAAGGGGGTTGGCCATGATATCCACAGTCTTTTCAGTTTTAATAGCAACAACAGTCTGTTCGACATCACAGAATGTAGCTTTTAAATAGCAAGTGATGGTATTATGTAGATTTAGAAAAAACGCTATCACAAATAGCACAGTGTCACTTCAAGACAGATGGGGTTGTTTGAACAGCCGCCTAAAGGAGATAGGGTTTTCCATGAGTACGGTTTGTTGTTCGCACATTGCAGTTGTGTCTAGATGTTGCAATTTATGACCGACATGAAAATCATGATAAGCTTCAGGGCCTATGCTTCCTTTTTGTTCTCTCAGCTACATTTAGGCATTCAAGATATATTTTTCAATTAAACTTTCAGAAGGCAACACAGTCTTTTCTAATCCTTTGCCCTTAAATCCACCATAGGGGAAAGCTTTTCACATAGTCTTACGTTAATAGTCCATAAATACAATGGCCTCAATTTTTTCAAAAGTTTGCAAATGTCACGTCTTGGCACACCGCATATATATATATATATATATATATATATATATATATATATCGCAGTCATAATCCTTAGGAATAAAGTGTGTATTGAGCCTGAATCATAAACTGGAGCAGTTCTCATGGAAAGAAAGGTGAAAAATTAAGTAACACACCAATGTATTTGTTCAAGTGTTGCTCACATAAGTTAACCAAAAAAAGCCACAGCTGTTGTATTATTTTTTGCATCTCCTTCCCTAATTAAAGGGGTAATGGAATAAAAACTTGACTGAAAAGACACTATCATGGGTGGCCTTACTTCTGAAGAGGCAGCCCCAGAAGTCTTTGTTTGGAAGATCAACACAGAGCAAGTTCACATAAACAAGTGGATCTGGAACAAAATGTGACAGTATATCCCATCATCCAGTACAATAAGTCCTCTTGGCCAAGGCCCCAGACAGCTTGGGAATACAATGTTCATGTTCAGGTCTCTGGAGAGGATGAGCTGTAACAAGTGTAAAGATAATAAATGTATTATTTATACTCTGCCCATCTGGCTGGGTTTCCCCAGCCACTCTGGAAAGAGGACACTTCCCGCACCTGCCCTGCTGTTCTATATAGACCTAGTGGCTCAGTCAGCCCCAAATTGACATAGATAGATTGAAAGACAGTGTGCTATAGTGGTCAGAGTGCCTGGGAGACCAGGGTTCAAAATGCCCACTTGGCCATGAAGCTCTTTGGGTGACCTTGGGCTGCTCAGCCTGACCTACCTCACAGGGTTGTGTTTTTTGGGGGGGGGGGTTGATTGAAGAGAGGGAGTACCTGTTGATTTAAGCAGAGTCTCGTGCCCAGCGGAAGGATGAGGAATACGTGCTGCATACTCTTTATTGCTTTATTTACAGTTCAAAGCTGGTATATTACAGAAAGACATCTTGCCTCTGCCGGAGCAGAAAATGCATCCTCTCTCCTCGACAGCTCGGAGAGAATCACACAGTGAAAAAACAGGAAACCAGTGTACGTCACATCCAGTCTCCCTTTCCCGTGAGAAACTCCAACAGTACAGACTGTGGAATGTAAACACCTGTCTCGTGACAAGTTAGCTGCACAGTGAAGGAAAGCAGAAACCAACATCCTCCCCCTTTCTGTGAACATCACTGGGCAGCGTGTTTGCACAATATCAGTACAAACCCAACTTCTGCACATAGGTACAGTGTTGATCCCTTGATACAATCTTGGACAATACATCAGCAGGAATTTCATTACCTGGCATATAGGACACCGTTACTGAGTCCCTTCTGAATACATTCCCTAGCATGCTGCAACTTTAATTGCAAGTGCTTTGTGCTTTGCTTACAACCTTCAGACTTGAGCAAAGCCAAACATGCTTTGTTGTCCTGGTAAACCTGGATTGGACATTTGACAGGAATTTTTATATCTTTGCACAATTGTACTAACCATTCACAATCCTTAAGTGAATAAGACAGTGCATTCAGTTCGGCTTCACAAGTACTTAAGCTAACTGTTGTTTGCTTCTTGCATGACCAATCAAACAGACTCTGATTGTACATGTAGCAAACTCCAGACGTACTTTTCCTGTCTGTAGCGTCACTTCCAAAACTTGCATCTGCAAATATCTCAAGACCACCAGACTTCTGATTGTTAAATCTCAGTCTGTAATGCATAGTGCCTTTCAAATACCGCGCTATGCGTTTCAGAGCTTTCCAATCCTTGACACTAGGATTGTTGACTTGTCTGCTTAGCAAATTACAGCTAACAGCAATGTCTGGTCTTGAACATCTGGCAATGAAGTTTAGCTTGCCTAGCACACTCCTGTACAGTGTAGTGTCAGAAAATGCTTCTTCAGTGTCATCTACCTGATAACCTGTTGTCATCGGTGTGTCTACAGGGTTAGCATCCATCAGATTTAGTTTGCTTAACACATCAGCAATTTTCCGTGACTGGTGTACTAGAATGTTACCATCTTGATCTCTCTCTATTTCCAGAGATAGGTAGTTGTTTACCTCACCAAGATCTTTCATGTCAAAGTGCTCTTTCAGTTGAGCTAGGGCGCTATTGTACATTGCAACATCTTTCCAAAAGAATAATAAATCATCAACATAAAACAAACAGTACAGTTTCTTTTGCCCCTCCTCTTTGACAAATACACATGGATCAGCTTTCCCTTGCTGAAAACCTAGAGAAAACAATACTTCAGTGAGTTTTGTGTGCCAACACCGTGCACTTTGTTTGAGACCATAAAGGGATTTCTTCAGAGCACAAACAAATCCCTGTTTTACCTGTACGCCATCAGGTGGAAGCATATAAAGTGATTCATCTAGAGATCCGTACAGAAAAGCTGTATTGATATCATGGTGACTAATGTGTAGATTTTCCTCTGCAGCTAGCTTGAGCATAAGCCTAATGCTTTCATATCTCACTGTGGGTGAATAGGTCTCGTGATAGTCTTGACCTGGTACCTGTGCAAAACCTCTGGCTACCAATCTGGCTTTGTGTCTGACTATCTTGCCATTTTGATCTGTCTTCGCTTTGAAGACCCATTTGCTTCCAAGCAGTTTCATTCCTGGAACTACTGGAACTAGCTCCCATGTTTTGTTCCTTTCTAAGGAATCAAGCTCAGCCTTCATGGCATTTAACCATGGCTCAGCTTCCTTTGAATCCAAACCCTGGATTTCTTGGAAACTTGAAGGTTCAAATACCTTCTTGGAGCTTTTAACAGCTGTTACTGCTATCGTAGCAAACTCATCAGCAAATCTCTTTGGAGGTTTGCTTTTGTGGCTCTCTGTGACCTACGAATTAGCCTTAAGTCTTCAACACTCTCCTCTTCCTTCTTAGGAGAAAAACGACCTATTGTGAACAATGGTTCCTCCAATTCTTGATCAGAGCTTTCAGAGGGTCGCATAGAGGCTTTCGCACTCTTGAAATCCTCTGAATCACCCGATTCAGTTTCAGATTCAGACTCAGAACCTTCATCAGTGGGTGTGGGCTGTTGTGGTTGCTTTTGACTATCCTCAGTCTCATCACCGTCATCAGGATAACATTGGAAAATTCCCACATTCTCCCCCACTTTGCATTGTACTCAACACTTCTCATGAGCTTAATTGTCTTAGAGTCAGTCATCATTATTCTGTAAGACCCTTTCTGATAACCTAGAAAGATACCATGCAATCCACGCTTGTCTAACTTGGAGTTTTGTGGTGAGCGAACCCACATGTCAGAACCAAAATCTTCATGTGTTTGATGTATGGCTTCTTGCCAAACATCTTCTCATAGGAGTACAACCAATCGCTGAAGATAACCTGCGATTGTAACTGTAAACAAAACACGAGAGAGATTCGGCCCAATAACTCTCTGGAAGATTGGCATCATGCAGCAAGGTTTTTAATCCTTGAAGCAATGTCTGATTTGCCCGTTCCGCAAGTCCATTCTGCCATGGCGAGCGAGGACTAGACAAATCGTGTTGAATTCCTTTCTCAGTCAGAAAAGCTTCAAACTGCTGAGAAGTGAATTCCCCCCCGCGATCACTGAAAAGAGTCTTTATCTTCTTACCATGCACATTTTCCAACCAAGCACAGAATTCCTTGAACCTAGGAAAAGCCTCAGATTTCTGCTTGAGATTGTACACAAAAATATATCTAGAAAATGCGTCAATGAGAACCATGAAGTATCTATTTCCACCCAAAGAGGGCGCTAGTGGTCCAACCAAATCAGCATGAACAACCTGGTATGGTTCTGTAGCTTTCCTACTAGACACCTTACCTTTCGCAGCCATTTTCACCTTGTTTGCTGCGCATGCTTTGCACTTCATGTGGTACCTGCAGGGTTTAATAGTCATACCTCCAACCAAGGCAGGCATTTTAGATACTGCCTCAAAATGCAAATGACCAAATTTTCGATGAAAATCGTGATACATTCTGCATGCAAACTTTGTTAGAACCTGCAATGCAACAAGTGTCATCCTGCACCACATCATCATAATACAAAACAAACAAATGATCAACATATTCTGCATGCAATACATAATCATTTTTCTTTGTGATGATGCACTTCTTGTTCTTGAAGGAAACGTCAATGTTCCGCTCATTCAGCTGTCCAACGCTGAGCAGATTAGGTTTGGCGTCTGGCACGTAAAGCACATTCTGTATCGATAAGTCCAAACTGTGAAGAACAACAGTTCCGTAGCCTTTACTGGGAATAGTGTGGTCATCCGCCTGGTGAATCGCACCTTCCTGCGGTGTAAAAGACACAAACAGTTTCTTATCGTTGCACATGTGGTGGGTCGCCGCTGAATCAACAACGAAGAAAGATCTAGACGTCTTCTGGACCTCTGCAACCTTTGGAGTGAAGCGTGAAATCATAGCCTTGTGCTGCGTTGTCCTAGACATCGGACCTTTGCCTTTGCCTCGGCCTTTTCCGCGCGATGAGCTTTCGCTGTGCTGCTCTGTCTTGGCCCTGGGATGTCTGCATTCCCTCTTCATATGGCCTAGACGTCCACACGAGTAGCATTTCACTGCCTTCAAAGCTTTGGCGCCATCTGGTGGTTCCACTGCACTATGGGATGACGTCTGTGAAGACTCCCCTTGCCCATGCAGCTAGCACCCCGGCGATCTGCTTCATTTAAAATCACGGCAGTAACAAAGTCCACTGTCAGCTGAGCAGTTGGTTGCACAGCAATCTGGGTTGCAACAGACTCCCAACCTGAACCCAAAGATTGTAGTATCATGAAAGAATACACAGCCTCTGGAAAGTTGAGTCCTCTCTGTTGCAGCTCATGTCTCAGATTTTGCATCTCCATTAGATGTAAACGCACATCTCCACCTTCAGCAAGAGCCATATTGTGCAGCTTGTTAAAGTAAAACATAGTGGATCCAGCTTCTGTCCTTAAGTGAGCCTCTCTCAAAGCGTCCCATATTTCTCTGGCTGAGGTCTTATCACGCAATAGACAGAGCTCTTCTGGGGATACTATCAATGTAAGAGTTCCCTTGCTTTGGAATCCTTAGCTTCCCATGCATCTGTAACTGGAACTGGGGGTTCCTGTAATCACCTCAAACAAACCCTCTTTCCGCAGAATTGCCTCTGCATACAGAACCCAGTCGCTGTAATTTTTCTTGTTGAGCTTAGGAATCCCACAAGCATCCTGAAGGGCCATCATGACTCTGGCATTAGCCTTCAGCGTCATATGCTGCTTTAAATCTTGCTGCGTCACTGCTGCAGCTGCTTTATTACAAAGGCGCACTTAAAAGTTACTTTCGATTTCCCCAGCATAGTGACTTGTGCCTGGGAGCCTTTTGCCTATTCCCGGCAAAACCGGCTTTAAAAGTTCAAAGTCCAGCCATAAAGCCATTAACTTGAAGCTGGCAGGCTGCCCGGAGCAGTAGCACATACCTCATCAATCACTTCTACGCGCAGAGCAGATTCCGTTCCGATCTGTTCCTCTGCATTCCGATCCTTTGCCGGCACTCCGATTCGACTTCTGGAGCCCATAACCACGTGTTGATTTAAGCAGAGTCTCGTGCCCAGCGGAAGGATGAGGAATACGTGCTGCATACTCTTTATTGCTTTATTTACAGTTCAAAGCTGGTATATTACAGAAAGACATCTTGCCTCTGCCGGAGCAGAAAATGCATCCTCTCCTCGACAGCTCGGAGAGAATCACACAGTGAAAAAACAGGAAACCAGTGTACGTCACATCCAGTCTCCCTTTCCCGTGAGAAACTCCAACAGTACAGACTGTGGAATGTAAACACCTGTCTCGTGACAAGTTAGCTGCACAGTGAAGGAAAGCAGAAACCAACAGTACCATGTTAAGCCACCTTGAGCTCCTTGGGAAAACAGGTTGGTTATAAATGCAATAAATAAATAAAACAAATATATGTGTCAGGGAACTGCCATCGGACGGAAGGGAGGTGAAAGGGCTCACACAGGTTGGGAGAGACGCAGCAGCTGAAGAGGGAACCAGCAGGGAGGTGAAAGGGCTCACACAGGTTGGGAGAGACGCAGCAGCTGAAGAGGGAACCAGCAGGGGGGAGAGGAGCTGAGCTGGAGGGATGGCTCAGAGACACTTCCAGCGAAAACAGTGGGGAGGTTTCAGGACCTCCTGTAAGAACACCCACTCCTCACCGGAAACTGTCACGCAGAGATTCCAGAAGACGTGTTTCCGTTAAGGAGCTTTTATGTTGGAAGCGATTACGAAAGCAACCACTGTCGGAATCTGCTAGTGACTAGAGTAGCCATGTCTGAGGGGCTCCGTCACAGACAGAGGTTTGTGGACTTGAACAAACTCTGAGGGGATACGATTTTACGCACAAGCAGCTCATCATCCCATCACAGCATTCCGACAGTCTTTGAAAGCAGCTTGTGCAGGAGAAGGCATCATGAGCAACCCAGCCGGAACCGGAGAAGCAGGAGCTGGAGCGGGTCCAAGCCTGGAAGAAAGGTACCAGATGTTGGAGGTCCAGCTGGCGATGCAGACGGCGAGGCTTGAGGAGAGGAGGGCTCAGGATGCAGACAAAAAGGGGAAAGCCACCCAGTTCGCCAGAAAGGTACCAGGATTGGTGCAGAAGTTTGGGGGGGAGCCCAAAACTATCATGGCTTTCGGACAGAAATGCAATATGCCCTCAATCTGCAGTTTGATGAATTCCTGACGAGGAATCACGAGTGGCTTTCGTGATTGAGCATCTTGAAAAGGGGGCGAGAGACTGGGTTAGACCCCTGATGGCAGCGAATAGTGACGTCTTAAAGGACACGATGAAGTTCTTTCGCGCCATGGATCTGATGTTTTCCAGCGATATTGAAAAGGGAGTGGTGCGCAGACAGTTAATGGGTTGCAAACAGGGGAGCCGATCTGTCCGTGAGTACTGGACTGAGTTCACCATGCTTGTTCACAGATTGGGGTGGGACTTATCGGCGGAACCCATTCAAATGCTCTTTGAAGAAGGGCTTTCTTCGGCTGTGAAAGACGAACTTTCCCGGGCGCCCAGGGCGGAGTCTATGGACCAGCTGACCAAATCAGCGCTGGCCATAGGAGCGCGCCAGGAGGCGAGAGCATTGGAGAGGCGGGAAGGGAAAGGGGAACGT